ATGTTATAATATATTCTCTGTGTTCTCTTTTACAGATGCCATATCCTATCAGGCTTCCCCAAACTCCAGCCCTCCAGATGTTGCTGAACTACAACTCCCATGATTCTATGAATGAAATGTATGGGCAGAGAATCATGGGAGTTGTAGTTCAGCAACATCTGGAGGGCCAGAGTTTGGGGAAGCCCAAATCTGAATAGTAGATTATTCTTCTCTAGCGGATTCCAGTATAATCACATACTCTCCTGGTTTATTAAATCAGATCCTAAAGTGAAGTTTAACAAGGAAGCAATTGATTTGAAAGAATTAGAGAAAATCAAGAAGTCCTCTTCTCTTCATTGTACACACATGACAAAGTATGACCCCGTGTACTGCACTCACATGTTGTTCAAGGCTGAATTTGAGCAATTATTAGGTGGGTGGCTGGACAAGCTATTGTTTTTTGTTAAAATTATTATTTTCATTGTTATTCTGCTTTTTGTTTCCTTTTCCAAATGCCTATATTATTATTTTTTTAATTATTGTATCATTGATATAGCGCTAGCAAGTTCCGTAGCGCTGTAGAATTGGATATATAAACGCATGAAATAGACACAGTGATAAAGAATCATGGTTACTTATTTCCTTTGCTCTTTGTGCATTTTTTTATTTTATTTTTTAATTTGTTTTTATTTATTTGTAGGTTCATCGTAAGTTAAACAGTAAGACTCGCAGGTCTAATCATTTATATAACATTTGCAAAACATAAACAAGGAAAACTCGGGATCCATGCGAGAAATATACGTTTTAAAGACCCATTGGCTTGCCGGCTCATGTTATAATGGGACTCGCAGGTCCGAGTCGACTTTCTGGGGAGTAGATCTAATTAACCTCTCCCTACTTTAGGGTACATATATGATCACTTCTGCTGTAACATTGAATTTATCACCTTAGTTTTTGTGAAACTCCAGGTTTCAATCTTAAGTGGAAGCTTACACATATTATGTAGCTTATATTAATTGCTCGGGGTCTAGTTTCCCCCAATGACTTTTACCTATGGCAGAGCCCGAGTGTTGCTTAGGTTTCACTGCGCCTCCTCTGTGGTGCCTGAATCCTTGTCCTTAGCTATTACGTGTTAGGTGTCGATGTTCTGTTGAAAATGAGTGTCTCTGTTGTGCGTTTGCTCTCAGTGTTGCCTGCCTGGGGAGAAGCGAGAACGTCTGGCAACATAAGTATTTATATGCACAGAATTCACACTAGGTGGCCCGGTAAACCTAACCCCTGGCACAAACGGGCAAATATCTCTGAAACAATCAAATATATAGCTGAAATGCTGTACATACAGACTCATACCACTATGACCACTTCTAAAAGCAGACGTTGTCATGGTAGTTGGAGTAACCCTTTAATGACATTACAACGGCATGAAATGTCCTGTACTTTTGGTGTGAGAATAGTTGAATCCCTGCTCACAACCGGGAGACAACATTCAATACCTTTCGTTCCCCTCTGTCAGCTTGGGCTATATTTAGTGATTTCAACCTGACAGTTTGACTTGGCTTTTTGCATTATGCTACAGATGCCCATGTACTCTCACTCAATAACCTATCAGGAATTAAGGACCACCACATTCCTATGCTCTAATATTCAACCCTTCCCCTCATCCCCTTCCCATTTAGTTTTTCTTTTTATAACTCAGCCACATGACTCTGTTGCTTATCCTTGACAGAGAGATGATTTATCTGTAGTGTATTCTGCAGTTATGTAACTGAAGCAGTTTTGGTGTATAGATCATGCCCCTGCAGTCTGGCTGCTCAATTATCTGCTATTTAGGAATTAAGTCACTTTGTTAATGCAGCCCTAGACACAATTCTCTTTACTGTGACTCACACAGCCAGCTTGAAACAAAATTTCATTTTCAATCAGATCTTTTTTTTAATCTCCTGTTCTGTAGCTTGAACTTTTAGCGCACACACCAGGTGACTGCAGGATCTAGCAGGCTATTACCAGAGCAAGAGGTTTACATGAAGTGTGTAGGGAGACTGTGTAAGCCACATGCAGGGACGTGTTACTAGTGCTGCATAAGAAAAGTGATTTAATCCCTAAATGGCTGAGAATCGAGCGGTTTGACTGCAGAGGCATAATCTATACACCAGAACTGCTTAATTAAAGGACCACTATAGGCACCCAGACCACTTAAGCTTAATGAAGTGGTCTGGGTGCCAGGTCCAGCTAGGTTTAACCCTTTTTGCTGTCAACATAGCAGTTTCAGAGAAACTTTAGGGTTAATCCAGCCTCTAGTGGCTGTCTCATTGATTCCGCGCTTCTCACTGTGATTTTCACAGTGAGAAGACGCCAACGTCCATAGGAAAGCATTGAGAATGCTGTCCTATGAGACTGGCTGAAAGCGCGCGCGGCTCTTGCTGCGCATGCGTATTCAGCCAGGGAGGAGAGTCTCCAGCGCCGAGGGAGCCCGGTGCTGGAAAAAAGGTAAGGGATTAACCCCTTCCTCCCCCTTCAGCGCCACGGGAGTGGGACCCTGAGGGGGCACCCTCAGGGCACTATAGTGCCAGGAAAACTAGTATGTTTTCCTGGCACTATAGTGGTTCTTTAAGCTAAAGTTGCTTTGGTGACTATAGTGTCCCTAATGCAGGACATTCAGCAGGACTCTGCCAATTTCAAGGGCATATCCCAGCATCCCAATTTAGTTCCATGAATCCAGGAACACCAAGGAGCACAGCATGAGTGCATGAATCCCATGCATAGAGCACTGGGCTGTATGATTATGCCTCAACATGACAGCAGGAATTATTTACCTATATTAATGTCTCAAGATAGCTGACTTGGAACCTGATTGGTTTGCTGTATCTTTTCCAAATAGTTGGGAGTATGAGCCTGGGTCAAGGAGTGGGCCTGCCTGTGGGGGTATGCAAGCAATGTTGGGTTGGAGGAAATTCGGGACTTTTACAGAGTGAAAGGAAAAAAAGGGATGAAATCGGTATCAGCGAGAGGGGGAATGAGAGAATTTGTGCTATGATACAGCGGGATCATCAGTTAATATAGTTATTGGATGACTTTCTACATAATCAATCCAAAGCGACAACATTTTCATTGCACGCCCAGCAATAGCAGTCAATGGAGGATATGCATAAAAACTCTTACTTTTTTCTGATTTGCACCAAAAGTTTCCAACCATATCACTTATTTTTACATATAACAATTTTTTTTTTTTACCATTAATCCTTCATAGTAGTTTCCAGAGAAATTCCACCATGATGGCAATGGCGTATAAGTTTGTCTGTATAAACGGCCACAGTTTTCTGACTGGTTGTACACATAGACCATGTCAAAATTGTGGTCTAAAAAATGTCAACAAAGACGCAAAATAAAAAACGACGGCCAGGGCACGCCCCTAGGATAATTTAAAAAATTTAAGAACACAACAAAATATTGTTAAACGATTTGATCACTTTTTATACATAATGTCTAATTTATTAATTGTGTCTATAATTTTTTTATTTTTTTATTTTTTTTAAATTCTTTATTTTTGTGTGCAAGATTTCACAAATGAGCCGTGGTGCCACAATAGCAGTCACGTGCACAATTTCAACATACATTTCACATATGGCACATTAATGTCTGCACAATTTTTATAATGGTAATAGTAGAGTATTAAGCTTAAGCATGTGGTGCTCCCGTTATAATCATCGCTAGTATTGACAGATTTGACATTTGGAGCATGAACACAGATATACATGAGATTACAATTGGTTTCACTGAGATTTGCCTGGCTAATAGTTACACGTGTACAGGTTCTAATCATATGGTTGTACGGTTTCTAGCATATCGTTTGGGCGAAGTGGTTTAACTCTGGCTTGGTCTACCTCGGGCGCCATCATGGATTGTGTGGTGTTAGTCTGCCTTCACTTTTCCGGACAGGTCTGGGGTCTGCTTGGTTAGTATCAGGTGAGTTTGTCAGGGCTTGTGTGTATTGCAGTTGCCTGCGGTAGTGTGTGTCTGTCTTGAGTAGTGTCTTGGTTTGTGCGTATGTGTGTCTCTGCCTATTTTGTGCTGGTTTGTTGCTGTGTTAGTCCTGGTGTCTGTGCGTCTGTTGGTACCGTTTTTGTTTCAGTATGTGTAACACTGGAGCAGCGTCTAAGTGTCCAACATAGAGTCCAGAAAAAGCTGTAAGCCAGCGACTAGCCTTTGTATTGGGCATGTAGTGTCTCTGGGGAACCGGTAGAAAAGTCCCGTCAGGCTTCTCTCGTAGCCGTGGGCACTCCTGGGGGTCTGCTTCTGCGGCTGTGGGTTGAGTGCTTTCTTCGAAGGCCGCATAGGGGCTGGCATGGAACCCAGTATGGCGCTTCCTCCTGTGCTTTCGGGTCCGCCGCGACTGGAGCAGACGTTCGAGGTTGAAGCTTCTGGGCGGCCGCAGTCTGTGAGTGCTTGTGCGATAAGGTTGCATGTTATGTGTACCACTGGCGTCCGGGGAGAATTCCCTCGATTCCCGCTCTTTGTCTTCCGACATACAGCTGCTTGTCGGTGTTTCTTGTAGCTTAGGGTAGGTTGTTGGTTTGCGGGCTGCCAGCCAGTACTTCCACTTGATGGTCCCTGCAGGACTCGGTGGGACATTCTTCGTTTGCCCATGAGGTTGCACGCTGTCCGCCATTTTGGAGCGCTCCGTGTGTCTATAATTTTATTTAAAGCTGTGGCGATGTGGAATAATGATTATCTTTAAATTGAAAAATAATATTTCCCTCCATGCTAAATTGTTTTATATATATATATTTATTTATTTATCTATCTATTTTTTAGAGTACTGTTTGTTTGCAAATAACAACTGGAAAGGAAATATATATATATATTTTGTATATAAATTATTTTGGGCAACCCTTGGCCCCACCTCTGCTCTTGGAGCACAAGTCCTACTATCCTCAGACAGGGGCTGACAGAGGGTAATGGGAGTTGCAGGCCAGCCAAAAGAGATGAAGTGGTTTGGTGGCTGCAGTTGCTGCTGCTGCTGGCTTTAATAAAGAGAGCAGTAGGGGCTGAGATTGCTGGGAGCGGGTATTAGACAGTCTCACATGATCTGGGTCAGGTGATGAGAAGCAGAACTGGTTGAAAGCTGGAGGCTGGAGGGGGTTAGGTCGCTGTCTGTATGTTGGTGTCATGCTGTGAACATGAGGATCCTGTGCTCTGTGACTGGGTTGTGCTTGCTAGGTGAGTTCTATCACATCCTCACGCAGACAGGGATTTATCTGTACAAACTGCAACATTGTGACAGTCCACCCAGGATTGTCCCCTGAACCTGTGAAGCTGCAGGTCCTGCAGACCATGTGGGTTAGTGAATGTGGAAATCCAGGGGTCTCTATGTTTAGCTATCAGATTGCTGTAAAACATGAAGACCAGGTTTAGAGGTTTGGTAAAACATTACAATGTGTTGTCTGTACAGGAAGGAACCTGATTGTTTGTTTGTCTGACAGAGGGGGATATCAGCAATTTATATAATTCTTAATACTTCCAGTGCAAAGACTTGTGCAGCTTCTAACTGAAAGGGTTAAGTTGTTTCTTTCTAAAAAAATAAATCAGTGTTCTAAAGGTGGGGTTGGGGGGTAGGGTACATTTTGGCAAATCTTGGTTTCACTTTGTTTTGGATTTTTTTGCTTTTTCCTTTCTCTTCCCTTTTCTTTTGTTGTCTAACTAGTCTGATTAACTGCCAAAAACTTACATTTATTTATGTTTTTCCCCAGGAGTAATTGTTTCGATTTAATGAATTTTCTTATTGGGGGAACTACCACATATTGTCACAGTTATTCCCTTTCTAATAAATTTTCTGTTGATATTAATAATAAAATGTTGTATTTTTAGGGTAGAGCGGGTTTAATGGTTAGTGTTGGGGTGCTGTAAGGGTTAATCCGTAGTAGTGCAGACATTATTAAAGTGTAGCGTAGGGGCTAAGGTAGCCGTTTACTGTCCAAGTGCTGCCTGACATTAGTGTGAGTTACCAGCCTGCTGTAATGGTGATGTTACTAGATAGAAAGCCCTGGCACCCCCATCCCATCCTCCATACAGTGAAGGGCACCAGGCCACTTCTGGTACCATAACCACATCAGTGCACTGTAGTGGTTATGGTGTTGGAATGTACCATTAAAATGGCAGCAGATACTGTTCAAGTGTAAAACGTTTGCTAATCTAGGTCAAATGGCTATATATCCATCTGTTCAATGTGGGATTCTAAAAGATAATCTGCTCATTAAAATAATACATCATATTTATATATATATATATATATATATATATATATATATATATATATATATATATATATATATATATATATATAATTGTAATTTTTTTTTTCTATTCTTCTGTTTTTATTCTCTTTTTCCCCTCCCCTCCCACTTTTATATGAGTTGATTTGGGAGAAACTCATGACTAGGGTGTATATCTGTAGTAGTGGTTTAGCAGTCACGGATCACAAGGAGTGCATATATATGGTATTTTTTTTTATTATTATTATTTTTTATTTTATTTGGGTTTTCTAGGCTTGTTCGTAGATGGCCATGAACTCAAAATACACACAAAAGAACCTATTTCTAAAAGCAGACACCCCCAAGGTGTTTTTACACTTTTCCTGTTACCATTTTATTTCAGTGGTTTCTACCACAATATTTACTGACAAATGCTGATTATTTTACAATAGTTTTTCGGGTTACAAAAAGCATCCCCAAATAATGAGATTTCTCACATTTATTATTTTCCCTGGGCCATGTTTGAGACTTTTCTAAAACTCCCAGAAGTCTGGCTGACTGATTTGCTGGGCCTCTGTACCATTTGGGGGGATTTTATCAGACGAGCAATACAAATTATTTTTACTTTATTGAAAAGTACAAGTCCTGGATTATTTGGCACAGGGCATTTTAAAGCTGTTCACAAAATGATTTTATCACCAATCCTTGTTTCATGGAGGTCATACTGATGGAGAATGCGTGGCTAGATGATGTCACTCCCTTGGCCATCCGATAAACAGAATACTGCATTCTAGAAACACAAAATGCATAGGACATTTTAGGTGGAAAAATGTTTTAGGATTTGTCACCACTTCCCATCTGTTAAAGCAGCACTGTCACCATCTGGGGACTTTGTAGAATTTGCCAGTGGATGGAGGGCCTCGCGTGGTCCCCGTCAGGTCCTGGTGCCAGCATCATTGCTGTACCCTTGCGCATGTTCAAGAATACAGCATTGAGATCTATGGAGGATCCTGCAGTACTGCAGGATCCTCCATAGACAAAGCGAATTCATCACTGATTATGGCTGCGGGGATTGACACTTCTAGACGGCAGTAGCTCCTCTGTCCAGTGTTTAGAAGTGTTAGGGAGACTAAATATTCAGAGACAAAGTAGTCCCTTCTTTGACTCAATATATCTCTTGACAGGGTTCCAACACAGTCAGAAAGAGTTTCATAATATTTCTGTCTGTATGAAACACTCCTTCGTGAGGGGGGTGGGGGGGATGCAGTGCCAATTTGAGTAACTCACATCATCTGGCTGTTAATCATCCGCTCCCACATTCAAATATATTGTTCAAGTGCCTAAATATGTATTCTAGAGTTTCTATAAATCTATAATGACCCTTCAACTCTCCTCACTATTACCAGGCAAAGTGATCAAAATCCTAGTAATTCTGTAAAATGACTGGGGGGTGGGGAATGGCCACCGTGCTGATCTCTGCTTGAGCTCCGAGAGGAAAACAGATTTTTTTTTTTTGTTTTGTTCTTCCCCAGAAGAGACTGCTTCTTAACGGTGAATAATCCTATCGAAGCCTCTGAATCTCTGTGTGCAGTTTATGTGCGCCGTATCATGCACCTGAGAGATCTGTCTCAAACTCGCATCTGATCTGAGGTCTGTTCAGGCATTGGTGCTTATGAAGATGCTGGTCTCTGGAGGATGAGGCATACACACTCAAGTAGAGTGGGCCTGCCACTTAACGTTCACTGAGTTTGACAGCCAGGGGAATTATTTTATGCCTGTTTTTACAAACTGGGTGTAAAATAGAATATTCCTACTGCCTTCTTTGGTGCTTTAAGCATGTGGAGTGGACTTTTAATAGTTCCCCATGAGATCAGGCATTCCAGCTGGGAATTGGTTAAGTGGCCTAGAGCCCTAAGTGAGTCTGCTACCAACTCTAATAACCGGTCCTATTCTCCTATTTATATGCTAATTATCGTTTAGTATTGCTTCATATATTTCTGTTGTCTTGCTGTAATTTGCTGGTACCCACATGGAAAACCTGAGCATGCAACGTTCTTTTCATGTGCTTTCATAATAACAATCTACAGATGCTACGGTGTTTTTATATCACTCCGATAACTCACCTGATGTATGTCCATATAGTCTGAAAACATCAACATGACCTTTCTGTGTTTGACGTTTTGTCGAATACTTCAGAGAGCCCTGTCTAGCAGTCCACAAATTGAAATGACTTAACCTAAAAGCAAATATATTTACTAAAAGTAATATAAATTGTATTACCATGCGTACAGTCTACCTTTTATACGATCCATGTAAGATTCTTGGATCCACTTGGAAAATCAGCCACATCAAGTCTCTTTGTAGCAATATTTACCATAGTGCGTGATATAACGTATGTTGAGAAAAAATTTTTTGAAGTGTTTTTTATGCAAAGAAAATTGTGTCGCTCTTAGAAGGAGCTGATAGAATTCTTTTCATTCTTTAAAATATTTAGACTCTAGTTACTTTTGTTACCTATACCCTTCTATATGTAAGCGTTCCATCCAATTCCATATTATCCCATCCACACACACTAAGGGCTTGTTGGTAAACATTGCACCGATGGTGTTGACTATTTTGCTTTAGGTGCGCTCAGCGTATGGGCAGCCTCTCTATGGGGATGCGTGTTGTCCACGACAATAATTTAATTTCTTATAGTGAAGACCATGTAGTCCAGGCACTCAGCATCTTTCTCAAACAGCAGTTTTATTGGAGAAACACAGCAAACACAGCAACGTTTTGATCCACAAAGATGCGAGTGTGGATCGAAATGTTGCTGTGTTTCTCCAATAAAACTGCTGTTTGAGAAAGACGCTGAGTGCGTGGACTACATTGTCTTCACTATATGGAATGGGGGTCTGCCAGCCCTCGGTACAGTGCATCGAAGTCTACAAGTGATGAGAGTGTGGATCCCTCCTTTGTTTGCAATATTTTAATTTCTGACATGTTCTATCACAGACTCTCCACAACAGGAATTCAGACCTGCTAGCTTTGAAATTTCTCCGTACATGCATAGACATGCAATATCCTATTTCTCAGGTGTTTTAATCTCTGATATGTGAGAATCCATTGTTGGAGGCTTTTTGTGAATTCGTCTAAAATCAATCCTGAAACCTGTTCTTCTTGCTCTGGACGCTTTCTTATCAAAGGACAGAAAATGAAGGGAAAATCAGAGCGTGCAGATCAGGTGCATTCTGTGAAATCGTCACTCAATAAGTCTTGGAGGGGCTGGAAATATGCAGCACTTTATAAAACATTAGCACACCAGGGTTTACAAGCCATTGCACTCCAGCTGTTTTGTTGCCAATTTCCGCGATGCTTGGCCATTTGGGAAATTTTAAAGGACCACTGTCTACTCAAATTCTTTTTAATTTTTTTTTTATATAATCTTTTCATATCGCTTTGAAAGACAAAATATATTTATGAGCTTGTGTATTTTGTGCTCCATTTTGCAGTGTGTTTGGTTGGAAGCCAGTTATCCACCAGTGTAATCCCTTTCCTTACCTCGGATGTTTCTACCATTGATACTAATTGCAGTTCTGTGAACACCACTCAGTGCACGGCTTGCCCAGCGGGGACGTTTTCCAGTAATGGTAAGTAGTCACTCTGTTGGGACCAGAAAAGAAATGCCTTTTAATAAGCGATGCACATAGATGGGTAACCACACAGCTACTGACGTGTACTACCACCTCCCTACCCCCCCCTCCCGAGTGCCAACTATGATTCTGAGCAGACATTACCCAATACAAACAATATGTTCTGTGTTCGACCAATCAAAGTCATTGCTTGTTTGTATACTAGAAATAGTAAGCTTTGTGGCCAGAAATTAGGTTAAAAATGTTATGATGGCTTCTGCCCAGTGAACTGATTTACTCCTAATAGGCTTTAAGTGGTGATATCAAGATTAGGTTGTAATTCACAAGTCTTCGAGTTATTTTCTATGATGATTTATTAGATCCTAGGATCAGATTGGAGTGTACTATATGTATACAGAATTATCCCCAGAGGGTTCTACTAGAGAACATTATACTCTTTCTGCTATTTAGTAACAGACCACAATGTGCCTACTTCCAAGATTTTACTATTAACATGACGTAAAGTCACGATTTTATTAATGACACGGAGGCGAGTATTATGCTTCTCTCTTTCTTTATTTTCTCTCCGCAGCAAAGAGACAATATGTAAACTTGAATGAAATATTAATAAAAGAATAAATATAATAACTCTGCCTAGAAACAGGGCAGCCAATCAGGATACAGGAACAGTCTATAAAAGGTCTTCAACTAGCCATCCATTTCCTCTTCTCTGCCTGTACGACCGAAGACCAGAAAGCAGACAAAAAACTTCAAACAGGAACCACGGTCACATAGGAAAACCATCCAGTTCGAAAATCAAGCTGTGAAGAAACAAAAGATATGGTAAAATCCAAACTCCGGAACCATCAAAATATTCACTTAATCTGAAGACTACAGGAATATAGCAAAGTTATAACGATACACAAGCATCATACAACGATATATGCATAAAACATCACAAAAGACACTTACCGCCACCTACCTTGCAGATAATTAAACATAATAACCAAGTAGTGTCCGACAACCCACAGTGAGGGCGGGTGGGAATAATACTCTCCTCCGTGTCATTAATAAAATCATGACTTTATGTCATGTTAATAGTAAAATCTTGGAATTGTATTAATGACACAGAGGCTCCTATTATGCTAGTTAAAAGCTGAGCCACCACCTGAGAAGGAAAAAAGGTCAATCGGGCAGAAATAGAAATCCCAAAATGTAGATTCATGGGACCAATCCGCCGCTCTTAGACTATCGACAAGGCGACAAACCAATCCCTGATGCTTCAGAGGCCACGGCTCCCCTCACAGAATGAGCAGAGAACATTGAAGTATCAATCCCTGTAACGGATAGAAGGTCCCATACCCACCATGCTAGAGGGGGCCTAGAAACTGGAAGATGTGGTGTATGAAAAGATATAAACAATAGATGTAAGTCGGGTGATCTCAATATTCGCACACTATCAAGGTAAGATTGCAAACATGCCACCGGGCACAGATTAAGTTTGACAGAATATCTCAGGTAGGAGACTGATTTCGTATCTGTTTAGTCCTACGAGAAATGTTGAATGATACTCCTACTGGGGTGAAGGATATCGCAGTCCAACTCAAGGCTCTAACATCTGATATCCTCTTACAAGAGAGTAAGTAGTCTGATCGGGGAACCATCCAGACCTCGACCCACAGAAATAGCCGTTCTATAAACATTTAACTGTGCGATTTAAACAGCGCTGTCAGGAAACGCAGTATCACATTCAGAGAGGTAGAAATTGGATCCAATTACCTTTCCATGCACCAGCCAGCCCATACGATAGGCAGATCTTGTCCCAGAAGCCCAGGCATAGTCCAGGAGTTCTGTAGTTGATCATGGAACGTCTGCGAGTGACCAGGGACTCTGGAAATTAACCATGCAGCGAGTTGAAGTAGGTCTTGGTCTATCAATCCGTATGAGTTCCCATCCGGATCCAGAAGCAAATCCGGTGTCACTGGTATCAGCCGTGGGAATCCAACAACATTTTCAGAGGCCAAGGTAACCACGGTTGAGTTTGGCACATAGGAACCACTATCACCAGTGAGCATTCGTGCCTTCATAGAAAAGATAGTGTCCGAGAGATCAGGTTGAACGGAGGAAAGGCATAGTGACGAGAAGATATATCTGTAGGAAGGCATCCACTCCCAGCGCTGTAGGGTCTGGCCGTCAACTGTATATCTGGATAATTGGGTGTTCAGTCTGGACTCTACCAGTGGGCCCCACAAACGATGTAGACAGTGGAAGATCGAACTGAGCAGATGCCAATTCCCCCGAATCCCGTAGGTATCTGGAGTTCCAATCCTCGAGCAGTCGCATGGTCCATTGCAAGTGACAGAGGAGTTGGGCGGGAGAAGTGGACATAAGCAGGATGTCGTCCAGGTAAATTTATAAACCAAAACTCCACGCACCCGGAGAAAAACTACCACCGGCTTCATGATTTTTGAGAAGCACCAGGGAACCGAAGACAGTCCAAAAGATAGACAGGTAAATCTCCATCACCATCCTTGCCATGTGAAATGCAGCCTATCATTGTGCTGCTCAGCTTTGGAGACAGTCAAATAAGCGTCCTTGAGTTCCAGTGTGATCATCCAATCTCCCGGATGTAGTAGATCCCGGAGTCAGTGAATGCCCTCCATCTTAAAATGTTGGTAATGGAGGAAAATGTTGAGGTTTAGCAGATTTATCACCGGGCGAACACCTCAGCCTTTTTAGGCTACCAGGAAAAAATTGCTTGTGTATCCCGGGGTCTCGACTTCTTGATTCACCCGTTTGGTCGCTAGGTCAGTGTGGGTCGGGAGCACAGGCAGTGAACCCTGGGTATGTAATAGGGCCTGTGCAAAGGACTGTAAAATGGAGGTGGACATAGTCCCCATCGCAGAAGCCAGAGCCCTTTGAACAGAGCCCAGGAGGGCCTTGAATTCCTGGGAGGGCATTAAACTCATGGTTGGGGTAATTCGGGCCTGAAACCCCATCACCATGGGATTGCATCCTGGAGTAGGGATTAGGGCAGGATAGAGGGTTAAGAAGGCCACAGGGACACAATCTGTATAATCTGCAGGTCTGCAGAGCAGTGTGGGCTCAATCTGCAGCCCTCAAGCAATACTATAGGCCCAAGCCTAAATCAAGACTTCCAGGTATAAAGTGTATGTCACAGATACTACCCAGCAACACACCACAGGTAGAACAATATACCTAAAAGAAAACTACAAAGCCACAGGGTTGAGTAACCCCAACAGAATACATACAATAAGGACAGAGGAGAAATAGGGGCCGTGCCGCCAGGAACCTTGTCAGCCACGAGGTAGGCCGCCAGGATCCGCCTTTGTGCGTTTCCGACAAAGCGTGCCAAAGGTGAGCAGGCTCCCCTCTCACAATGGCCCGCGAGCGCAGAGAGCTCACGGCCCCAAAGTTCCTGCGGCAATGAGCAAACAAACCCGCACGGTGGGGATCCCAACGGGGATGGAACTGCCGCGGTGTCGGCACGTGAAAGGGGGGAAGGTTAGGTCCACTGAAACGGCATGGCCTGAATCCCGAGCCTGTACTCCCCAGGGAACAAAGTATAGACCGGGAGACTGCCCAAACCATGAAATACACAGCAGTGGGAACACAAATAGTAACCCAAGAAAAACAAGTAATAATCAATAGAAGTACATATAAAAACGCTAAACAATGCATCAAAGTACAGAATGAAAAAGTATAAGAAAGAGGAAGTGGAATGCTAGTTCAAGACCTTTTTTATAGACTGTTCCTGAATCCTTATTGGCTGCCCTGTTTCTAGACAGGGTTGTTTATTCTTTTATTCATATTTCATTCATGTTTACATATTTTCGCTTTGCTGCTGAGGGAAAATAAAGAAAGAGCCTAATACTCGCCTCCATGTCATTAATAAAATCTATAATCCTTCTATTATGTTTGTAATTTAGTTACTACTATTATCCATTTCTCTCTTTTATACATTTTCTGTACTCGTAATATTTATTTAGTTGTGTGCTCTGACATTTTTAACTGATTGACTAAATAAAGGTTTTTTTTTTTTTTGGTTTTTTTTTAAAGGCATTTTTTTGTTGTTGGAAGTTTTTTGTTCCCTTTTTTTGGCCTCCACTACTTCTTGTAAATGTTTACCAATGTGGGTTAGCCTCTTTTCGTCCTATGTCGACTGTGTTAGTCACTGTAGTTTCTAAGGTGACTTTACTTCAATATTAATATTATGTTGTACATTCATTGGATGTATCAAAGCTTGAAAAGCGCAATCTTATTAACTTTTTTGAGAATTTCTTTTTTTTTTTTTTTATAATTATTGTTGTTCTAAAAGGGAGAAGCAGTATCCCTACTGTATTATTGTCACATTGTGATATAGAAGCATATTAACACTACTATTTTGGTATCCAGCTCTATTTAATGACCATCGTTTTGGAATAAAATGTTTGAAAAGGTGCACACATGATTTTGTTCTTGTAATGTCTACATATCAGACTTTCAACCACCTTCATGTTGAGCGGCAGAGGGACTTTATGAAAATACTTGCATGTCTTGGTGACTATTACGTAAAATGGAATTCCATAAATCCTACTCTTCAAGGTTCCCTGCTGCCGCAACTGCTTTACTTATTCCAGACCATTCCAATCTCTATACCTAAGGAGTTCTTTCAGTCGCTCACCACCGTGATATTTAAGTTTGTTTGAAAATCAGGACCACCCAGAGTGAATCAAGCGCTCTTGTCTCTCCCTAAGCGAATGGGAGGAGTGGGCCTCCCGTCGCTTCTCCTTTACTGGGGAGGATCACACTGGACTTGCGTGAAACAGTTCTGCTCCGCTACGAAGCACAAGTCCCTCTTACAATTGGTCCCCGAGGGCACCACTTTGGGAACGAGGAGGTTTAGGTACCACCAGATTAAACACTATTACCAGTCCATCACGGGCAAGCATTTGGTCCACAGTGAGCTGACAGAGTTTGAGAGGCTCCGCACCTCGAGAGATCGCCCTCTGAAAGGGATAACCCTCCTATACTCCCAGTTGCTTACAACAGTACCTTGCCCCCCATCAAATAAAAGTCCCGCTGGGAACAAGCTGTGGGCTGCACATTAACGGACCCACAATGGGAAAAAATAGATATTCTAATGCACCAAGGCATGATCAGCAACAAAGTGCAAGAGCTCAACTATAACTTATTGTTAATTGGTACAGGACACTGACTCGACTCCACTACATGAATGGTGATCTTTCCAATACTTGAGATGCGGGACCGAAGTGTGGACGGATCTACATATCTGGTGGTCGTGCCCTACTATTAGGCCATATTGGCAGCAAATACATACCAAGATTACTGAAATCCCGGACTCAGACCTGCCCTTTCAACCCTTACCGATTGCTCATGCACCACACAATGCTTTCTCTTTCAGCATACAAGTGCTCCCTCACGAGACCTCACCTAAACGCTGTAAAATCTCTTATTCCGCTCAAGTGGCGCTCGGCAAACCCACCGGCCTTGGCACAATGGATGGCCAGGGTGGAGGATCTATACATGGAATCCCTCACAGCATCCCTACAAAGGACCTCTGAGAAATGTGCCCTTACATGGGCCCCCTGGTGCAAATACATGGCGCAGCATTCAACCCAAACTAATTGAGGGCCTTCAATCCTCTCTTTGTCCATTGTTTTCCTCATTCTACTCTCTCCAATTCTTCCTTCCTCCCCGGTATTACTGGGACTGTCAGGATACAAGGGATTGGAGGAAGGGGGGGATTAGACTCCCATAAGTTTCCTTAGACCGCAGTACCCTTATTGGTAGCTTCGTCACCCACCACCACTACTTGAATACTAGATGGTAGCATACACTACTGCTACATATAACGACTCTATTAGGACTGACTCCCCAGACTCGACTGTTAGTTCAATGTATATTCCACCTGTGAGTGGCTCACTGTTTATTGGATATGCTCATCTGATATGTAACCGGAAAAAAATAAAATTTAAATTGTCACAAAAAAAAGTAGGAAACCTGTTGTCCAGGATGCGTGTACTTTCTACCCTCTGAGTTGGGCAACAAAGATAATGATTTTATTCCTCCTCCCTTAGCACAAAAGTCCTGCTCTTTGTGCCCAACTACATATCTTGTATGGAGCTACATCCCTCATAGCCATAATTACTTTTCAAACCACTGGCTCGTGAGCTTATAATGGCCTTTAATTGGAATGTTCTGCGCTATTACATCCAGTAATTAGTGAGTTGATTGATACTATGTCAGACCTTTTTTTTTATTTTTTATTTTTTAAGTTTTCAGAATGTGTAATTCTCGTGTCTTCTTGATGTGCCTCTCAGTAATTATCTATTTTCTATAAGAAAACCATTAATTTTCTATATTGAATGTTTAAGACCCCCTAACTTTTTGATGTAGATTAAAGATTTATTTAAAGGACTCTAATTGAATCATGATTGAATAATGATAATGGTTTTCTTCCTAGATGTGTCTACCTATTATTATACAACATTGTAATATCTGTTGGTTTTAAATTCTGGAGTCCAAAAGAAGAGAGATATTTTTATTTTATTTATTTTTTTAACTTTCTCCCAAGTCATTATTACGACATGCAGTATTACACTCTATAAACCTATGGCCATTTATAGAAAGTAACAAAGCAAACCCAGAGAATGGGAGAATAACACACTTGGAATAGATGTTTTATGTAGGCTCTCTATTTGTATAAATATTTTTCCATAAAAATGTCCAGCTCTGGAAAGACTTTAGTGGAAGAAAATTTGTGATGTTTTAAATAAAACTGTATAAGCCATTTATAATCTGTGTATAGACCAGAAACCGGTTATCGTAGAGCAGAAGGAAATGCTAAACTGTTAAAGCAGTCTTGTAGAGCTTTTCTATTTATAAAAGTCCATTTATCACTGGAATCCCCATATTCATAAGACTGAATGAATATCACAAGTTAATAAAACATTGACCAATTATGCACATTGCAACATAAAATCCCTATTTCTGGGTAGCAAAGCACTTGTTAAATTCTCATTAACTGACCCAGAAGTAAGCATGAAGAATTTATATAGCACATGAAGCATACGTAAGCTCTATACCAAAACCAAACTAAAGGGGAAAAAACAAGGAATGAATAAAATCAATCCATAAATAATTGGAAAGCTAGACTATTTATTTATTACCAATATTAAATACATAATGTTAGGAAGGAATGCGGAGCAAAATGGACAACAGCAACCACACTTCAGTGAAGGCGTTTGCTTTGTATCTGTAGAAATCCGTGACCATTCAGCCAGTAGAGCGTTTGTGAGGTCAGACAGTGATGTTGGCTCAGAAGGTCTGGTCTGCAAATTGCCTCCAACTTCATCCCAAAGGTGTTCAGTGGGGTTGAGGTCAGGGCTATATGTGAGCCTCTCTAGTTCCTTCTCACCAAACTCATCAAATTATATCTTTGTGGACTTCACTTTATGAACATGAACACAATCCTGCTCGAATAGGGAGTGGCATGCCCCAAACTATTGCCACAAAGGTGGAAGCAATCAGTTGTCTAAAATGACTTTGCATCCTGTAGCGTTAAGATGACCTTTCACTAGAGCCACGTGGCCTAGCTCCCTGGAAACTAGACCATTATCTTCCACCGAATAAGAAAACAAAAATCGTTTTCCTAACTCCCCATCCAAGGTAGAAATTGGAGTGGGGGTGAGGAAAAAAGGTCAGGATGGTGGTACCAGCTCCACCTAAGTATGGGCTTGAACCCAGATATTGTGTATAAAAAAACAAAAAATAAACTGGATAGGAGCGATAACCCCCTAGGGGATCCTCCAGATAACTGGTATAGCAGGTATATTCACTGTTAATACAATGTTTCTCGAGAATTCATTAAGTGTATATAAGATATAGACAGTAAAAACTCTAGGCACAGGGGATAGAGCTTGCTGTTGGAAGGGAAATCAGTGCATATAATGAACTAAAAATCCTGCACCAAAGGCTGCTACTGAGAGGCAGAACGGCTGCTGTAGACACCACTAGACTGATTCCCTAAGACTCCAATAAACACCTTTGTGGGTGTTCTATACTAAAGCTGCTACTGAAACCCGGTGTCTACGACCAGCCTCCATAGAATACTAGATGCTGTTTAATCTATAAATATAAACGAAATTAACAACCAAAATAAAGTGAAAAAAAGAAGAAGAAAAAAACAAAAAAACAAATCCCTTCAAGTGCATAGTGCAGTGCTAAAGTGAGGTGAAGGGATTATCTTCCACCAAACTGTACAATGGGCACTGTTCCATTAAAGGGACTCTCCAGTGCCAGGAAAACAAATTTTGTTTTTCTGGCACTGCAGAATCCTGCCGTGCCCCCCTCCCTACAACCCCCCATCCCATGTTGCTGAAGGGTTAAATCCCCTTCAGTAACTTACCTGAATCTAGCGCAGATGCTTCACCCACGCTCCTCTCCCGCTGACATCAGCCGACGGGGGAGATCTAATGCGCATGCACGCGTGCATTAGACCTCCCTATAGGAACGCATTATTGCTTTCCTATGGGGATTCTGGCGATGCTGGAGGTCATCATGCATAGCATGAGGACGTCCAGCGTCGTTTAAAACACTTTTTGTGTTTTTAAGAACGCGGAAGTCCCTCTAGTGGCTGTCTGAGAGACAGCCACTAGAGGAGGACTTAACCCTGCAAGGTAATTATTGCAGTTGATAAAAACTGCAATAATTACACTTGCAGGGTTAAGGGTGATGGGAGTTGGCAACCAGATCACTCCAATGGGCAGAAGTGGTCTTGGTGCCTGGAGTGTCTCTTTAAGTAGTGTTCTCCTGACAAAGATTATTACATCAAACTGCTAGCCACTTCGGGTGATACTTGGCATTTCGCATGTTGGTGTGAAGCTTGTGTACATGAAACTCACAACGTACAGTTCTGGCCCTGTAGCATGTGTCTATAAAACCAAAAATACACTCTCTTAGGTTTTGTTTCACTGTACAGGTAAAAAATAAGCAATATTGGACAAAGGCCAGATCAATAAAATGCAGTGAAGTTACATTGGTGCCCAGAGTGTTTGAGATATCCTCTAATTTCAGAGTACGTGTGCTGAGCATATTGCTTGCTACATTTGGTCTGCGTATAGAGTTTGCATTGTGCTCTGTAGTTTACTGTAAACATGGTATGATCTAAATCCATATTAGACCTACATGCTGTACGGAGATACAACCTGTATTTTGCTAAACGTACATAAACACTCCGGCGGTCTACTTTACAAACGCAATGTTTTGTCACTTTTGATAGTCACCATGTTTTGGACATCTCATATTACAGTGACTGCAGTTGTCTATCTTTAGATGGAAACCGAAAGCAGAACTACTCCTACATGTAATTTAGAACAAGAACAATGTATATTATTTACCCAGACTGATTTCTAAACCCCTTTTTTGTAGTTTAAAGACACATTACTGGGAGTATTATTTCTGCGGAGCTCAATTAAACACGCAGACACACCAACAATATGGAGGTAATAGAAAAGAGAGACCGAGGGATTTGGGTCCAAAATAAGGACTGTCCCTCCTAAATAGGGAAACTTGGGTGGTATGGTTTTGGATCTACAACTCCTAAAGTTAGAGAAAAAACCACAGGAGATGGTTTTCCACGACCGGTATCTGTTGGTTCCATAAAACAAATTCTAGTGAATAAAAGAAGGAAAAAGATACAATGTTATGTTGCGGTAAAGAAGTGTCGGTGATTGGTAAGAGCTTGGATTGCTGGTTGCTTTCTTCTCTAAATTTAGTTCCTAACTTCATCCTTGGTAGGAAATGAACTGGTAGGACTTCAGTAACATTGACCTTTACTCCTACCACTGCAATGGAGCCTGCTATACTGATAGAAATGGCTTGGCATAAACAAGTGCTGAGATTATTTTTTTTACTTCTTTCTCCATTCACAGATACTGAACCCTGTGTCTGTTGTCGGAGTGGCTTCTGTCTGGATTCCTCTGGATGTTTTCCATGCTCAGCGGGTTTCTACCAGCCACAGCCAAGCCAATTGACCTGTCTTCCATGTCCAGAAGGGTTTTATAGCAAGTAAGGTGGCTGCAAGACTGCATGGTCTGTTATGAGCTCTAGCATATGGTTTTAAACCTGAGCTACCGAACAGAGGCTTAGCATGTTCATTTAGTAACCGGGGCAAGTCTATAAACTGCGCCCCGTCAAAGCCCTTCCATGAAAGCTTTATTTTTATGAGACACTCACCGCACTCCCACACCATGGCTTCTTACCCACAAACAAGTTAGTTGACAGACACACACGAACACACACTTACTCACGCTTGCAAGTGACCTGCACGCAGTGAAACCTGCACACACACTCACACGCAGTGACCCATACACACTTTCTGACACACATGGTGACCCATACTCACAGTGACACCAGCACACAAACACTGCTTCATTACCCATGGAATGGAGAGCATGTGACTGTGAGGGAAGCTTCAGTAATGGCAAACAATCTGAGAACGTGTTGGTGACCCACTGCACGATAAAACTTGTACCCTCTTTGTTGCATCTCTTCCACTGGAATCATTGAAGACCTAGCATCCCTCGCATTTTAATCTTTATTAAAGGGACACTATAGTCACCTGAACAACTTTAGCTTAATGAAGCAGTTTTGGTGTATAGAACATGCCCCTGCAGCCTCACTGCTCAATCCTCTGCCATTTAGGAATTAAATCCCTTTGTTTATGAACCCTAGTCACACCTCCCTGCATGTGACTTGCACAGCCTTCCATAAACACTTCCTGTAAAGACAGCCCTATTTAGGCTTTCTTTATTGCAAGTTCTGTTTAATTAAGATTTTCTTATCCCCTGCTATGTTAATAGCTTGCTGGACCCTGCAAGAGCCTCCTATATGTGATTAAAGTTCAATTTAGAGATTGAGATACAATTATTTAAGGTAAATTACATCTGTTTGAAAGTAAAACCAGTTTTTTTTTTTCATGCAGGCTCTGTTAATCATAGCCAGGTGAGGTGTGGCTAGGGCTGCATAAACAGAAACAAAGTGATTTAACGCCTAAATGACAGTGAATTGAGCAGTGAAATTGCAGGAGAATGATCTATACACTAAAACTGCTTTATTTAGCTAAAGTAATTTAGGTGACTATACTGTTCCTTTAAAGGCTAGTCGATGCATTTAAAAAAACAAAAAAAAAACAATTATCTTCAGTGGAATGTCATTGAGTGATGGGTAGATTATGGGCCTGGTTTCTGGTTCTTTTTATTGTATTTTGTGTGGTGTGTTTTTTTTTTTTTTTTTTAATTGATGCAAACTCAATGTGCTAAAAAACAGAATACAAATGTATTTTTATTTGTGCACCGTTTCTTCGTGTATATTGTATACATTTTGGTCTCTGAGAAATACATGTCGAATTCCTGTTTAGTTCTTACTTAATTTTGACTGTGTGTGTGTGTGTGTTCTTTTCAATGTTAGTATGGATTTTGAACGGTAACAATCCTTTGTGAGTAGAGTGACATATACACTACGAGACCAATAAAGGGGTTTAATACTGTGTGTGAACGATATGATGTACTCTCACCATGTGACCAGGTCCTAATGCTGACAAACGTGTCCTAAAAGCGTTAACCATATTTATTTTACTGCATTATTTTACTTTCCCCTACTCCTTTGTAGTATACAAACGTATAATTAATCTGTGCTTTATATTTCAGCACCAATCAAAGCACCATGTGCCAATCATGCCCAGCTGGCTACTACTCCAATCAAACTGCCTCTGTGCTCTGTATGGACTGTGATAAAGGTACTGTTCTTAAAATTATCTGCTAAAAAGGCTCTGTTTGGCAACATGCATTTAGCTGCCAGGAAAATGTTATCAGGACACTACAGTTATACAGCACAGAAGACTTTGCTGTACACCTCTATGTTCATGTTCCCATTGTACAGCGCTACAGAATCTGATGGCGCTGTATAAATAATAAAATAATATCACGTTTTATATCTAAATATCCAAACAGGAAAACATTTTTCTCTTAAGTTTGGTTGGCATGTAAGGATATGCAGTGATGACCTGAGAGGGTGATTTTATCATTCGAGGTCTGAAACAGCCTGTCTAGTGCCCCATCTGAGATGGACGACTTTGCGTGCCCACTGTTAATTTATCTACTAATTCTGGGTAATATGGGTTCCGAATTCACTAACTGTTTTCTTGGTGGCATGTACGAACACACAAGCCTAACTATTTTGCCATTATTAAAAGGAAATCAATATTGACAGTTAATGCCGTCACGCTCACTTAATTCTATCATGTTCCTGTTCTATGTATCTATTTTGAGGTGGTTGGTGGTATTTTCATGTTATCTGACTTGCCACCATTAACCCTAAACATCTCTTTAACAGGGTTCTTCTCCTCTCAAGAGAATGCCACATCCTGCCAAGCGTGTTTACCTGGGACTTTTTGCAAGTAATGTGTGGTTTGTTTGTTTTTTGTTTTTTTTTATATATAAATATTTTGAACTATTTTATTCTGCACAGAATGTATTTTTCCGCTTCAGGTTGTGATTGAGTGAGTGACATCTTTAAAACTTGGCGTGTTGCTTGAAAAAATATCGCTAAAATACAGCACTTTTTTATTTTATCTCTAATATTGCATGTATACATAATACAAGTAATTTAGCCTTCACACAGCTTTCTTTCGTAATGGGTCTGGCTGTCAACTCTTTATTTATATATATACTGTACATAGGTTGTAAAAATAATAAAGTGCAACGTCTTAAAACTCAATGCTGTTTTAGTTTTGTGTAAAATTTTCTTTATTGTTTTGTCATTTAAAGCAGAATAAGATTGAAACAGTACACATTCTTAATAACAGTACTTCTGTAGGCGAATAAAAAAGCACCAATTATAATGAAGTAAATAACCGTTTTTATAATGAAGTAAATAAGTTTTGCGTATTATACGCGGATGCTAAGCCGTGAATGGCTAAGAAGTAGAGTGCATGCTTAAAAGTAAACCAAATCATAAATGCAAATATGCTAGCACATCATAATTAAATTAAGGTATGCAAATATTAGCCTGATCCTACATAGACATGACGTAAGTTCTAGGTGCTTTAAATTTGACTTAACCGAAACTATTGCAAAAAGGCTCCCCCAGGTGGCCACCATCTTGTCTCCCGAACGCAGGCAGTGGTACCTGGAACTTATTTTGGCTAGGCACCCCCACGAACGGCATTCGGGAGATCTAAATACCGAATGCGTGGAGCATTCGACACCTAAAAGCGTTCGCATATTACGTATAAAAACCCACGAAAGTGGTCAAAAGTGTACCTCGATGGAAAATCCAAACCACTGAACTGATCTGAGTGATTTTTGGTTATGATAGTCACTCAGATCATGGCTATCCAGGAACGTGACTTTTGAAAGGGGTTTCCATGGATTTGGGGAGTACGTTTGGGATGTTTAAAAATTTTCATATTTTTCTGTTCCTGGGAGATAAGTGAATTGTAAGTTTCCTGACAGCATTATCTCTCAGGAGTTTACTGTATGTATAAATTGAGAGTGCTTGCCTGCATTAAACAGATCTACTCCCAGTATCCGTCTCCACTAATGTGTGGTGGAAAGTGATACCAGCGATATTTACTTTGATGCGTATTGGAGCTACTTTATTTTGGGAAAGGGAATCTGTGGTGGCGTTATATTGGCGGTCCGCCACAGCAACTATTAAAATAATTAACAAGGAGGGGACATAATGTCCACCCAAACTCACAGGGGGTGAACACTAGTATAATAACCCCCACTATTAAGCTATTTGTTAGTGTGAGTTGGGGCTAATTGTAAAAATAAAGTGAAGTGTGCTGCGTAGTGACCGACCAGTCAGAATGCCCATGAAGACCCCTGTCCACTGCTGAAAGCACCTTCAATGGGGTATTGGCATCCGCAATGGAGATCCTCTTGCTAACAGGCAACAGGGTTGCCTGTTCTGATGATTCACATTTTCATTTAGATCAGGTGGGTGCTCTAGTGTGTGTGCGTTCTTTATCTGGTAAAGAGATGGTAGTAGGATGCACTATTGGAAGAAGGCAGGTCCTGGCATATGGGTGTTATTTTGACACGTACCACCTACCTAGAGATTGTAGACCATGTACACCCCTTTATGGCAGTGGTGTTTTGTGATGGCAGTGGCATCTTTCAACAGAAAAAATGAACCCTGCCAAAATTGTTCAGGAATAGTTTGAGGAACATTACATAGTTCAAGGTGTTGCCTTGGCCTCCAAGTTCCCCAGATCTCAGTCTGATTTAAGAATTTGTGGGATGTGCTGAAACAAAAAAAACAAAAAACAGATAAATGGAGGCCTTACTCTGCAGGACTTTAAAGGATCTGCTGCTCATGTCTTGGTGCCAGATACAACAGGACACATTCAAAGGTCTTGTGGAGTCCATGCCTCAACACATCAGAGCTGTTTTGGCTGAGCAAGGGGAACGTACACGGTATTAGGCAGGTGGTTTTAATATTGTGGCTTCTCAGTGTACACTTATATAAATTCTCATTTATGATTTAAATGTGTGCCTGATTAAAGGGACACTATAGTAACCTGAACAACTTTAGCTTAATGAAGCAGTTTTGGTGTATAGAACATGCCCCTGCAGCCTCACTGCTCAATCCTCTGCCATTTAGGAGTTAAACCCCTATGTTTATGAACCCTAGACACACCTCCCTGCATGTGACTTGCACAGCCTTCCATAAACACTTCCTGTAAAGAGAACCCTATTTAGGCTTTCTTTATTGCAAGTTCTGTTTAATTAAGATTTTCTTATCCCCTGCTATGTTAATAGCTTGCTAGACCCTGCAAGAGCCTCCTGTATGTGATTAAAGTTCAATTTAGAGATTGAGATACAATTATTTAAGGTAAATTACATCTGTTTGAAAGTGAAACCAGTTTTTTTTTTTTCATGCAGGCTCTGTCAATCATAGCCAGGGGAGGTGTGGCTAGGGCTGCATAAACAGAAACAAAGTGATTTAACTCCTAAATGACAGTGAATTGAGCAGTGAAATTGCAGGGGAATGATCTGGACACTAAAATTGCTTTATTTAGCTAAAGTAATTTAGGTGACTATAGTGTTCATTTAATGCTAAAGTAACTCAAAATAAATTCATGTATTTGTCCTGATTTTATAAAGTACATTATATGTATAGGATTTCAGGGTTTTTTTTGTGACCTTTTAAGTACCAAAAATAGAGTAACCTACAATTTCGATGATGAGCGATTTTAAAACTAGGTAGGTTTGTCTTCCAAATTTAAGTGCAATCACAGGGAAAAAAAATTGCCACACGAAAGTATATATTTATATATAGTGTAGACATCACCGGCTATTAACCTGAGGGTATTCTGACACTTTTTACATTTAGCCAATTTCTGCTAAATATTGCAGTAAAGATGTGGGGGATTCTCTTGCTAACCCAAACCCTAATCTGAAACTTAATTCTAAACCTAATGCTACTCCTAAACCTAATCTTAATCCCTAATCCAAAGGGGTTCCCGCTGCTACCATCAGTATTATATTGGCAAAGGAAATTCTAAGATAAAAACAGTAGAAAGTGGTGTGTTGCTGACATCTACTGGTTGTGTTCAGCATGACGGGGATATAAATCATGTCATACTGCAGATTCAGTGCCCATTACACTGTGATCGATGCTGTGCAACTGGCAAAGTCCAGCCCCATCCAAATGGCATTGGGACATAGCGGGAGACTCTTTTTCAGGGTGTCCCTCAAGCATTTTGCACATAGATAATCACCGTGGTTGAGCACCATCACTCATGGATTCCTCAGTAGATTTAAAGGGCTGTATGCAGCGCTGACTTTCAGTCCTACATAGACACCATAAATCTGTCTGGGGCATTTCACAGGCTAACTGCATCCGTCCATGCTTGTAAAAAAAAGACATGATTTATTTATTTATTTATTTTTTGTGGGGGTTTAAGGGGGGTTTGGAAATAGCCAGTTTTATTTTTTTTGTTTCAAAAACTGATCATAACAGTTCTAATACTCCAGGCAGATTTTATTTTTTATCAACACTACTGTAATTTTACAGAACTGATGGTATGAATGCACATTGCATTGTGATGGCTGTATCTATAGTCCTGTGATCTCTTTCCACAGCGTGACCACATGTACCAGCTGTACGGTTTGTCCAAATGGTCAGGAAGCTGTCAATGCAGGTTCTCCAGAGTGCAGTCTATGTCTTCCAGGTAATTTCATCTATTTACTCTGTTGAAATGCTCGGGTTGACAATGTTATCCATACGTAACTACGTAATCTGTCATTTTCTTTTACTCATGAGATCTCACAATCTTGCAAACGCTATTTCGGTGGACAATATTTTAGATATTTAACTCCTTGGTCCAAAGAACACACGTCCAGTTATCAGATTTACTGTTTTATCATGCAGAATTCATCCGAGCATAAAAAGGAGCATTGCAGGCACTTAAAGCGTTACTCCAAGCATGATAACCACTATAGTACCTGTGACTGAGCTCCAGCACTCTGACCGAGTACCTCCGCCAAGTCCGCTTCCTCGTAGCTATCAGGGACCCTGAAGCACTTCAGACCCAGTTGCCGAGCCTTGACTGGCTGGGATCACTACGAGCCTTTTCCACCCTGAACCAAACACCAGACTACACTTGGTGAAGGTTAACACCACAAATAACTTTACTAGACATAGCACACATATTTTAAGCCCCCAACAGCCTAATTTACATACAGTGGTGCATAGAGTACTATAGTACAAGGAAGGGTGGGCTCAAACAATAGCAAGAGCTGATGGGAGATTGAGGAGGGACAAAGCAGCTAGTTTAAACTGGTCTGGAAGTGTCCCTGGGACAATGCCCTGCTGGGGAAACAATAAGATAGAAAAAAGGTTGTGGGAGAGCGGCACAGACAAGCAATACATTTAACATACCCTGCAGGCCTGCACCAATAATGGACACAGGGTGACCAAAACACAAAAGGAATCTGGGGACCCACACCTAGTACCTGTCTTCCCAACCCAGTAACGGTGACTACTGTCACAGTACCCTGGCCCCATGCCGCACTTGGTGCCTAGTTAAGAATGTCTGGATCTAGCAGTACTGCAGCAACTAGATGCCAATTTTGTCACCATTCAATGACTTAGAGCGTCAGCTGATTACTCTCAGCCAGTGAGTGAGTGTTTATATAAATATGCACAGAAGTGACATCAAGAAGATTTCCCGGCTGGTTTATGATGCCCTAATGACTCAGCCGGAGGTGGAGTTACACCTCCAGCTGCAAAAGGGGTTTAACTCTGTATGTGAAGTGTTTCATAATGAAATCCTGTATATAGACTCTAAGCACCATAAACACTTTAGTGACTTGAAATGGTCATGGTGTTTTGCGTAACCCTTTAAAGGGATTCTATAGTGCCAGGAAAACAAAGCCGTTTTTCTGGCACTATAAATTCCTACAGTGCCCACCTCCCGCAGGGCTTACCTGACTCCAACGCTGATGTCCCTGGGTCAGGCTCCGCCCACGCTCCTCCAATGGCACACTTGCATTATGATTTCCCTATAGAAAAGCCTATTTATTCAATGCTTTCCCATGGGAAAAAATCTGAGGCTGGAGGTCCTCATGCAGAGTGTGAGGATGTCCAGCGTAAAATAATGGAGCAAATGTACATTTGAAACCAGTAGGCCCTCTAGTGGCTGTCTGGTAGACAGGCACTAAAAGGTGGAGTTAACTCTGGATAGTTATTATTGCAGTTTCTCAATAACTGCAATAATTACTATTGCAGGGTAAAGGGACTTGAGCTGAAGTGGTCTGGGTGCCTACAATGTCCCTTGAAAAACACTTCAGCTGTAACTGCTCATAGTTATAACTGCAAACCGAACTATAGTTCACACTAGAAATTATTAAATTAAGAATATGCAACAAACCTCAAATGCACATTTTTTGGGGGGTTCTGCAAGATATGCTACCATACAGATAAAATGTATATAATAAGTCCATAATCCACACACAGCTGATATTGAACAACTACGAGCAAAATTGGAGTCTTTTACCGGGCAGTTAATTGTTATGCAGTCTTGTGAATGTGACTTGTACAGTGGTCATCATCAACCTTGGTCTGTCTGAAGTTGAAGTAGTGCCAATTTCTTGCATTCATGTTGTAACATATACATTGATTAATTGGGTAGCATTTTAGTAAACCCCAAACCTCAAACAAAGACACGTTCTACTTATAGCAGTATTCTATCATACTGATCTGTATATTTCAGACTATCAATGCATTTGGGCTGCAGACTGAAATCACTTTGCAATAACAAGTTAAATTTCAGTAGAAAATATTTCAATTGCAGTTTGTCAATTTACCTATATTATAGTACATTATATATTATAGTAAATATATTACTAGTCTGTGTGAAGACAATGCTTCCGTACCTGTAGATTATACTGGGAAAAAGTTGTTGGCACCAATACAGCAAATATTATCACTCCTATTCAAAATAAAGCGGAATGCTGAATTTAAACCCACAAAGGTCTTTGACTCTGAACACCTGTTTCTTAAGTTTTCACTTCCTTTTCAGCATTTTCCTGTGTTCTACTGAATTACTCGTATGTAAAGTAAGCTGAAACAGAAGAGTTTATTTTTTTTTTTTTTTAAATTCTTTATTTTTGTTCGTGCATAAGGTTAACATGCGAATTTGCACTGCCACAATAGCTGGTGCACTCAAATTTGCATACACGCTTAGTCACATGGCGTTAATGACATTGCACTTTTTAGTAGATTAAATAAACAGGATAATTTCTCATGCTTATAAAGACAAATAAAAGTAGCATTTTGATTCACAGATATGTGTCACTTTGTAGTCATAGTAAGATTAACGGTCGAGCTGGAACATTGCATTACAGAGCATAGTTTTACACTTGTAGCTTTGCGTTGGATTGTACTGTGGTATGCTCTTGGTACATTCTGTGCTGTGATTTGTAATTATGCCCCGCTAGGCCGAAGAAACATAAACACAAAGAGCCTTCTCATATGGTCAGTGGCACTAGGTTGAGTAATGCCTATTGAGAGATAAAGAGCTTAGATTTTACCAGGGAAACTAACTGGGTGCTTGACAGCTGAAGACAAGCATGCAAGATGGTCCAAGATGGGACACATGAGGACTATATTAGCCGTGTAGTTTAAATGCTTTGCTGAATATGGAAGTGGGCCAGCTGGGGTAGCCTATATTCGGCCTGACCGGAGCCAACACAAATCCCCCCTGCATTTATGGTAGGGACACTGAAGGTCATGGTTTATGTATGATTGGGGGTTGATATCCTGCCAGGCTTAAGTTGGTAGAGTAAAGTTGTGGTGCTTTCTATTTTGCATATGGCAGGGTCCCAGGTGATATCCTAAGAAGCTACCTCGCCTACCATTTGGGGTTCCCGCATACATTTCTAGGTAACAGAGGAGTAGCTTTGGGGCGCTTGCTAAGGAGGCGAGCGTTAGTATGTTATCCATCGCTTACTACACCACATATGGAACTCAGTATAGAAATAAAGGCTGCAGATTATGTAACATTGCTTTTCCTGCTAAATAGGCTGCTGTTTTGCTTAAATTCAGTAATAGCATATTTTAGACTAAAAAGTTAACCATCAGTGTAATGCCTTATATGATCATGTTCGAGTTGCTATCTCAAGTTATGCTGGTCTAATGCTATGCTGTATAGGTTGTCACATAAGAAAAAAAAAAGAAAAAAAGGGCAAAGGCAAAAGCTCTGTAGGAAGTAATGTAAAATGAAAATAATAACAGGTTAAAGGCTATTATTATACACTTTTCTAGCCTGTAAAATGCAAGTCTTATGTTATGAGGTATGGTGAGAGAGTCCAATTGTAGTGAGGTGTGCGCCTGGTAGGCTCCGTTCGTGTGCAGCTGCTCAGCCGATCCCCTCCGAGTGCCTAGTACAGTCCCTGGGGAGGTTGGCAAGGGAGGGCCCCAAGTAAGGGTTACAATTCAGCATGGTGTCGAGTGTTGCAGCGTGGCGGTGGCAGACGTCTCAGGTATCCCGGGAACCTGCAGCAAATGTCCTCTTCTAGCTGTAGGTTATGTTGCCTATGGATTTCAGCTGCGGCATGAAGAGTTCATAGGTGCTGTTGCCCCCTTGTGGTTGGGTTGTCATCAGACGCTGCAGCCCTGTTGTAAAGGTGTATCAGGCAGAAATCCCTCATTAAAGTGTCACCTCCTGCCGGGTCTGCCCGCAAGTTCTTTGAAGGGGGAGCAGTGTGGGCTACTTCTAAACCTCGTTGCCTGTTTTGGTGAGTAGCCTGTAGTGGATTCGGTTTTGGCGCCATCACATATGGCCTCCGCCATCTTGACTGCTGTGTCCTGGTGTCGGAGCAGGGCGGCCTTGCTGCTGCGCCCTGGGTGGTCGGGGCGTGCGGGGGTGAGAACCGGGATCACCCCCCCGGTCCAGAGGGGGGGGACGGGGCCATTTCCCAACGGGTCTGGCCTTGGCTGAGCACCGATGGGCAGGATAGTGGGGCAGCGGCCGTCTGCTCCACTCACCGCCGGAGTAGGCCTCGTTTGCGCCAGTGAGGATTCTTCCTCCAGGGGACTGAAACCAGGCAGGCCAGCCTCACCCTGGGTCCGGTACTCTCCACCCGATGAGGTCCACCGCAGCTGGTCGGCTTTGTATGCCAAAAGTCTGGTTTTCATGCTTATTTTGTTTTAAGTTTCAGGAGCTGGTCTGACATGCGACCATCTTGCTTGGCGGCCTGGCCCCGCCCCCAGAAGAGTTTATTTTTAATTGAATCTTCTAACGCAAATTGCAACATTGGCCCGTCGTTTTTCTAGCGAGCAGAAAAACTGCTCTAGCTCCTAAACTGAATTGCGTTCGTACGTTAGTAAGAAGATCCACAAAGTGTTTTAATTTGTCACTGTTTAACAGCTATAATCGACACCAAATCAATGTACAAAATATATGCTGGCTTTTCACAAACACAGACACCATACTAACACTCACAGTGCCATTACAGAAAGCATTGTGATGGGCTGCTCTCCAGTGAGGCTCTGTATTTAAGATAATGTATGCTGAGATCTCTGAGTAGGAGTTCACACTGAAAGAGCTGGTTAGGTCTCTCTAAATCTGATAAATATTTAACTAATGTTAATAATAAAAATGTGAGGTCGATTTCACCATCTTACTGGGAGGTAAGGGCGTTAATGTATGGCCACACTACTTCCTCCACATTTTGTTGTCCAGGACGAAGGAAGACCTACTTGGCAGGGGACAGACGAGTGACCCTTACTGTACGTTGTGGCATGGAGGGTATTAAATGTTGGGCCAAAGGATGTAACATCTGGAATCTGACGTACCATACTTTTGTTTTATGCAGGAACGTCTAAAGGACCTGGCCAACTTTTTTGTGTGTACTGTCGAGATGGTGAATATCAGGACAAATGGGGTGCGGAACGTTGTGAAATGTGTCCTGCAGCTCACTATTGTCCTGTAAGTCCATTTGGTTAAAGCAGTAAGTGTGTACAGAACCTGTGTGGAGGATGTATACTGGTGAAGTGTGGATATTTTATATTGTATGAAACAAACGTCCAGCCCGTTAATTCTGCAAGCGTGATGTAATTACGTTTCAGAAGAGGAAGAGTCTGGGTCTTCGTATGTATACAGTGATGTAGAGTGGACTTTCTTGCCACACCCAACACATCTGAATAAATTTGGAATAATTTGAGGCATTTGAATAGCGCATGCCAAATAAGGCTATGTCAATGGACGGGTCAAGTCTCACGTTTGTGAGTAAAGAAATGGAGTCACGTACCTCCTTCCAAGATTGTATAGCTGTCTGGAAGGACCACAGACTGTGCTACAGAATTACCTAATGATTTTGGGCACTTTCTAGTGTATCTAAAAATCATTTGTAATGGTTTGTCCAGCTCATAATATACATGGTGCACTACCTTTAAGAGAAACCCATTTCTTGTCACACCACTCAACTGGTTTGACAAAAAAACCCAAACCTAAACCTTGGAAGGTAACACACTACACTGAGCTGTAGATGTTAGTTTGCCTTATTTCCTTTTTTTTTTTAAAAAAAACACTCCAAGCACCATAACCACTAAAATGTTGACTTGTTACTTCCCTCCCCACCGTAAGGAAGGAGTTAAAGCATTTTTAGAGTAGTTTGATCTGTTACCTGGAGTCTCCTGGGCACCATTCCCCATTTTCACTACCTCCACCTAAGAGATGGAAGCTCCTACGTAGGATCTTCCATTGGTTATTCTGACTTAAGCTGATTGCTCTCAGCCAATTAGCTAAGCCCTGCACAACTGGGTTTAACTCAGATTTAATTGGTTCTCTGGCTGAGGCATGGAGTTGCCAGAGTTAAAGTGGTTATGGTGCTTGTAGTACCTTTTAACCCCTTGAGGAAACGTGACATGTCATGATTCCCTTTTATTCCAGAAGTTTGGTCCTTAAGGGGTTAAGGACCAAACTTCTGGAATAAAAGGGAATCATGACATGTCACACGTCGTGTCCTTAAGGGCTTAAAGGAACACTCTGGGATTTAACTGTTCATTATGACTTCAATGTCAGCTTACTATCTCAGCCAATGACTAGTATTCCCATTGAGAAAACTGTCGGAGAAAGGTATGTTCCTTCCTCACACAGTCTTCTCAGTGGGAAGCTTGTCAAAGGCTCTAAGCATCAGCTGATACTCAGCCCATCAACAAGACCCAGTCGGAGGTCTCCTCATTGAAGCTGAGGACTTGCCTGAATTAGGAGGACAGAGGAGACAGGCATCATTTAAACTACTTTGGTGTTAAACGGTATATCCCCTTAAGGTAAAACGGCACCTGAGACAGCCAGGCACCATCATAACCTCAGTGCAATTATGTTGCCTGAAGTGTTCCTTTTAAGTTGATTGTTCATGTAAGGAGTTATTGCAGTGGAGGTGGTAAGAGGTGTTTTTGTATATCTTAGAACTTAACTATAGAAGCTGTTTAATATTGTCACAAGGCTAAAATAAAATGCATGTTCCCTTACCCAGAGTCCTGATATTAGTCCCATTGCGTGTCCTGAGGACGCATTCTGCCCAGAAGGAAGCACTGCGCCACGTTACTGCATGGAAACCTTCTTGAGTAAATCGGGAGATACTTGTGTGTGGTCAACTCTCAGCTTTGCACTGCTAATGCTAGCTGTGTCGCGTAAGTTTTTTTTTTTTTTTTTTTTCATATGTATATATTTATACTAATTAATGGGAATTCTGCTTTTCCCCTCTGACAATATATCTTTGAATGGTGGAAATAAAGTAGGTTCTATCCCGGCACCACGACTGTAGAGATGGCTGCATGTTTATAGGAAGATGTTAGAAGTTAGTGACATCTAAATTACAGGACCACTATACTCATCCAGACCAATTAATCTCAATGAAGTGGTGTGGGTGATGTGGCCCTGGTCGTTTTGGTCCTCCAATCCAAAACATTGCCATTTTGGAGATACGACAATGGCTTTTATATCGCAGTGCTAAACACACCTCTAGTGGCCATTAGGAAGACCACTACCAGATGGTGCTTCCCCTTTGAGAAGTATTTGATGCACTTCTCGTCCACAATGTTTCTCTGAGAAACATTTGATTGGATGAGAAAATGAGCAAGATTGAACAGCTATGATGACAAAATGGGAGCAGGAGTCCTGCAAAGACTGTGACTTTGGCCTTAAGCATAATAATTAGCACAACTTTTCTAATTTTTGGGAAAGGGGAGATTTAAAAAAAAAAAAAAATTATTTTCAGGACTATATTTTCCCTTTAAGGTGCAGAAGATTGAGATCACATCTTTAGTGTCCAAGGAAAAAACATTTTAACGGTAGAATCAGAAAACAGCGTAGTGTTGAAATCCTTGCAGATTTAGGCAAAGCATTGAAGTATGGTGTGGTGTTTTATCATTGTTCCAATATTCGGGTACAAGTCTAGTTTGATAACCGCATTCGTAGGTATGTTATGTATCCCATCAACGTAAAGAATGTAAATTCCTAATGCACTCAAACACTGCTTTAAATTGTATTTAGAAAGCCTTAATTTTTTTAATTTATTTTTTAGTTACCATGTATTACCAGAACACAATTTGCACTTTAGTAAAATTAACCCAATAAAACCATAAATACTACATAACTATTTTTGTTTTGTATCTATTTTGTTTTCTCTCCCGTTTCTTACAGTTGGATTAGTTATTTGTGCTGGCATTATATGCTATCGTGATCGTCGGATTCTTAATAGAATAAGAAGCTTTTTCCCTCAAAGACCTTTCTACGTTGGACCCCTCAGAGCCCAACCTGACAGTTCTCGAACTCCCTTGATGGGTGAGCAAAATTTGCCAGGTTCAATGTATGTAAAGTACGACTCGGAGCCAGTGTATGCTGGATGGTAGCTTAGAAGGACCTAATTTCGGTTCTGGAACTGGCGGCTTTTTTTTTTTCTTCTTCAAAGTTTTGTAAATATTTTTCTTTTTTGCATTGTACAGTCTAAAGATATTTAAGATTACAATGTGATTCATAAAACAGAACTCTGTTATACATAGTGTACAGTCATATTTAAAATAAAACTTTATGGCTTTCATATACCTGTTAAAATTCCTTTTTCCTTTTCCTCATGTAGAGATCTATTTACTAATATTTTATGTATATCTTAAAGTGGCTCTGTCACCTTGTAGGGTCTGCATAATTTTCAAAGACCCCCGACTGTGACATTGATGTCTTCGAAGGATTCACTGATTTGAAGTGGTCCTGGTGCCTGGAGTAATAAAATGCTAGATGTGTAATGCCATCTCCAACCACATCACCAGCCCAGGGACCTCAATATCCCCTGTCCACTTTCCCATCGCCTCCCCCACATCGGCTCCAATCCATATGTCTTACCATTTGCGGGGGGCCCCTATCCTAAAATATTGTCTGTGGCAATCAGGTGGATTGCAGCCACAGCGCTTGTTCGTGGCTCCTTTTGGGTCATTCCCCTAATCTTTAGCTTTGGTAGGTGTTCAAATGTCCCTATTGGTAACTTGAACTTCCAGGAGGGGGCCTGTATTTGGAGAAGCAAAGAGGGAGGGGGGAAATGCCTTGCTTGCTGAGGGGCAAGGGAGAATGAGTAGCTACTTCGTGGTAGTGATATTTGAGTGAGGTATAGGAAAATTGGAGGGGGCAGAGGGAGATAAGGGGGAATATAGATATATGGTCAACCGTGAAATACACAACTTCTATTTACTAAACTCTATATTAGCAAATTTAAATCCAAATGGAAAACCTGCAGCAAAAATCGATAAGGAAAAATTCTTCAACTCCGCCAACAATGAAGCCTCAACTTGTTTATTTTCTCTTGGGTTTTTACATTTGGATTTAATTTGATAAAATTCATTATTTGGTTATTAACCCATCTTGTGAACCTTGTCTATGAAGAGACTGTATGGTGGACTAATGTTGGTGACGTTTTGAATTGCAAGCAAGGCTTTGATTTGTCCAGGATTGTTAAAGGAACACTATAGCAGTTTAGTCTGTCTTCCAAACCTGGAATGTATTTAAATGTATACATGTAGTCCTCACTTAGCTAATTAAAGCTCTCTAGGGTGGAGATTTGAGGGATTCCCCAAATTACAGAGCTGGTCTATGTTTAGGGAATTTTTCCCAAACATAATTTGAGAGATTCCCTGCGCTAGGGAGCTGGTTTATGCTCGAACGTAGACCACCTCTCTAGCACGTCCTCAGTGAGGATCATTAAAGGGACACTATACACCAAAACTGCTTCATTGTGCTAAACTTGTTTTGGGGACTATAGATCATGCTGCGGTAGTCTCACTGCTTTATTTTCTGCTATTTAGGAGTTAAATCACTTTGTTTATGCAGCCCTAGTCACATCTCCCTTCATGTGATTTGCACAGTCTAAACACTTCCTATAAAGAGTGATCTAAGGTTTACTCTTCATTTTATTGCAAGTTGTTTACTTCATCTCCTTCTGTTAATAGCTTGCTAGACCCCGCAGGGGCCTACCTTTTAAAGTAACATCTGATTTGAAAGTAAAACCATTTTGTTTCCATGCAGGCTGTGTCAGTGACAGCCAGTGGAGGTGTGGCTAGGGTTGTATAAACAGAAATAAGTGATTTCACTCCTACATGGCAGATAATTGAGCAGTGAAACTTCAGAGGCATGATGTAACCACCATAACTGCTTCATTAAGCTAAAGTGGTGGGTTTTTTTAAACTAGGGAAGTGAGTAAAGCGCAGAGTGCGTAATTATTTTTGTGAGTCCTGTTCCTATGCAGTATCAGTATGCCTTGGTAACCCATGCAATGCTCCGACAAGCCAGGCTCACAAGACTAATACTGTCTGTACATCCACCGAGCTCCCCTTCATAAATATAAACTTGCACTGGCCTGGTAGATTATCTGCCCACTTGGCCTTTGTTGATATAGAGTGGTACTCACTCTATACACTATAGGATGCAGGCAGTTTTCTAACCCAAATGTTGTTAAAAAAATATATTTTAAATGGTCTTTGTTTTAAAGGCATTGAAAGTAGTATGATAGATGAAGTTACTATGTGTTTTTCTAAGATGCTTTTTGTCACAGCTCAGTTCTGCTTTAATTTAAAAGGCCACTCTAGTCACCAGAACAACTCTGTAAAGCTGTATGTGTTCTGGTGGGTATAATTATCCCTAGCAGGCATTTTTTCCCTCCTTTCTTTGAGAGAAGGCAGTGTTTACATTGCCCAGATAGGGACACATCCAGTGACCACACCTCAACTTGTTATAGGAGGTGCTTCCTGGGGCACTACTGTTCAGTGTCTCCACGCTCTGCATGGACATGCTGAACTTTCCTAATAGAGATGCATTGATTAGCCAAGCTGGCATCTGGCTCTTGCCCCCACTGCCTTGCAGATTTCAGCTAATCTATGGCAGGGGTTCCTAATTATTATTTTATTTTTCCAGTGGAACCCTTTGACATAATGTATCAACATCGTGGAACCCCACCTTCCTCCAGGGAAAAAAAATAAAATAAAATTGTGTTTTTTTTTTTTTGTGTGTGTGTATATCTGAGATACAGTCAGTGTATGTCAAGGTATGTGCCAGTGCGTATGAATCTGATACACAGTATGTATCTGGTTGTCAAGGTGTAGATCTGTGTTTATATGCGCCAGTGTGTATCTGATACAGATACAAACATCTTGAGTCACAAATACACAACTCAGATACAGGGACATATACACACTTGCACCCACAGATACACAAATACTCTTTGACTTACACTCTCACTAACCGACAGACATACATAATTTTTTTTACATTTTACTCCACCCAGCCCCCCACCCTTTAGGAATAAGAGCATGGAGACCCTGTGGGGTTGCTGGCGAGCATGATCTCCCTGCCGCACCTCTTAGTGATGCCAGCGCTAGAGTGATATATTCCGGCTTCAGCATCACTGCTGTGCACGCAAGGGAGTTCACTGCTCACGCGCTGCCTGCCCCCATTTTATTTTTCAAACTTTTGGCGTAACCCTAATTGGTAAATGCTGCAGCTTGGGGGGCAGGGCCAACACCAGCAGACAACATGAAATTAAAGAAACAAGATTTTTAAACTTTACTTATTACCTTTTAAAAAGGGGACAACTCCCTAAATGCTGGTTTTAACACTGTAGGGTCAGGAATACATTTGTGTTCCTGAACCCATAGTGTTTCTTTAAAATAAAACTTTATGCTGCATAAGCCAGCCTCTCCCCCTTATTCACACTTTGCTCTTGGACCAGCCTCTGTCTCACAGTACATACTTGCCCACTAATTGTTATTACAAGATGGTCTGATTTAGTAACCCAGCTACTGAAAGGAATGCCAATCTTTTCAATGCAGAGTTCACACTCCTTTTAGGGGCTGTGTTTAAGACACTTTCACAGTTAAACGGTTCTAGATCAAATGACTAACAGAGCATTTCATTAGTGCTGTGTAGCATTTTACTGCATGTACTCACTAGCCTAATGGCTTTTTTTTTTTTTATGGGCAAAACGTGGGATTATTTTATCGTATCAATCTCATGCAGGAAGGCATAGCAGCACAGAGATCCTTCTGCCATGGAATGTAACAAGCTAAATGGCTGCCTTCCCCAATCGTCAGAAGAGTTAGTTACAGGTTTACAGTTGTCAGACTATAAAAGTTTAAAAACACAGTTCAACTTAGTTATTCCAGTACTTTTGGGTTTTCAAGCATGGTTTGAAAACCTACCTGGTTAGGTTGCTTGTGGCTGCATACCCTGGACCTGGTATTTTCAAGCAAGACTGCTCTATAGCCAGAAACGGGCCCATGCTTGACGACGCTCACTGGCTGAGGTTATTAATCAATAACCTCAGTACTGCACTGACTGTGCTTTATTTTACAGAGGTATCCACCTTATCCTGCTGTGAAACACTGAATATAGCCATAGGCATCTGTCAGGGCAGCTCTTGCAAATTCCCTTTGAAGGACAATTTGTCACCACTTATCGATAAGTTTGAATGTGACTCAGAAGCTTCCTAATGTCACCAAATTGTCTTGGAACATTAAGAAGCACTACTCTTAAATTAAACTAGAGTTTTTGGTTCAATACTTAAAATGCTAGATTAAATGGATGTCGGCATAATAACCACTACAAGCCAATAGCAGTTACGTTGTGCACTCACTTTTAAAAAAAATCTTTTTCATGTAGTTCAAGTGCCTCACTTTTTCCCCACCAAAGCCCATTCATAAGCACAAGTTAAAATGCTTAGAGCATGCTTTACTAGTGTCCAGTCACACAAACACTGAACCTTTCAGCAGAAGTGCCAGAGTATCGGAACAGGTTGCTTGATACACAAAGCCATCCTTTAAATGAGCAGCACCTGTAATATTGTATATATATAAGTTACACACAACACATTTGACTCAGTCTGTATTGATTTTAAAGAAGCATCAGCCATAGAATAATTACAAGGTTGTTTTTGCAAACATTTACATGATTTGTTAGCAGGCAGGTTTAGAGTAAAATAAACCAAAAATAAAAATTTTGTGCTACCCTACACAGAATTTAAGCAAACAAGAAAAATTCATGGTCATGGTCTTTTCAGGTGATTTATATAGTTTAAGAGCTTTCCAAAAATAAACAAATTAAACCGCTAGTTGCAGTGATGACAAGCAACTTTTTTTTTTTTAAACAGAATACAAAAAGATGGCAATTAGCTACCTGCTAATGATCAACACAGGTCTATTCAAGGCAGAATTAGCTTTGAGCATTCATTAAGCCAGGTAACTTGTTTTACCATGATTTTCATCAGATCTGACCAGCTACCAGAGGTGTTATTTAAATTATGATGCCACAGTTTGTTGATACACATTACATATTTGTTTAAACAACTCAATGCAGTCTCTAAAAAATGCACTGGATGGAGACCAAGTCAGCTGCATAGTAATGTCAAGGCAAGCTTTGCAGTATTGTGAACCGGTCAATGCTGTAGTTACCTTGTGTAATCAAAATTTAAAAATCTTGATCTGTTGTATGGCTTAGGAAACAAGACTCCAATGCAACTGATAGGTTTGTTTAAAGAGGGCATTTTACTTTGTTGTGTGTATATATAAAAAAAAATATATAAAAAGTAACTGCATTTAAGACAACCTTTTTAAACAAAAAAAAAAAAAATAAAGCAAGGAGTTACTTTAAAGAAACTGTATAGACACCAGATCCACTACAGCTTAATGTAACCTGCCCCTGCAGCTTTAGCGCGGTAAACACCACATTCTCAGAGAAAAGGCCATGTTTAAATTGCTGGCTAGATACTCAGATGACCACGTCAGGTGCTTTGTCAGTGCGCAGTATTGGTGTTTAGCATCTCCATACATAGAGGTGCATTAAATCAATGCATCTCTATGAGAAGATGATGTGTGTTGCCACAAACGTGCAATAACCTCCCGATGCTTTCCTGTGGGAAAGCATTGGATTGGCTGAAATCAAAAAGGGCAGGACCAGCCACAGGGTACCAGGGATCTAAAGAGCCACACCAGCATTAAAGTGTAAGGAAAACATGTTTGTTTATGGTGTTCATTTATGATTACAATACTATTGAAAACAAAGTTATTCTTTAGGATTGTTTGTTCAAGAAGAACCACTGCCAATAATACTGTGTTTGGGGTTGAGTAGTCTAAACTACAGTATAGCATAAGACATTTGTTTCTCTTGTGATCCAACATTCACTATATTGGTAATGACCATAGAGTTTGCTTCTTGAAAATGATCTTCATTTATTGTTTACTCTTTATCTTGTACAGTCACCTGTTTCCTTAGCAGTTACACTTCAACCTGATTTAATCAAAGTTCAAATAGGATGATCTGAAAACTTTGTAGAATGCATCAGTTCTCACAAGTTGAACATGAGTTAAGTGGTATAAACAGAGGTAATACACAAGAAGGTTAAAACGTAAATCGGGTTTCAAAATGGTCTTAACAGTTGTATCTTAAAGAACAAATATTTCAATAGGAATACAAAATCTTGGCACATAGGATGTGCTAACTTGCAGAACGCATTGATAAATAATCCAAGATCACACAGACAGATTATACTTTTAACAAAGATTGCATGGAAGAAAATACTACTTTACACAGTATTTTAAGCAGTTGTGGTTGGGGTTATGTGAAACTTAAACAGTGATCATTTAAAAAGCTCAAGGGAAAAAAACAAAACACAGAATATCATAACAGGGCAAGAACTGTTCAAAAGTATGGCGATATAGGAAATGTCACAATATTACCTTTCCAAAGGTCTACTGCAATTGTATCTCTAAATTTTCATAAACCAAAGTCAATTGTGGCTTTTGAACTTCAATCAACTGCCACAGATGGGGGAATGCAGGTTGGTGGTAAGTACAGTTACCTAACATATTAAGAATTATTTTGAAGACCATAAAGATGTTGGAAAGCAAAACTGAAATTTCATATAAGCCCAACTTCTTCCCAATTGCTGCCCCTTCAAATGAATGGTTAACATAACTAATTTTCTCTCTACACTGTGCTTCCAGACAGCTGAAGTGTCATTTAAGTTATACATGTACTTAAATGCTACATTTCTGGATAACAGGAGTATGCCTGTTCTGGCAAGAACTGCAAGCTGGTCCACACAGACAATGCATTCTGGGTAACCTGCAAAGTATGTTGGACTGCTTATGCACAGTGACTGGGCTACAGCAATATCCAGAAAATCATCTAGGTAAATGATACTCTAGTGGATTATTAGCAACCTGGATAGCACAATGTATAGAACATCTGACAGTACAAAAAAAAAAATCCAACTTTCCTGGATTACTTATTTTTATCACTACTGCTTTTTTCCTCCCCGTGAGGATGTGTTTTAGACATAATGCAGCATTAAGAATGATTTGTTTATAGGAAGTGAAAATAGAACTCTAACAAAGTGGTATGGCCTGCTTTTGCTCTGCAAACATATTGCAGGTGCTTCTGGCAGCACTTATTAAATCCACATTCATTCATTTTTATCCCAATAATGTGAGGTAGCATCTGTGCATTTGTAAAACGATCACACTGATTCAGCTGAACACACGTAAACCTCAACATCGAAAGACTTATTCATCGTCAACAGTAAGGCAATCACATGTAAAAACAATGAAATATGTTTCACTAAAAATGTAAAAAAAAATTTAAAAAAAAATGCACTTTTAGCCCCTCAAGTCTCAGAGGAGAAAACAATATTGCTTGCCCCAGTGGTGCTCTGAAGACTCACTACAGACTGTGCGTGCGTCAATTGCTGCACGTTCACAGAATCTACTCCAGATTTGAACCCCCCCCTCCCTGAACCTATAAAAATTAACATATTGCATTATAGTACCTATGCCTCATTAAGAAAAGGGTTACACAAAAGGCTTGTATGAACTATATAAAATACAACTAAAATAAAATACATAGGCACTGGTAAACTGGAGCTAATAGTGTCTTGTTTTTGAAACCTGAAATATCTGCAGTATTGCATGTAGTATTAATACCATACATTTGCATGAGAGGGTGGGTGTAATGCCGAGTAATGTTTCAAGGTTTACCTCCTGACTCTGAGAACCGTGGGCAGTCACAGTTCAGTATCAGTGCAGATGCAGCGCTGGCTGCAGAGTATGGCTCAGTGAATACATTTTGTCCTGAACTGAAAATATTTAAGCTAGCTGTACAGAAATTAAATGGAAAAAAATGATATCTTTCTGGCCTTATTCACAAATAGGCATATTTACAGACATGTTGGCAATACAGTCCCTTAGATAAATAGAAGTTAAACTATCTGGCTTTTGACGTCTTCTTATACTTGGCTTTAGAACGCTCCTTGGCTTTTACTACAACAGCATTGCTTGAAACGGACTCTTCATGATCATGTTCCAAGCAACATAGCTGTCCATCTGCATTTCTCTCGAACAGTTCTTCATTATAGTGATTTTTACAAAAGGAATTTGGGCATAAGGAACAGTAGGTCACGGACGCCTTTCCACAGACGTCACAGTGGTGCCAAGGACATTCCCACTTCCCTAAAAGAAAACATAAGCTTTTATATCAGTAATTGTAGCCTTCAATAGAATTAAGGAAATATACATTGGTAATCACAACTAAAGCACCTCAAAATAAAAATGGTGTAAAATAACCAGAACCCTAAAGTACCCATAGCTTATTTACAATCTGCAAACAAATTACATGTAGTTAGCTAGTGAATAAGTAATCTGTCAGAGGGCAACATTACATTACAGCAATGCCAAGTTGAGGGGTGCTGACAGGTATAGGACTGATAGTGTGTAAAACAATATTGCATAACGATCACATAAGGAAAATCAGAGCCGCTGGTCAAACATGGCTCCATCTCTGTCCTACTATGGAGAATTTCAAAGTCTCCCTACGAGCACAGGGAAATAAGTCATAAAGAGACATTTTATCTGTCATGCAAGGAGCAGGAATACAAATTTTCAATACTTGATATATAGGATATAAGGGCCAGTGTGCGTGTGTGATTGAATACCTAGGAAGCACAGGATGTAATAATTTTTTTGAGAGCTACTTGCTTATATGAGGCAAAGAAAAATACTAGTGGCAACAAAGAAGACATGCTCAAGCCACTCATTCAAGATATGCTTAGGTCCACCTCTGCAAAGGAGTGGCTATGCTTCCTGCCCACTTCTAAAAACACATCCATCAGCAACACAGATTAATAGATTAGAATTATGCTGAACTCTTACCAAAAGGCCGCTTGACAAGATCCAGACAAGAGAGGTGATACGCCTTTGTGCAAAATTTCCGGTCACATAAGATTAGCTCACCACCATCATCACAACGAAAGCAGTAATCCTCAGACTCTTTCCTCCCATCAGATCTAGATCGGCGTTTCTTCTGCTTTTTCTTGTGTTTCTTTGTTTTCTCTTCATGTGAGGCTGAAGAGGAGTTCTAAAACAGAAAAATGCAAATATTACATGAAGAGCCAGTAGTTGCTTTTGGTAATCTCTTCAAATTTAAGAGTCATGGATCGTGAAAATAGAAATCAGTTGCCATTGAATTTTACAACAGCCCAAGTACCTACTTACAACAGAAATTTGCACAAGCGGTCATTAATAAAAAGCCATAAAGACAAACTACAATGCACACGTCAGGAAGCAACATCCCCAGAATAATGCTTTAGTATAGCCAAAATGTTAATAGAAAGATCAGGGAGAAAAAGACAAACCGATCCACTATGAGATTGTGTAATATGCAACCTTTGCAAAACATGTTATTGCCACCTACAGTAATTTAATTAAAATATAAAAAGTACCAGGTGACCTCATCACATGGTAACTAGTGAAAGTACAAAACATGCAGTATAAAATGTGTCTAGTGAGAATGCGAATTTTTTTTAAACAAATGGTAAAGCATCAATGAAGTTTCTCTCAAGATCCAACTATACAAATTTCACCAAAATCTTACCTAAATTGAAGATCTATTGCAATTCAAAGTACTGTATGCATATACACTATAACATCCTTTAAAAATGTTCACTGGTCCTTTTGCAAATGACTGCACAGGTTGTTAGGTATGAAGAATTAACCACTACAGTACTATAGTTTGTGACTGGCTTTACCAGAAGAATGAAAACACATCCATGTCCATTGGCTGAGTGGAGCTAACAGAAGCTCCTTTGCAAGAGATGGATTCCAAGTAAGATGTGAATCCGTTCTTAAACAGTGGGCTTTAGTTACGATGGAGTGCTTCTTTAAACAAAAAGTCACCAGGCTATAAATATCTTTTTTTATTTGAAAAAACAAACAACTGCAAAAATAAGAGACATTTCTGCTTTTTGCAAGTTGAACAATCTAGAGAAATATCAGTTTCAATGTTTTCTTTGTGAGCCATAATAGACAGAGACTTTGGAATATCAGAGGGCTCCAAGCTAGTCGTTAACCCATGTAGAGAAAAATTGACATGGCTTAAATAGCAGCACTTAGCATTGTTGGACCTCGGATGCATGGTAGTGTTGCGACAAGAGAGGAACATGGACGGAGGGCTGGACCGGATTAATTAAAGGAAGTGACAAAAGTTGTGGTGTGGGGTCAGGCAGACGGTAAGTGTTGTGGAGGGAAGGCGATACTTTAACCCCTTAAGGACCAAACTTCTGGAATAAAATGGAATCATGACATGTCACACATGTCATGTGTCCTTAAGGGGTTAAAGAAGGGAACAAGCAGAGTATTGGACTGTGTGTACGCAATCCACACGCACACAATCATACAGGTTTCACATCATAATAAGTCTGTTGCCAGCGCACATTGGACAGTATAGAACAATTAAAGGCTGTCTACTTCATGAGTGCAGGGGGTGTAACTACACCACTGCAGAAGTCTCTGTATATCCAACATTTCTAGCTGAAACACTGCACATTCAGCATGAAAATATGGTCATATCTCAGACGGTTGGATGTTTTGAAACAGTATTGCAGAAGGTAGTGGACAAATGCTATCATTACAAAGATTAAAGGGACACTCTTGGCACTCAGACCACTTCTGCCCATTGGAGTGGTCTGGGTGCCAACTCCCACTACCCTTAACCCTGCAAGTGTTATTGCAATTTTCATAAACTGCAATATTACCTTGCAGGGTTAACAACTCATCTAGTGGCTGTCATAGAACACAAAAGGTGTGCTATAGCTTCGCTGGACGTCCTCACGCTATGTGAGGACCTCCAGCGTCGCTGAAATACCCATAGGAAAGCATTTTTCAATACTTTCCTATGGGAAGGTCGAACGCGCATGCTCAATAGGTCTCCCCCGCCGGATGACATCGGCGGGAAGGCGCATGGGTGGACCCTGAACCAGCGCCGAGGGACATTGGCGCTGGATACAGGTAAATCACTGAAGGGGCAAACCATACTTTTGTGCTAAATAGCACTCTACAGGATGCATTTGTTTAGGATATTTTCATGCCTCTACCCGATCACATATGCTTGAATCTGAGATCTATAAATGCCAACAAATCTCCACTCCTGAAAATCTAGAAGGCAGAAGGGAGTCTGCTTTCTATGATGCAAGGAGGAAGTTGAAGAAAAGATACAGGAAGTCAGGATGCCAAGAGTCTACCCCCCCCCCCCTTTTCCCCCCATCAAGGAAAGGCACCAGTGAGCGCAGAAGCCATGTCATAAATTAGCTCAGTTTCCTGACAGACTCCCACGTAAGATGCCAAACAGATTTATAAAACTTCCAAGGAGTGGTTGATGACAGTCTACACACTTGTCTCTGTTGCTTTAAATGTGGTTGACAGAGGCTTGCCTGCAGGGAAATTCAGTAGGTTGTTTATTCATTCTATAATAAAAATTATTGTAAGAATTATACCTGAAGGAAACCTCAATATCTGACCAGCCTTCCAACTTAGGAACATGCAGAAGCCGAATGGACTGCAACCTGTAGCCATCAGCGTGTATAAGCTCAGTAGCACACAATGTGCAAAGTAGAACAATGCAATGTGTGCATTATATTCCACTGACAAATTCCTGTTAAGGAATTAAAACTGATGTAGGATAAAAAAGCCAGCTGCTGTGCATTATACAAACAGAAGGAGGTGGTTGTCTTAGGTTGGAGCTAAAAGTTTTATGTTATATTGGTAAGTATCAGAAAGGAAGTAAAAATGACAGCTCTTTGTAATTCCAGTGAAATTTTACATCATAAAAATTGGGTCATCTCTTATCTGTAGTGTAGACCAACTCAGGGCATCATGATACTGTAGTTTTAGTCCTGCACATTTGGGCATCTACAGAGAAATTCTGTTGACGAGCATAAGCTCTTTGTGTACAGCACTACAAGGGCTAACTAGTTTGCATGTTGCCCCGGTGCCCAGAAAATGTTTATAAATGAAAAGTAAATATCACAGCCAATAAATATTTGTTTTTAAAAAGATACATCACAATTCGCTTACACAGCTCTCTTAACAGAAAGCTTTGTCCCAACAAAAATAAATTAAACAAAGGTTTTTAATGAGAGCTGTCAAAATTGAAGCAAATGGGAAAAAACACAGCACAACACGTTTTTTCTGTTCTTGTGTTTTTATTTGCACTTTGATAAGGACTTAAATTTAAAAAAAGAAAAGAAAAAGTATTCAAACCTTTGGGCGGTCACCAAGGAATCCACTACAGTTAGGAGCTCCACATCTGCATATTGTTTTCTCATTACCAAGGCAATCTAAGTTGTAGTTAAACGTTAGTTCCTCACCTAAGATACAAAATAAAAATGACAATATTTTTTGACAAGCACGTAAAACCAAAGCAACAAATTTAACCGTAGGAATTACAGGAGATAAGTTTTAAGAACAGTTTATAATTTCCCAATAGACAAATCTGCAGACCGATAAAGTACAGTCTATAAGACTAAGGGTTCTGCAACGCCTTGGCAGGCTGTACACAAACATTTTCAGCACTAGATTTAGCCATGACTGCTTTGGTACACTGTATGTATGTGCCGCATTGCCATTACTGTGCAATGTCTAGCGCAGGTAAAATAAACTTACAGGAACACTTCAGTCAAAACAAGAACAGCCAAGATCAACAGATTGGATTAATGGCTTCATGGGTCTCTAAAGCCAACACACTTAAATTAACACTCCAGGCACCCAGACCACTTCTGCCCATTGGAGTGGTCTGGGTGCCAACTCCCATCACCCTTAACCCTGCAAGCGTAATTACTGCAGTTTTTATAAACTGCAATAATTACCTTGCAGGGTTAAGTCCTCCTCTAGTAGCTGTCCATCAGACAGCCACTAGAGGGATTTCCATGTTCTAAGAACACGAAAAGTGTTTTAATGATGCTGGACGTCCTCACGCTATCCATGAGGACCCCCAGCGTCACTGGAATCCCCATAGGAAAGCATTGAATGGAGTGCTTTCCTATGAGAAGGTCTAATGCGCGCATGCGGCCATTGCTGTGCATGCGCATTAGGTCTCCCCCGGAAGAGCATAGGCGAAGCCTGACCCAGCACAAGGGACATCGGCGCTGGATTCAGGTAAGTCACTGAAGGGGTTTTAACCCCTTCAGCAACATGGGATAGGGGCTGGGAGGGAGAGGGCCATTGCAGGGTCCTGCAGTGCCAGGAAAATGGATATGTTTTCCTGGCACTGGAGAGTCGCTTTAAGAGGGATAACAAAAAGCCTGATGTATTGCAAGTACAAGCATGCAAAAATGAAAAAGAATAGTACAATAGCCACTCAACAAAGCTCAGCTAAGAGGTCCACAGTAACAGCTATTTTATTGAAAGACCATAGAAATAAAGGTTAAACGTCACTTAAGCTGAATTATTTAAGATGTTCAAACAATGCTGGTTTTATGTGAATTGGAACCATATGGTTTTAGAAAAAAATTAAAACCCAATAGTTTACAAAAATGCGCCTAGGATTAGAAAGCTGTACTTTTTTTTGGCTAGTCTCTTGTTTTGACTGTGGTCTTGATAATCCTTTGAATGTCAAAGCATTTATAGAAAGAAACAAATGTAGTTAGTATGTGTCAAGCTAGAGATTCTTCTATTTATCATTCTTACCTGCAGGTATATCACGTACTGCAAATAGACCTACACGTGTATCTCCATTCACTGTCCATTTCTGGGTATCACAGTTTGGTTGGCAGCTGTGATTCATAAAACGAGAATAGTTTCCTTTTGGCCCAGCATCAATTATTCGGTCCTATGAACAAGCAAACATATGCACAGATTCAGCAGGCACTGAGAACCATGTCCCGGAACTTACAATCAAGTACAGAGCAATTTTATATAAAGATGTCTATTCATTATGTACCAAATTGAAGTGTTTCTACTGGTAACTCATGTGGCTATTCACAAGAGGCAAAGCCATATTTGCATTCCATTTGGCGTTAAGATCAACCAAATATATCTGAGTTTGCCAATCTGACTATTCACAAGTAGCTGAAATGTAAGTGTGGCCTTCTCTCCTTTGTGATTCCCTTGGTTCATATTAACTCTAAACTCCCTTACCCTGTAACTTGGATAACAGAGAAACATATTGGCTTGGGCGACCAATTCAAAAACGGTTTATGACTGTAAGACAGGATGGCAGCCAGGAATTCCAGGTCCACTTCATTCAAGTGATTCGCCCAAACAAGATTCCTGGTTACAGAACAATCTGTTCCGGTTTCAACTAAGAGGAATTTTATTCAGGTGAATTGCTTCAAAGTCTAAGATGAAGTTAATGTAATAAGGAGTCTAATGTATAATGGAGTAGGTTTACAGTTTGATTCCAGGGAACCCAATTTTTTTGTTCTGAATTATGCATAACGGGATAGTGCACTATTTGTTGGTCTCCAGTTTTTTTTTGTTTGTTTTTTTAAACTCTGCACGTTGGACTCTTGAGGTCCACATAAAGGTCCCATGATTTTTAGATCAACATGACCATTGTTTTATCTAACTTCTGTAAGGCAATGGGAAGTGTTTGACTTCATCCTGCTGTTAATGAAATTGCATTTATCTGTGTAGCAGAAACAATCTAAAATAATAGCAATAGGGAAACCACATAATGAATTGCATCTGCTGGACAAGGCACTCCTACTCATGTAAAACTGCCCGTATTAAGTGGCTATTGGGAATGATTATTGTTTGCATGGACCAATAAAATGATTACAGTGTTCCCATCTTGTTAAACAGAAGATAATTGCCACTGTGGGTGAAGATATGCATGGACTTAAACTCAATCCTGAATAATAATGAAGTGGTAATTGTTTGCCCTCTTGTACTGCCAACACATACTGCGAATTAAAACTCAGTCTTAGTGACTTTAGTTAAAACATTTTTTGTTTGGTATTTGTTATTTTGCCCACAACTTGCATGGGTAAAGATTTCTTCCTTCTACACAGATAAGGGTGGCAGACAGGTTAAAGGGGTACTTTAAGCTCCAAAACCACTACATATTTAATGTGATTTTTATGCATAGATGCTGCTGTCCCATTACACACAGGAGAACATTGACATTTGTTAATAAATGTATTAACATGAGCATGTTCTTTTAACTTCTTCATAAAAGCGTATCAATTGAACTGTTAATAGCGCCCGACTGATTCCTCTCTTGCAACGGTCATTAGTCTAATACGATCCTTACCTTTTGTGTCACTTTACCCCACTCCCTCTAGCATGTAAGCTCATTGAGCAAGGCCCTCAACCCCTCTGTTCCTGTGTGTCCAACTTGTTTGGTTACAACAAGTCTGTTCGTCCACCCACGGTAAAGCGCTGCGGAATTTGTTGGCGCTATATAAACAACATAACTACCCTCTAGTGGTATATGTTGAATTGAAAACCGTGGTGACACATTACACTAGATATGGCACCCCCAAACCAATACATAATTAATGTAGCTCAAACACTCCACACCTTTGCCAAGAATATAAGACAGGGTTAGAGAGGCAGAGCATATTTGTAAATAAGGTATGAAGTAACAGTTTGGTTGTGGATCATATTACCTTGTCAATGGTCAGCATGTAAAAGTGCGTAATATCATTCTCCTGTGCATGCCTAATACGTGCCATACATTCCTCTTCATCTATAAGTTCACCAATATATTCATTCACAAATTCACCCTGGAATTATGAAACAAAATTAAATATTATGAACTTGAACCACACCCTAGAATAATAAATCTAAGACAAAATGATAGCCACAACATATAGTGCATCTTCCTCAGTGTATGCATACCTGAAGTATTCATTAAGTTTCACAATGTGGGCAGTTAAAGCTTACCTTTTTAATATCTCTGGTAGCAATCAAGCCCCATCCCTTCCCTTCAGTTTTAATAATCTTGGTTTCTGGATATTGCCGTTTTGTAAATGCCTGGTTCTGACATCGTTCTCCCGCAGGACATACTTGGGGGTGGCATTCATACATCAGCATGCGGTTTAAACATTCCGAGTCGAGCCCACAAGGCTTCTCACTTGACGGCTTACAATTGCACTTAGGAATTTCAGATATGTCAGCAGTGTAAACTTGAACTTTTCCGTAAGGCTTATTCACCTTGAAAACATACAAATATAAAGGAGTTGGAGAGGAAACGATGACCACTGTAGGCTATACTATTGTTAAAGAGAGGTCACTACCTTTATGTGTTTATAAGGCGGTGGCTTCTTTTCATTTTCAAGAGTTTCCTTTGCTTCCCGTTGGCACTTCACTTCACAAAAGCGAGCTTCTGCATCTCGAAGAGCTGAATAGAGTACAAAATTAAAACAAAATAGAGAACTTACAATTTGATTTTAGAAAGAAGGTGGAAAAAAATTAAACATTTACAGATTAAACATTATGTAATATATTGGATGCAGAGCTAGCTCCCAAATTTCCTAAAGTTAAAATATATGGTACCTCTAATCTAGCAATATCTCAAGACGTCTGAAACAAGAGTAAAGAAGCCGAAATACAAGGATTGTCAAATAGAAAAGAAAAAAAAAAAAAAAACACACCAAAATGTTATGGCTTGTTTATGAGGATTTGTATGGAACCTGGTGGCACTTTTAGGAATGCAGTCTCCGAAAACTTTTAAAGAATGAATATAGTAGGCACAGATTTTTTTCCCAATACAAAAAATGTATACAATTCTGTGGCACTGAAGCCTGCAAAGAATGTTAATAGTACTTCTGACCCCAGGAAATAAAATTTAATGTAACAAATTGGAACATTTTTCTAGGCACTAGATTTCTTAACTTATTACATTGCCTCGTGGTAATATAAAAAAGCATGTAGTGCAGCCTACCATTTTTGAAAACTTTTCCAATGCCTTTTCCGCTATGGTGTCTGCTGCCCCGGTCTCCTTCCATGTATGGGAATACCCTGGCTTGGTGAGTCCAGTAATAATCTTTGGAACCGAAGAAGAACACTGGAAATTCACCAATTTCATGCTTCATCTTTTGGATGTTTGGAGGGACATTCTTAGGGTGACACACTTCTGCAGGCCACCACCTATCAAAGTAACAATGCAACAATTGCTGATATAACCAGGAAATTAAACATGCACTAATGCAATTTTATTGAATGCCTATCAAAACTGGGACAAACTTAGTGAATATTAAGCCAACAAATGACATAACTAATAGGAATATGTATAACTAGATATGCTGCTGTTCATATTTAAGCCAAAAGCACCGTGGTTACTTAATGCTTTTGTAGAGAAGGAAGTTATAAATAAAAGATTTTAAATTTGATGTAGTTGCTTTGTAAAGACTGCATATTCCTACAACCATCCACTCACACTGTATGTCCTCACTGTTTCACATCAAGCAATGCAGGTAACAGTACTTTGTGGACACCTTAATGCAGCCTGTTATAGTGTCTTTATATAAACATATAACAATTTTAATAAAGCTGCATGTACCATGTGTTTAATATAGATGGCAAATACCATAATTTTCCCTGCATGCCTTGAACTTTCTTATGCAACGAATAGATAGGTTGTTGTAGCATTATATACCGAATACTAAATCATGGCATCAGTTTCCCAAAGCAGAGTTATCCTATTATTACACAGACACGCTGGTTTCATTGTCAGTGCATAGTGATCCTCTATTACTACAGAGACACGCTGGCTTCATTGTCAGTGCACAGTGATCCTCTATTATTACACAGACACGCTGGTTTCATTGTCAGTGCATTGGTGTGTGAGCAAAATAATGCCAGACACAATGTCCAGGCAGTCACTGAAATATGTACTGTGTAAGAGAATATGGAAATACCCAAAGGAAGTCTTTTTGCTTGTGTTTAGATCTTGGCATACAGGGCAATCACTGGCACATGTGAATGTCAAAGCCAGACTGACATATAGGGAAGGCAACATTTTATTGATCTTTTTGTAAAATATACATTTGCTAGTCACCCTGAATTATAAAATGTAATCTTTAAAGTGACTAATGTTTGGCACATCATATGCCCTTTAAAAAGTCTGTTAGCAACACCAAATATATTTCTAGCAAGACTTTAGTTTTATGTGGGCACAACAGAAAGGCAGGATACCAACATTCATAAAAACAGCATTAGCAGGTTCTGCCATTGTGGTGTAGGACACATGATTTAGTGTCATGACACTTTGCTAGTCTTTTCAGTTTGAACCAGTAAAGAGTTTAAACCCTTTGCTGCTGGAGGTGTAACTATCTCTCTTGCAGAGTGTTTTGCTAGTACCGAAAAAGGGTATTTGGCCGGCTAATGTTAAATCTGTGCATATTCATTGGTTGAGAGCCTTGGCTCCTCTCGGGACCCAGGTTTAGGGCAAACAGTTGCAGAACGGCATGCTCCATTATCAAGGAACAGCATTGGCGTACTCCTCACATCATAACTACTATGTCAGGCTGTCGAGGTTACGATGCCTGAGGCAAACTTTTAAGGATGCCAATGCAAAACAAGCATTTTGGTGGCAGTTCTCCTTCAAGTGAAGAAGTACATATAAAACATCTGAATTATTTTCTTGCGGACCTGTAGTTTCCCAGCTTCACCCAAATGATGTCTTGAAATTGCGGTTTCTTCCCTGCTCGGCAATCATTGCAAAACCAGCTGCCATCTGGCATTTCAATATTCAAGCAGTCGGGGTGAAATGCAGCAGGGCAGGACTCACAACACAGCAAGCTTCCTCCTGCATAAAAAAAAAAAAAGTTTACTATTTTACTATATATAAATAAAAACATTACTTTGACAACCTTTCCCCTCAAAACAAACCCATCAAGTAGTACATGCTACAGGCTCTAGCTGGCTTTCTAATAGTAAACTCAAATGAAGTTTCAGCATTCCACAGTATTGAAAAACACCAACTTTGAGACCTCCATAGCAAACATACAACCTTTCAACTTATCATCCGTTACTGGATAATGGAACTAGGGTCACTATGCAAACAGATAAGTGTGTTAAAAAGGCTTGGTGCCAGCTGCGCTTGATTTTAAACAAAAGTAAACCTTGCTCTCAGTGACTAACCCTAGGGGCTTGTACAGTGCAAAACAGAACTGTGGCAGACACGCAAAGTAGGCAAATAAAATAGATTACCGTTTGAACAAATAAAACACCAGTTCACGTTTACATGTGCATGATGACTTTTTCCTTTCTTAGCAGCAAAATGTGCGGTACAGATTATACTGGAAGAAGTTAACATTGTGCATCCTGCAGCAACACAAGCTTCACCACCATGATACGCAACCGGGCAGCGAACACAACGGATAAGTTTCCCTGTAAACAGAAAATCAGTGAACACATTTTTATATATTTTATATGCCCTTATGGAACAAGATCTTAATTTTTCCAAAACCCATGACAGTGTGTACTTTATTTCTATAGAAAGAACAGACATCTAACAGAGTTTATAGGTAAAACTCCCAAAACGCACTCAAAAAATCCCCACAAAAAAAATAATTCATTATATCTAAATAAAGGTTTGTTTTTTTTTGGTTTGTTTTTTAAAGCAGTTTGCATTTCTGAAACAGATTACCTTTTGATGTCCTCGGATTAGAAGGGTTTGCGACGCAACAGCTGGCACAGCGATGAAGAGGGCACCGAATACCTTTGTTGTCAAACACCGTCAGAGGGTAGTTTTGGAGACAGATCTCATGATAAAACTTTCCACAGTTTGAAGCAACACAGCGTTTAACATCCGGTGTATTCATCTTACACACAAAGCAGGAGTGGATACCTTAACAGGAGAAAATATTACAGTACAGTACAGAAATTGTAGGTGATGAAGGAAAATAGAAACACATTTAAAAAAATTAAAAAACACAAATGTTCCTAATTTTGTTTTAACTTTTTTAAAGCAGTAGCAAATCTACTAAACTGTTACTAAATCTGTATTACACATCTCACAAATACAGATTTTCGTGTCTAGCCAAACTGAGGTTTTCTGTTTTTTCTTCCCTATTCCCTAATTACAACAAATCTGTATTTGTGAGATGTGTAAATAAAAATTAAATGTAGAAATCCACACCTTTATTCTGCAACTGGGCATCTCCATTTTAGTTCCCTTCCAATCATGGTTATAAGCTCCCTCTCTTGCATCAGGTTGTGAGCATAGAGAGATGAGAAATTAAACAATGTTTCTTTTTCTCCACACTATCTGCACTGTTTTCCTTGCTTTGTGTGAACTGGATAATGATGAGAGATGCTAAATTGATAATAAAATTTTAAACTGTAAATTGCAGAGAAGTGGCAGAGCCCCATTAAACTCTAGATCAATGGTAGTCAACCTGGTTCCTACTGCCGATTCAAGCTTTCATGGTGGGCGGTTTTATCCGCGACCCTCTGTTCTCAGTCACAACAACAGGCCCGCGCCTCCCTCCATTGAGAGAGACACCTCACAAAAATGCCCAACACGCATTGCATGAATGTCTGTTTGCTAAATCTCTCTCGATGGCTAAAAAGAAAAGTGAGCGCAGCTACACCCTGGTTGGGACGGACGGGCGTGTGATGATGTAACACACTGGAAGAGGAAAGGGACGGGAAGGAGTGTGGCGTTTAGAGTGGCTGCTATTCTGTTAACTTAAAATAAAAGAAAGAAGGAAAACAAATATAAGTAAAGGAGAGATTAAAGAGAAAGGGGAAAAAATCGTGATGCAAAGATATTACTTTTTCTGTTTTCGGCTACTAATAAAGTTTGCTACCTTGTTCAGCCTTCTTGCTGGTGATTGCAATAAGGAAGGGGGGGGGGGAAGGAAAGAAAAAAATCCAGGTTTCACATTTAACTTTCTTTTTCTTCAATTTTAGCTGCTCCCGCGCTAGTAGGCACTGCATTGATGGAGATGCGGAAATTCATTAAGTTTTAACTGTATGTGTGTGAACATGCATAAAAAAGAAATTCAAAGACATTTAAGTACTTTTTTTTTTTTTAAGCCTTTTTTCTAAAATATATTTTAAAGTAAGTTAATGTGGAAATTTTACCATCAAAAAAGATACACAAGTGGGCGGTATGTATTTGAAGGTTAACTACCCCTGCTCTAGATAAGAACCGTCAATTTGCTGTACATTAACCCCTTAACGGCGGGCGTGCTATGCAGTCCATGGGGATCCGGCTGTAAACGCTGACATGTACACTCTGTTCTATTCACTTACCTGCTCGCCGGCGATCGCGATGGGGGGGGGGTGGCCAATCCCAGGGAGCCAATATCAAAATACACATAGAATGATAATATGTATATATATGCTAAAAATGAAATATAAATATATATGTGTAATTTTGTTCTAACTGTATTTTGATATTAAAGGACCACTATAGTGTCAGGAAAACAAACTAGTCCTTGGGTTCCCCCACCCTCAGGGCTCCCCTCCCGCTGGGCTGAAGGGGTTAAAACCCATTCAGCCACTTACCTTAATCCAGCGCAGGGCTTCTTCGCTGGTGACCTCATTCCCCTCCGATGTCAGCTCCCAAGTGGAGCCAAATGCGCATGCGCGGCCAGAGCCGTGCGCGCATTCAAACGGCCCACAGGAAAGCATTATTCAATGTTTTCTTATGGACATTCTGCATGCTCAATGCAATTTTCACATTGAGCGTCAGGGAATAACCTCTAGCAGCTGTCAGGGAAACTGCTATGTTTACAGCTGCAGGGTTAAAACCTGTATGTATGTATATAAGGTCTGGGTGACTATAGTGGTCCTTTATATTTTAGAGGACCACTAGCGTCACCCAGACCACTTCAGCTCAATACCATTTGCAAAAGTAGACAACCCAAAGTATTGCAAATGGAGTATGTCCAGTCTTGAACTTAAACATTACCACCACTGTTATAAAGTTATTGAGCCCATAAGCTTGTTATATTTTTATTGGTTACTTGCTTACTCAAGTAAGGAGAAGTATAAAAAGCATTAAAACTAACCTGACGTGCATTCCTTGCAATAGAAGCCTTTCGGTGTGGTAGAAAGCCCAAGGCAAGCTGGGTGGAAGGCAGAGGAACACACCCCTTCACATAGCAAGATATCGCCAGGTTTTTCACACACCTAGTAAACATTTACAAAAATATACTTTTGACTAACTTTTAATATTGAATACAAGCACTGTTATTTGAACACAATATGCAGATCAGATTTACAAACACACAAGTGGTAAATACTTGAGTCACAAACTGCGTAGTGAATAAAGTTCCAAACATGCATTGGCTAGCAATTTAACAGAGTCAAAGTATAAATGAAATGTTATCAAAGTTAGTCACACAAAGTGATGTTGGCTAGGTGTTTCATCCTCCTCCTGTTCCACATAAAATCATGCACTGGCAGAAATCTCCGTTAATTTATAAGATCACTTAATTCCGTGGTGCGCATTTTGCAAATGTAATTTGCACTGCACAGTCATATGCCATTTTAGAAATTTGCATAAAATGGAGTCACATACAGTTATATCTGCAGCTTCCGTTCTACTTATCAGTTAAATTACCATGAATGCAAAGATGTAAAGTGCATCTGTATTCTGTATGTTTTTCTAATATGTGCAGCAAAGACTGGAGAAATGCACTACTTATCTAAATATTTGCAATATAAAAAAAAAATCAATTAAAAAAACATAGGCATGGGCAAATTTGCCGTTCAGTTAGTCCCCACTCAAGTCTCAAATGTTTTTTGCTCCTTTGTGCCATTACAGAGAACTTATACCATTTGCATAACAGACTGATCCTTCCCAATAATGCCAGCTAGTTCTTACTGCACAAGAGGTACAGCGAGTTAGAACTGATACTACTCTAGGCACATTGAGCACGGGGTCCACATCTTTTGACTTGGGGATAGCCTAAGTAAATAATAAAATTAAATGGAGAAATCAACAATCTTGTCCTAAAAATAGGAGTATACAGCTTAGCTCAATGTTAATCATGGTTATAAACTTTGTCCTTCACACATGGCAGTCAGCAAGTAGAGCAGGTATATGCAATCTTAGGCACTCCAGATATTGAGGGCATACAGAGAGGAGACAATGTTTCATTAAACATGTTGCCTGGTTTTGCCTTGTCTAAAGAGGTTTTTTAATGTAATTTGCCAAATCCTGGATAGAAATTTTTAAAAAGGACCAATATAGGCACCCAAACAATTTCCTCTTAATAGAGTGCTTGGTGTTTTGTTACACTGCAGTTTTACTCCTGGAATGTAAATTATTGTTAATATAGATGTTTTAAGGTATAGCTAATGTACCTCTAGTGGCCTGACAGCCATTAGAGGGAGATTCTGCTGCTGCAACCAAGTCAAACTTTGTCAAGTGACATTTGATTTCCTCACACATTGAGTAAGGTTAAAATTTACAGGTGATTTTTAATGTTGTATTCAACTAAATTCCAGAGAAGTAACCATTACCTTTTAACAGTTTTCAAACATTGGTGCACAGTTATGTAGATATACCCACCAGCCAATTCAGGCCTGAGGGACCACTGCAACTTACATTTCCCCTCAAATGGATCTGTGTTGACTCACTATTTCGCAAGAATCACAGTAGTCCCTACGTTTACTTATGTATAACTTTAAAAAATAAAAATAAAGTGTAATTTCAAAAAAGAAATGGGCCACCATATTGAGGGTGGGAAAGGGGCTGTGGACATGCAAAAAAAATAAATTATATATATATATATATATATTTTTTTTTTAAATTTTTTATTATTTATATTTTTTAATGGACAAATCCGCTTTGACAGTGCCTTGTCTTACACATTTAGGCTCTAGCTAGTATACAGATAATCCCTGTCTATAATGTAAGAGGGATTAAAAATCTGTTTAACAAGTCCCTGGACTTTCAATTAAAAATCAATGAAGAAACATGCATTTACACAAATTCAATATATGCATAAAGCTAACTTTACCTGGCAGACCATTTCTTTCCTTGCGTGGCACTTTTCCGACTTTCTAGACGACATGGAAACTTCAGCCTGACATTCATCAGCGCTTTCAGATGTGGACTCTGACCGCTCGTCCCCATGACCATCAAAGACCTATAATAAAAGGTTTGCTGCGTGGATTAGGAGCTAGATTCAGATCAAATTTAAGCCTTGAAGCAAAATTAGCACAGTTGCTGGAAAATCTTTAACTAAACATTTGGGTAAAAATATGAATGGCAGCACATACAAATAGCCAAAAACCAAAACTACATGTCCCCTCTCCAATGAAAAGAAGGCATTCCATTAAAAGTTTGACATACCACCCATACAAAAGGGACAAATCTCCACCATATACCTCCTCCTAAATGCCAATTCCCCGGAAGACACCCTCGCATACACGAAGGCGTGGGAAAAAGACATAGGCCCCCCAGAGGACCCATCAGATTGGTCGGACATATGGCAGGCTACGGCCTCACTCACCATATGTGTGAATCACAAGGAACAGGCATACAAGACCCTACTCAGGTGGTACCTCACACCCCTGAGAAGGAGACAGATGGGCAGGGCAACCACGGACTCATGCTGGAAGGGATGCGGGCAAAAGGGCACTTACATCCACCTTTGGTGGGAATGCCCACAGACCTCACAAATATGGGAAAAAAGTATCAACACTAGCATCCAACATACTTAATATGGACATACCCAAGGACCCCTGGGTGTGGCTACTTTCCAAACACCCCCCCGCTCCCCTCCTTACCAGAGCCCAGAACAAACTGATAGCAAGAATGGCACTAGCAACTAGACACACAATAGCGGAACAATGGGGAAACCAAACCACACCCCAACTAGCCACTATGATCAGGAAAATGAATGAAGCCATGCAAATGGACAAACTATCGGCACTGCTACATGACACGACAACACTACCATAAGATATGGGACCCATGGATCCAACACCCCTTACCGCTTAACTAAAAGGAGGAACAGAGGACTGTGACAGTCCCCCCCAAGCGTACCCCCCCCCAAACAAATAAACGACCAAAAAAAAAAAAATACATAGCGAATAGCCCTGACTGGGAACCTACCTCCCCCCAACCCAGCTCACCCCCTCCACCCCATCAATCTCCCCCTTCCCTCCCAACCCCATACACCAGGCCATAGGAAAGACCACCCAAGCTCACTTAAACACCACATAAAAACATAGCAAAGACCACCATACCCCAACTACACGACCTAAAACCCCAACTACACGACCTAAAACCCCAACTACACGACCTAAAACCCCAACCCAACCCAGACTCACCTCCAGGAGCAAACTCCAACACCCCCAAAGCCAAACAAGAAGACAAGACAAAAACTGGAGACACCGAGAAACACCTAACCCACAACACGTATACACAACACCCCACGAAGGACTGAGGGCCACACGAGATGTAGACCACTCTGGTCCTGATGTAAACAAAAGTACAATTGCTGTAAATAAGTTATGTGACTTACAATGTATTAAGCTACCAAACTCAAATGTAACCACAATGTTTTCTACCCCACCCCTTATCTTTATTCTGTACCCCAACTTCTTTAAAATACTGAAAACCACCAAAATAAAGAATTTACAAAAAAAAAAAAAAAAAAAAAGTGACAGACAATCAAGTTTACCATAGCTCTAGGAGACACTGCAACCTATATTTTAAGAAAGTTTCCTAAAACATAATCCGAAAAAAGGTACATCTAGTTTGCTTTTAGAATTCCAAAAATGTGCACAAATCAGTAAGATACATGTTAAAAACACCCTGGAAAAATCAACTGATCGGAAGACAAGAAACAAACAACCAACAAAAAAAGCAGCTACACTGTTGCCTTGTTCGGAATCTTTGCCAGGTATCAATAACTACACATTAAAAGCAGACTTAACTTTTATTGGTGCAAAATATAAAGTACATTAACATTAACCAATCGGCATTTCTAAGTCTTTTCCAAGCATTTATAAACACAAATTACTGTTGTACATCACTTGCATATCTCAAGTTGGAGTTTGAGATGTGCTTCTTCGGCATAGATATTGGAGATATATTTCCCCAACTAGCCCAGAGTCCCATGCCTGACATTCAAATGAGCACAAGCAGGCATTGTTTTAGACTTCATACAGCATTTGGGAGCTCTGGTATAGTTGTGTAAACACATTTTCTTAAGTTTCTATTCCCAAGAAGAATAGATTTAAAGGGACAATCCAAACGCCTAAAACACTTCAGGTTGCTGAAGTGCTTTATGTGTGAAGAATGTGTATTTTTGTCCTCAATTTACAAAAAGTGAAATTTCAACAGAAATTGACACTGTTTTAAATAGACCTTTTTACAACCCCTGTTAATTCTTGGTAATGTAGCTCTATAGAGTTACAATTGCCCAGAAAACCTGATTTATAAAGACTTGACAATCAAAGTCTGGGCTAGAAAGGAAAGGCTTCCGAAAAGATTTGTAGCTTTTGTAGGCCGTTACTAGTTATACTCCAAAAGAAAAAATGCATAGTTAAATGCATGCATGTTTTCATTGTGGGTATATTAATACCCAGATTTGGGCAGTGGAGTGTCCCTTTAAGGGTTAAAATAGAAAATCTGTATTGCAATTATTTGTTGGCAAGACAATTAAGTTTTTAATTATAAAATGTACACTGATCTTTCTAAATCTACATGTATACGTTCTTACTCTTGTTCTAAAACAGAAATGTTAATTTAGTGCACTTCATGTTGGTGGAAGACCGAGTTGCACAACATGCCAATGGCTTGTTAAAGAATTCCTTGCTAATAAAGAGAATACCTCATTCTCAGTCAGGGATACCAGAGAACTCTTGGTAACCGCAAGTGTGGCACAGCCAATCCTTGAATTCCGGTTTCGCTTCTTCAGTGGTTTGCAGTCATCTGATAAGCTGTGCATTCCTGAACATAAAAATGAAATATAGTTACACTGTTGCCTTGTTAGAAATATTTGCAGGTTCAAATAATGACAGATTAAAAGAAGACAGAGAATGGCAGAATAAAATTTAAACATTTCACATCAAACGCATGCCATTAACAGGTGATGGAAAGTTGCAGAGTAGAAATCACACAGATAACATCACAATTTTTAGAAAACTGCACAGGGTAGAAGATACAATAGAAAGTGGCACCGATTAAAATGTTAACTACATGATGATGCCTAAACACATGCTTTGAGTAAAAAAGCACGGTGCTACTGAAACCTGGAAAACTGCACTGATGACAATGCAACTAAAAAGCGGGAGTTTAGAAGCACAAATCTATCATGCGATTCGGAAATCTGCCAATCGAAATTCACAATTCTAACCGAATAGTTATGAAAGAGTAGAAAGCACTGTGCTAATGTCACCTGGAAAGCCACACCGATTAGAATGCACTTTGCTAACATTCTGTGACCAGGACAGATTCACAGATAAGAAATCACAATGCAACAAAAATACACACCTGCTGCTCTTTAGACAGACTGATAGGTGTTTATACAACTACTGCAACATCGTTTAGCGCTAAAATCCATCTAGTATACATGGATTGTATTCCCAAACAAGGATTGAGAGTCAAGACTTCATATACACATGCAGTTCAGGTTTTATGGCGGTTTGTATAGAAGACAGAATGAGTGACTATACCAGTGCGAAAAAACAACCTGCTCTGAAGCTGTGCTATATATAAAACGTGTTGATGTATCAAAGATTGTTACTATCAAAACACTGTTGATGTTTTCACATGAAACTACATACAATTTATTAAAGAGACAAAAACATTTTTTTATTTTATTTTTTTAAAGTTATTAATTTCCATAACCTACAAGTAATGTAAATACAAACATTTTTTGTAGCTAGCAAACTAAATAAAGCTGAGGATAGCATATAAACAAGGTTTCCATGAAAAATAAGGTTTTAGTAATATTAGCTCAATATAATTAGAAAACCAGGTACTCCTAACTTGCAGTCTCTTTCAGCCACAAATGATTAGAATTAAACAGCTTCTGATTTACCTGTTTTGGATCTTATTGAGGAAGTGTCTCTGGATCTACATGCCCTGTGGGATTTTTCATTGGTGGTTTCTTTTTGCTAAAGAAAAGTAAGAGTAATAAAAAAATTAAAATCTCATACTACCCAATAGTTTTTTTTTGATAAGTAGTTGGGGATATTATGTATGTATGAGATACACGTGTCCTTCAGATGCCAAATATCCTGATAAATCTTTAAACAAGATTATAAATATTTATCAAAAGTCACTGGTGGGAGTTTTTGAAATGGACAATTTAAAATTTTGAAAATGTTAGTGTGATATATTTCATACGAACTACTGATAATTGAGATCTACATTACAAAGAGTTAAAAGTAGCATAGGAAATTCCAAAATGCTTGCATGCCCTCTAGTGGAAAGCTAGGCAAGCAGAAAAGTCTGGAAAGGCTACGCATGCCTTGTTTAAAGCAGGAAGTGATATGACGTCTACTTGATTTAAGCAGTTAAGACGAGTCTGATCATATTCCTGGTTTCTCCTGTAGGATGAATTGATCAGATATAATCACCTACATTATCTTTTTAACGTCCATCTATTTGTCCATGAGCTAAGCAATTACTATGCTACAGCCAAATGCTATTCTCAGAATGCCAGCGTTCCCAAGCAACTGTTTTAGAACTAGATTGAACTGGAAATATTTAATAGAAGGGACTTAATACTTTTTGCAGAAATCCAACACAAACCCTAAATATGATCATTAATTACAGAGGGAGGTCAGTGTTTTCTTCATAGAACAATTTTATATTTATAGCACTATTTACCTACACAGTTTCCACATGTGAAACCTTTAGCTCATTCACCAAACCATAAATGCTTTTGTTTTTTTCCCCTAATAAATTGAGTTTTGAGGTGCAGAACTAAATGGGAACTTAGATTTATACTTGCATTAGATATTCCAAAAACAAAAACCATTAAGGACAGCAGTTTCTTAAAGCGTGCTTCCATCATTGACGCATAAAATATTGTAGTATTCTGAGCCGCCCGTTTTCACAAACCCACCATTTTGCATGCTTAAAATGGTTACAGCTTTGCTGTATGCACGGGTATTTTATGATAAAATACTGGTATACAGAAAGTCTTCCTTTTAGCCATTTGAACTTGCTGTTGTGAAATGGTCAAAAGTGTATATATAGACTTCTCTAAAAAAAAAAATATCAAAGAACCAGACTCCTTTTCCTAAGAACATGTGTTTGGTATTATGTATAGATTTCCCTTTTCCTAAGTTTGTAACCAATATGACCAGATCTATACTGATATTAAAAAAAAAAAAACCCACCAACATTATGACTACTGCAGTGTGCCATTTGTGTCATGGCTGCAAAAAGTCAATATTCTAGAAAGTTTGTCAGTGGCTCTAAATACAGAAAGACTAGAGAAATTGTTACTTGTGATGGATGGAGGCTGGGAGAAGAAATATAAAATGTGAATAGAAACTATAGTAACATTGTTATGAAGATGTAAGATGAGGAGGGAAAGGTTGTTCTTAACAGACTACACCTTTGTAGATCTGCAATAACTGTACAGTACCACCTATGTTGAATTATACCAGAGCTTTAGAGCTTTGTGTGTTAAATACGCAGAATTGAGCACATAGTACCTACATAAGAGGGTATTCCTATTTATAGTTTGTTTTGGAAATAAGCAGGGAAGCCCAGCTACGATGTTAGTAAAGTAGTGTTGGTTAAAAAGAAAAGAGTCTCAATAAACTTAAAAAGAAGTTTACCTTTTGGATATTCACACGAAGTCTCTTTAGAGGAGTTTCCTTGATTTCATAGTCTTCAGCTCGCTTGCGTGTCCTCTTTATGTGGTTTCGTTTATTTCCATGCAATTTACCTTTAGGGGGAGGTTGTGAAACTTGTATGAAAAGCCCAGGAGTAATAGTTTATTTTCCCTTTTTGGTTTAAATGTAGTCAGGCATTTTATGATATACCTGACAGAAAATCTTTATTTTCCCCATTTTATTTATGAAAACATCTGTATTCATTTGACACTTCAATACCATTTAAGTCTGAACCCTTGCATACAGTGTAGCATAAATGTGCCCAAACTACTCTTTAAATAACGAGAAATATAGACTATATATTAAAATGCTTCAAGCTAATTGCTGAAGCCATGCAGAACACATTATTTAAAGGACAGACTTTGCGTACCTGGAGCATCTAGTACTTGCCACTAAAATGTTGATCCTATGGTATTAGTTACATGAGTTTGTTTAGGAACAAACTGCTTTATAAGCAGCAATAATTGTTCAATGTTTCTAAAAAGTGAAGTTCTTTTTTCACCACATCCATGTTTGCGAGCACGAGGAAAGTTTGTTTTAAAAAAAAAATATGAAATGTCACACTTTCTAATGTTTCAGTCAAACATACAGTTGAACTAGAGAGTAAGTCAGTTTTATCACAAGATGTTATCTATGACATTTAAGACCCCATGAAAGTTATTTTACTAAAGAGAAAATTGTCTCAAACAGTGTTCAGCCAAATTTAAGGCAGGTGTAATATAGGCATGGAAACACATGTGATTTCTGAACACCTGACCTTAAACAATGTGAGCTAATGGTTTAATTTGATTTGATTTGTACACATGTGCTCAAGCAGAATACTCCAATCTCACAGAATATTTACAGTCTATTAAGACCTGAGCTTGTAAACCGTTATATAAGGCACGGTAGGTTCTAACATTAAAATTTTCCATGTAAATGGAATCCCAGAGCAAGTATGTTCTACATATTTATTACACACATATATTGTGCAAACTTTAGTAATGCATAAAACCACAAGGCTAGGGCACTCAAAATCCAGATTTAAAACAGCTCTGTCCACACTATTTACTCTTTGTACAAAAACGGATGCAATGATTTGTTTATTATGATGAAATGATGCAATCGCTGCATGTTGTGCCCATACATATACCATAAAGTTATGACAATCAGTGTGCTGTTATTTATGGGTGATTACAACAAGTGTGACTTTGCACAACTAAAGTGGATATCACAATAGCAGTATTTACAAAATCGGTCTTTCAAACAGAGCCCTCAATGCAAAACTTAAAAGGGTTTATTAATAGAGTTGCACTTCTTCCTTTAGTAATCAAGTCTATCGCGGGGCACGCAATTAGAGGGGAAAATTTTTTGAATAAAAATAAAACAATCCCAGGCTCCCAACAAGGTGAGGGTGTACATCTACAACAATAAACAGGGTACAATTCTATATTTAACTGGCCAGGAAGGAATATTGATGTAAAGGCCGCACAACAAATCACGTGTAACTTACAGTAATTTTTTTTTTCTTGTTACATACACTGTGGGTTTCCCATGATAAAAAGGACAAAAATCACCACTACACCTATTAAGATATTGAAATATTAACAAATCCATGTCTATTGTCAATCTCTTAGAAGAGCCTTTTAGTTTTCAGGTTTTACTCTAGAACACTAAAAAAAATAAAAACAAACGCATAACAGGTTATTTCAATTACTTCTTGATCTTGAGTTCCTCTGCGGTAACTCTTGGAGAAGGTTTCGCTTGACTTCCAGGATATTCTTCGTTGATGTACCTTGAGAGATACAGAAGTTTTTTTGGGTGTTGTGTTTTTCATGTTAACCGGTATCCAATTATTCCATGACATTTTTCAGATACAAACAAGGAAACAAGTCACTGTTCCGGTGGCGGGACAGAGAAGAGGCTATGTGGACAGCAGCATTCATTTTACATTATTGATCAGTTACATCCTTTTATTCATCTGAATCTCTGCCCAAAACAGTATGTATCGCTGAAGAAGACCACTAGACAGAGGACAAAACATGTACTCCAGTCTGGAAAGCTGCATGTTAAAATGTCGATTTCTCAGTAAACCTGCTTGCACGTCTTAAATTAAGGGGGCAACTAAAATGCAATGTATTAGTGGAGCTTCAAAAAGCAGCTGTCCATGCTTTTACAGCCTTAAGGCTGTAAAAAGAAGCCTGTAATGGAGAAATGAACATTGAATTTGCCAGTCAATAGACTACAACATACGTTTATGTGCGGAACCTTCTGCATTAATGGGAGAGTAATGTTAAATTGTATAAATCCTTCAATAATAAGCCTGGTTTTAATGCAGTGATCTGTCTGAAATAGTTTAAGTAGCATATTAAACCTACGCACATTTCCATGGACACCAAGGTTTATTCACTAAACTCACAAACTGACAAATTATAAAATTTAGAATACAATAGTAAGAGGGGAGATTTGGCCTTAGAAGTTACTCCAGCATCCATGACTACTTATGCTTCACAGCTAGATTCGTTCCTCCATGACTTAAAAAGAGAGAAGTGGTCATGGAGTTAAGAATCTGTCTGTGAAGCATTTCAGCTTGAAACGGTGTACAACCAGAGTTATTTGCACCAGACTGCCTAATGTCGATTCTGTGCTTATTTTACATGTCAGCGTGCACTGCATGCTGGCAACAGACAATCCAATTCTCTGCCTGCAAGGGGAGTCTTAGGTCTCCTCTCCCTCCCTACAGCCCACCCGACTACAGAACCCATTAATTTAAGCTTTTTTTAGGCTCCCTCACTGGCTCAGTTTGCACATGAGCTCTGAGCAAGCTATAGAGTCCAACCAAAGACTACACTTAAAAGAAAAAAAATAGGGCATAATACATTTAAAAAAAAAAAAAAAAAAAATGATAGGGGTTGGAGAGACCCTTTAAATTTGGAACGTCCTGGTGCATTCCAGACAAGTCACGGTTTAGTGAATAAAACACGGCATGCATTATTCTGCAATGCAAAACTAAATATTTTACAATGAGTCTAACCTAGAACCATTTCTCCATGTGAGCTTAAGCCAACTTTGTATAATAAACAATGTGGGTGCAATGAGAACAGTAAAACATGCAGATAAATAAGGAATACTTATGCAATATACCACTGCATATATAAAACAAATTAAAAATAGTGTAGTGTAGTATATCAAGACATAAAACCAAATTATAAATCATAAAACACTCACATACTGCGGAATCAATCGCAAACTGACTCAGACTTTTTGTGCTTGTGGTAAATATTCCTTTGTAGGAATTGGACCTTCTGAACGAAGAAATTGAGGTCCCCAAGGCTCTTTTGGAAAATCTTCCAAGCTTATCAAACAAAGTATAAAATAACAATACTCAATAAGAATATGCATCTTTGAAAAAGAGCCATGAGGGGTTGAAACGCATTCATAAGAGTCACCAAAATTTGTATTGTTTTATACTGTAATTTTGCAGATCCAATTCCGACAAAGGAATATTTACCACAAGCACAAAAAGCATGAGTCAGCTTGAGATTGACTCAGCAGTATGTGAGTGTTTTATACATAGCATATAATGTTTTTATGTCTTGCTATACTAACACCATGTATTTCTAATTTGTGTTTTACGAATGCAGTGGTATATGGCATAAGTATTCCTTGGTTATCTGCATGTTTTACTGTTATTACACCGACATTGTTTATTATACACTGTATATTTTTTGGTGTTAAGGAGTGACACCTTAGTGGGTGTAATTTACTGCACTGCATTAGCACTTTCCACTGTTGCACCTTTGTTTATGGTTTGTTTACTTTTAAGCCAGGGCCTTTGCCTTGAGACCTCTGGGCTCACCTTAATGCTCATTTTCTGGGTCATTATGGGAAACTGCTTTAAAAAAAAAAAAAAAAAAAAAAATCAAAAAATAAATTCATAACACGAACTTGCGATTTGCCTATTTTCTTTAAATATAAAGTTTTCCACTTTGTTATAGGGTTTATTTGCCTCTCTATTGGTTTGGATTCTCATCATGGCCTCAAATATTTTTGGATAAGCTTCACAAATAATTAAAATCTGCTTGAAAAACTTTCCAAATGATTTATCTACAAAAGTTACCATAGACTTTATTAGTGACTTCTGCAAATACATCATTTGGAAAGTGATTACAGCAGATTTGAATTATGTGAAAAGCTTATATAAAATAAAATTGAGGGACATTTTTGTAAATGTTGCCACAGATTGTATAGGCTCTAATGTTATAGCATTAATATGTCTCGGATGAATGAACAGAGAAATTAACGTTCTTCAAGTTTAAGTATCTCTGAAAGCAATTTTTTCCCATAGCCTGCAGATGGGGGGAGTGGGGTCTTCCTTTTGGACAGACAGATGTGTCCATCCTGGCACTTTTATTTCAGACAGACCTATATGCGAATGTTCATATCAATGAACTTACAGGAATAATAAAATTAATTTTTAACTAGATTTGTGCTGTAAATTACTCAAAGAAACTATGGAGTAAAAACAGATTTTCCACAAATTTGAAACCATTAAAACCAGGACAGTTCATTATTTTTGATATTTTTTTTTTTTAATTTAACATTACTTTTTCCATCTGTCGGCAATGGCAGATTAAGAATGTTCCTAATTTTCTGTTTTATCACTATTCATATTGACAGATGCCATACAATGTAATAGAGTCAAATTGAGCTAGTGACCATGTCCATTATCCCAAGTACCCCAATACACATTTATATCAATTTTATTTATTAACCATCACCCCATATACACAGTACCAGCCTCACATACAAAAATGTGCGTGGGCACTATGTTTAGTGGTCTGGTGAAGGTGCAATGAGGAGATGGTTAAGGAGAACTACATACTTAAAATTAGTTTGTGCACTATTCTAAAAATTACCTATGACTCCAATCTATAAAGCCACCACCATATTTCTTAAAATGTTAATAACATTCTATACATGCCAAATGCGAATCAAAAGCACCTGTGCAGCCTCAAAATCATCCAGTTTTATTATGGATGGTTATAGTCCATAATTATTTTGTGAGGTAAAACATGTTAAGAAAACAGTGCGTTTTGAGAATGGCTTTTTTGTTAATAAAAATCTATTCTGTGCCTGTGCAATTTGAAAATAACTGAGCACAGTGGTCACAGGCTGGACAATTACAATAAAGTAGCAAATAAGGGCTTAATATTTAAAGTAGATTAGAAGAAACTCTGCTGATTTGTTTTAATTTTTCTCTCACTTTTTTTTTTCCTTTTTCTTTTAAACTATCAAGATAGAGCTTAAAATCCCTTAGAGTACAGTGTGGTTTCATGTTTACCAGAGTCTTCGGGTTTGGGAGAGGTGACAATTGCAAACTTTGTGTTATAGCGCGCTTTTTGTTTATCACTGAGCATATTCCACTGCGATTCAAGCAACTCTTCAATCTCTTCTGCTGATGCATCTGGGTGCTCATTTATCACCTAGAAGTCCAAAGAAAGAATGCTTGTTAAAAATAAAAATATATAAATATTTCAGCAATGGTAAAAGTTCCAGAGAATTTATTATTAGCCATATTAATACAGCTATCAATACTGTTTTTCCACTTTTTAGGACAGGCACTATTAAAAAAAATAAGAATACAACAATGTTAAAGTGGTAAACATGTATCATAAGAAGTATATCAGGAATTCCTCTATTCTCTGTATCCTGCATAGAGTTCCATTTTAAAGGACCACTATAGGCACCCAGACCACTTCAGCTTAATGAAGTGGTCTGGGTGCCAGGTCATCAGAAGGAGGAGGAGAGTCCCAGCCACGGCGCTGGAGAAAGGTGAGTGTTTAACCCCCTTCTTCCCCTTTAGCCGAGCGGGAGTGGGACCCTGAGGGTGGGGGCACCCTCAGGGACCTATAGTGCCAGGAAAACGAGTTTGTTTTCCTGGCACTATAGTGGTCCTTTAATGGGCAAGCATTTAATTTTTTAACCAACCTACTGCATTAGAGATGTCTGGCTAACCTATCAGCAATGTGTTCACTTCTCTGGATGTTCCTGCATCAATTTCTATTGCATAAAGTCAAGGGAGTGCTGCACACAAGTAAATGTATGTGGGAACTGTGGAGGAGAGTCTGCCTGCGCCCCACTACACAACAACTAAAAACAGGAGTCTACAGGCATCACAACGTAGGGTAAATGCAAAGCAAAAAAAAAAAATCAAAAATAAATAGATAGATTTTTGGCCATAAGGCCTTAGGTAGGGCATGACCTTAAATTGTGACCCCTGTGGACTCCTATTTTCAACGTCTATTGCAAATACTTGGTCACCAATGGAGTACCAGTTCAGTGATTCAAACAATCGTTATCCATGGATTGAACACATGAAGTATTTTGAGACTTCAGACATGCCTACAGTTGGGAGGTGCATCCTACACACATTGTATGTCAGAAAGACAGTACAAAATGTTACGCACGGATTTATGAAGCCCTGATACAAATTTAAAAACCATGTCAATGACGTTATGTATTGTCCAACAGGAAAGCAACTATATCATTGCCAATGTGAAGTATAAAAAAGGGCACATTGATTAACACATTGATTTTGTACAAATAAAGTGATCTAGATGTCTGTATACTAACTGCAACACATGACAAACACTGGATAACAAAATGTACAGATGTAATTTTACATGCTATGTAAGCAGATATTGCAAAACACGCAAACACAAACATACCTGGATGGAGCAGTGGTAACATCACTGCCTTAGAACTGAGAAACAAGGTTTTTAAGCTCGTTTGAGCCTTCTAAAATTGTTAAATGCTGCAAAACACGTTGGTTCTGTAAGAATGCTAATTATTATATTACCTACTACTGTGTGTCCCTTTAAAGTATATTGTGACTATTTTAGTAGGCTCTATAACCATTTCATCTTCATGAATTAAAGGGCTACTCTACGCATTTTAACCCATGCTTTATAGGTTTTGTGAGAAGCCCTGTTTCCTGTTAAAGGGGAAATCTGTTTTGCCCTCTTAACCTATTTTTGCCCGCTGGATGCGGAGGGTCCTCTTACAGCCAGAGACGTGCATCTGGCTCATAAAGAAGGATGCTAATAGAGTCAACCACTCATTGGCTGAGAGCATCAGTTGGGCGCACTCAGCCAATGAATGCAACACTGTGCATAGACATAGACAGAACTAAAGTGTGCTTGTCTTGACCCCCAAGTCACTTATATGATCATCATTATCTGGTTAAAGAGGCAGTAATAACCAAAAAAATAAAATAAAAAATAACCCACCAAATGAGCAGTCAGTTATAAGTTGCCTATTACATATGAAAGTCTGTTGTGTTTATCTTTTTCCTACATGACAACCAATGAATCTAAAGCTAAGGTCAGATTATGCTAGACAAATACGCAAACAAAAGAAAGCAGTGTGTAAAAAGAACCATGTCCTTTACACAAGTCTCAGACATGGTTCTTACATATAAGAAAAGCTACTCTTCACTCCATTAAAGTAAAACATTTTTCACAAAGGAAGCTCTCTGCAATAGCATCCAAGTTTGCTTCTACCTTCGTGATTACAACTTGCATGTGTACTGCTTAAACACTATATGCACACATATCACCACTTGCAGCAATAAGCAATCTGATGACTTTGTCCCAGCGCATTGCCATTTGAAAAGAGTACTTCTGCTTTAAAGGCAGTGTAACACACTACATATATCACCTTACAACTCTTTCCTAAGAATCACATTTTAGCAACCAGTTAACAAAAAACAAAAAAACATTTACCTCATCTTTGTGTTTCTGACAAAACACCAGAAACTGTGTCACTGCACCAACTTTTCTGCTCCTTGAGGTATATGCTCCAGACTTTCTTTTGGTGCTGGGGGAAGAGACATTTTTTCTAGACTCTGGGCTCTCTGAAACCTTTGCAGGAGACTTCACATCAGAAGGTTCAGACTTTTGATTGCTGGGAACCCTGGACACTCTCCTTTTCTTGCTAGGCACTCCATCTTTATTAGAGCTCTCCGACTTTTCATCCATATCTTCACTTGTTTCCGGGATTGGTTCTAATGGGATGCCTGCTTCCATGGCTACCTTGGGATTGAGATGAGGACGGTCCTTCACATAAACAAAAGTAAATTTTTCCTTTCTCTCCTCTGATGTCATCGTTAGAGCTTCTTTAGCCTGCTGAATTCCAATGTCCCACTGACCACGGATTTTGCCAGTGATTGGTTTTAAAAGCTGATCAGGGAGATAAAGTTGCAGTTAATTTAAATGCATTTACAAACTAATGCACATATTTATTATGTAGGAATAAATTCTATACAATTTTTTTGTAGTTTGAACTTTACGTTTAAGACAATTGTCAACCCAATGCAAAAGCAAAGGGCTGAAGTATAAATATTTGAGGGGCTCTGTTGGCATAAGTCTGTGTACCTTCATCTTTTCTGCTTTATTCGGTGTTTGTTTTGCACTCTCTTGGCATAGCTGATCATATTCATTCTCTCCTTTGAAAAGTGTGATGCTTTTCTCAAAGATCCATGCTCTTTCAGGGGCATTGCCAAAAAACTGCACATGATATTGACGGATACTCTTTCTTTGCCCTAAATAAGCATGTGAGAAAAATAGAGGAATGGGAGGGGGGAGAATATATATATTTTTTTAAATTGTCATGCAATGACACAAGAAAGAATCACAAAACTATTTAACAGATTTAGCAGTTTGTTTACCCACTCATTACCAAAGATAACTAGTAGCAACTAGAAGGCTGATCTCTGGGATTGTATCAATTGCACAATTTCTTTTACTACAAAACTTTGCCCATCCTAGTCTATACTTGAATTCACATTTGCTCCTTAAATGTCAAACATTCTTTAAAGGACCACTCTAGGCACCCAGACCACTTCAGCTTAATGAGTGAGAGAATGAGAGAAACTGCTATAATTATGAATGGGTTAAGCCTTCCCCCTAATCCTCTAGTGGCTGTCTCATTGACAGCCACTAGAGGCGCTTGCGTGCTTCTCACTGTGAAAAATCACAGTGAGAGCACGCAAGCGTCCATAGGAAAGCATTGTAAATGCTTTCCTATGCGACGGCTGAATGCGCGCGCAGCCTGCTGCGCTGCGGCGATTCAACGGCGGGGCAACGGAGGCGGAGAGGAGGAGGAGAGCTCTCCGCCCAGCGCTGGAAAAAGGTAAGTTATTACCCCTTTCCCCCTTCCAGAGCCGGGCGGGAGGGGGACCCTGAGGGTGGGGGCACCCTCAGGGCACTATAGTGGTCCTTTAATTTGAATGATTTAAAGAATGCCATGAGATTCATTTTAAAGGAACACTACAGTGTTAGGAATACAAATATGTAATGTTTACACTAGAGTGTACCTCTACCACCCCCTCCCACCATGGCAGTTAAAGGGCAATAAACCCTTTAAAACACTTACCAGATTCCAGAGCCCAAGACAATGTTGAGGAGGAACCTGATGTGCATCCGTGTCAAATGCCGCACTGAATTGATGCATTCTTATTGAGTATTTAAAGAGACTGGATGCCCTCATGCACAGCTTGACGTACAGGTTTTTTTTTTTTCCATGGTTTTAAACCATGTAAATGTAGAAATCGCCTCTAGTGGTTGTCAGACATATTACCTGCAATACAAACATTGCAGTTTCTCTGAAATTGCAATGTTTTAGACTACAGGGTTAAAGGTCCAGGGACAGTGCACCCATACCACTTTAATGAGAAAGTGGTATGGGTGCCTATAGAACTAGAACTTACTAGTGTTAGGATTCCAGATTTGAAGATATTTTGCACGAATGCATCCCTCCATCTGACCAGATGATACTCCGGAATACTTGATTGTACCTTACTTTTGATGCCCCACATTTTTTCATTGCCTGTGTATTAACATAGTCCAAAACATCTGGAGTGCCGAAGGTTGCCTATGCCTGGTATAGATTAGGGATTGACCGATATTGATTTTTTTTAGAGCAGATACCGATAAATCTGTGAACTTTCAGGCCGATAGCCGATAACTTACCGATATTCTGTACATTTACCATTTAAAAAAAAAAATAAAACTATGTCTACACAAATCTACTGTTAACTGAACATGTTTATTATATTTATTTTGCAAATCTTTATTAAGGTAAATGCACAAAATATACATGCCAGTCAGAATTTTGTAGGTTTTCAAGAATGTGTGTGTAGTGGATGCAGTGAGAGTATTTTTATTTTTTCAACTTTAAAAAAATATAAAAAAAATAGGGGGCCCAGCACACTCTTACTTACGTTCCCAGCAGCTCCCTTTAGCTCCCGCAGCCTGTGTGCCGCGTTGCCATGGTAACCTGTGGCAACACCGACGGTCGCAGGACTCGCGAGAGTTAGACAGGGGAGCTGCTGGGAAGGTAAGTAAGAGTGTGCTGGGCCTCCCAGGACCCTGATGGCAGCCCTGGTCTGCATTATCGACAATATCGGTACTGGCCAGACCAGTAATCAGTTAATCCCTAGTATAGATGCATTTTTTTGTATTTGATTTGTTTAGAAATTACATAGATCTAAATTTAAAGTTCGTTATAGACTGAGTGAGCAATCTTGGAAGGTCAGTTGCAAATTATGTACCAACAACCAATATCATCAACAGCATACACCCATAAACATATGGTTATTTTAAAAAAAAAAAAAAAAATGCAGCAGAGTGAATCTACTACAATTAGGTGGAACTCCTTATATTAAATCCAGGAATTGTGGCAGTAGAGTTTATAATCCACAACAGTGCAGAATTACTATACATGCAATGTTTTATTGCGTTATTCCAAATCATTGTTAATCTATGTGGAAATCTACATTTCAGTGTGCATAGAAGGCTAATTCACACAGTGTAACTTAATGGACACAAAGTAAAAACATACCCTTGATCTTTGTATGGCTAAGCAGGACTGGGTCAGATGTTACCATACACGGCCACCATGGGTACCCAGAAACTTTAGACCATACCAAGTCTCCAACAGAAAATTTAAATGAAGCATCTTCTTCATCTTTCGCAGTCGATGTATCCAATTCAGAGACTTCCTTTGAATCACAATGACAAAATGACATGAGCAAGAAAAACAAAGGCTAAGATCATGGATATTTTTATTTGATATGTTTTGTAAACCACTGACTCTTTTTAAAATTTACCATTTACTGGAAAACCAAATGAACATGTTAACGCCAACCAGTCAAAAGCATAAAGATCAGGTCACTTTCAGGTAGGTGCACATTTAACTTAAAGGACAATCTACATGTATGAGATCAGGAATGTGATCTATGTTTAATCTGCTTGTCCAAGGGATTAATAAAGTGGTAGCCCAATTCACTGAACAAGTGTTTGCAATTTAAGGGACACTATAGTCACCAGAACCACTACAGCTCAATGTATTGGTTCTGGTGTCTATAGCATGTCCATATAGGCTTTTCAGAGAAAATGCATTCATTGTTTACATCCCTGCCTAGTAACACCTCTGTTGACAGTCATTCAGACGATCACTAGAGGTGCTTTCTACCTAATGCTGCACTGTACACAGCATCAATAGTGTGTACAGCGTTGAGACCCTAAAGGCTTCCCATAGAGTTACACTAATTCACATGCGCAATAGCCTCCCAATGCTTTCTTATGGGAAAGCCATTGGATTGGTTGAGACAGTTCAGACTGATGTTCTCAGCTGTAGAGACGGGGACAGCCACAGCAAAACCAGGGCAGCGATTAAATGTAAAAGCCTTTTAGCTCCACAGAGAGGGGGAAGGAACCAATATTTATTCAAGCACTATACTGTTAGGAATGATTTAATAACACTATAGTGTTCCTTTAGAGCTGAATTTAAAAATTAAAGTAAAAAAGCTGAACTGGAAGAATTATCCAAACTCAGCTATAGTCACAACTTAACATTTGCAATACATCCTTGTCCAGAATGCCAGCATAGACAATAATTCATCCATAATGTATCCACCCAAAATGGGGAATAGGTTTGAGGACCAAGAGCAGCCTTGTTGTAAAACATTGCAATGGTTTGTTATTAAACCGGAACAACACTTCCACTCTAGACAATATAACCACAGCGAGCCATTGTGGTTAAATTGCCTGTACTGCCCATTTCAATGGCTTATATTTTTTGTTTTAAATTAAGCTAATTGCTTGGGGGTAGTGCCTTTATGACATAAGCTGCTTCTTGCTAGATCTGTTCTGCTTATCAAGTTATATTATAGGCAATTTGAGTTATCAGAAGTGAAAAACTAGGAAATTACCTTAAGGTCAGATGAGTCGAGGGCGTCAGATTTATCAGAGGCCTCATCACTCTGCTTCTCCTCAGCTGTGCCAAACTTTATACTTTTTCTCTTCCTTCCTCTTTTACTTTTCTTATCCTCCTCAACTTCCTCTGCATTGGTAGGTTCTTCCCCTGCTTCCCCACAAATCGAAGACTCAAACAAGGGCTTTCCATTCATGTAGGTCTTAGTAATTTTTAATTTTATTTCAGGTGATCCATTCTTTGTTGGGGTAGTTGAAGGTGGTGTCTCGGTACCTTTAATTTCAGGTTCATCAAAGCGAACTTTGGCTTCTTGGGCCCCAGAATCTCCATTAAAAACACGTGATGTTAGGTCCTTCAGTTTATCAGGTGGAAGAAATGGTAGTGTATCGTGGCCATTAAGTTTCTGAATGACCCCATCTTGTAGAGTTGCTGAAATCTGAGCTCTTCCAAGGAATACAGAGCACTCTCTGCTAACTTCAGGATTGGAACTCTTCATGACAGGAGTCACGAGTATATGAGGAACTTGCTTCATTGTGTGGTTGTTTTATGTTAACTGTAGAGAATTCAGGTAGAATGGAACAATTTTACACTAAAAGGAAAAAAGCAAAATGGAGAATGTTACTACAGGAAGTACAAAATGAGCATACCAGGAAAAAAAAAACTGTTACACTCTGCATTCCCTCACAAAATAATGGGGGTAGAGGGAGGGATTGTAATGTGGAATTCAAACCAGGTTAACCACTATTATACAAGTGATTAAAGCTGCAGCAAAAATTGGTTTGGACTTTCAATGGCTGAAGGAATATTCCACACCTCAGAATGTCCATCTTTGTCTCTTTATAAAAAAAGTAAAAATCTCAGGACACATCTGCAGTTTTATAAAGTGACAGGATTGTACACTCCCGGTTGTCAGACCACTAGGAGGGTGATATAACGGATTTCCTTGCTCCAACCAACATGAAGGCAATATTTCTCTTTGAGAAGCATTCTACTGATCATTAGAATATTAGTACTGATGGCCTCCCAGTAGGCAGTGCGATTTTTTTTCTGCTGCTTCATTAGTGGTAAGTGCTTTACTTCAGGGAAAGGAGGGCAGGGGTGTATCCTATATTAGTATATACATATAACACTGGAGTGTTCCTTCCTAACGTACATTTGTTTTAAAGGTTAAGGTATGCCTGAATTGAAAAAAATATATATATACACACACATTTTTTTTTTTTATTTTATTTTATTATTTTATAAATACAGACATTCCAGCTAAGGCACACAAATATAATCACAAGTATGATGCACACATATTATTAGTTTGCCTGATATATTTAACAATTCTCCTTTAAGCCTGAAAAGGTTTTAAAGTTATTTACAAATATTAAAATATCAAAACAAGGTATTAATCTGCTAAAAATCTATATTTTGTGAACAACGTTAAAGAACCTAAACAGCTAATATAAGCCTTTTGAGAGGGGAGACCTTTCCAGTGTAATATGCCCTATTCAGCAGATCTCCATTTCATTTTTCAGCAAAAGAAGGTTTTACTCAACTGGAATCCAGCACCAGACGAAGTACCTAGTGTTGATCTTCTGATGTCTTATCATAGAGAAACCTGCGATTGGACCATTTCGCCTGTTCAGAGAACATGTGCGCGATCTGGATGGGTAAGGTTAGAATTTTAAAATGAATAAAATGTGAAGCTTTTCACATCTGTCAGCAGCATGTAGTGCAAAACACTATTTTTTTCACACAATTGGTGTTAGTATGCCTGTAAACAGCTAATGGTTCACAATAAGGCCAGAGGTGAAATTACACCACTGGCAGCAAAAACGTTAATCTCTGTATGTGCAGACATTTATAGTGACAACACATGCTTGGAGTAATCCTTTAAAAAAGTTACTCGGTACTGCAAACCATAACATACTGTCAGTAGTGAATTTCTACATTTGGCTAGTGGAAGTACTGAATCTTGTTTATATTGATTGTTATAAAGTGTGTTGGGGTTCTAAGTCTAATTTGGCTAAAGTAACATAGGACTCTCCATTTTTAAATTGTCCTGTTCATGGCAGCTTTTATATTAAGATCTGTGTGGATGGTGTTAACAGGGTGATTATCCTTTTGTGTCTAGAACACTGATCTTTTCAAATTTTAACCCTGGCACACACTGAGCCAAATCAGATGCACACTTGGAATGGCCTTGTTCATGACTGCTGTATGTGCAATAGCACACAAAATGGAAACGGTCAACCCTTTATTTATGAATGTTTAGGCAGTACGAAGTTCACAGAGAAACTGTCAAAAGAGCCATGATCCTAAATACTTTGCACTTTCTATTGATGATCTTGTGAAAAATATTTCCCGATATCCTTATGTATTTTCAATGGAGGAGGACCATGAAGCAGGTTTTGCTTAGCTGAATACACACACTTGGAATGTCAATATGAAGACGCATTCAAGAGACAGGTGGCCATTAAAATAAAGAACACTTGACAGTAGGGCAACATGATAGAGTACATTAAAGCTTAACCCAAAACCCCCCCCCCCAAAAAAAAAAAAAACACAACCTTTTTAAATGTCGGGACCACTGCAACCTCACTCTTTACTCTGCAAGAACAGCACCCACAAAAAAAAAATTTTTTAAACACAGCAAACGTGTTCAATACTGCTTTCAATTTGGCCAGTTCTTGGTAGGGGCCGAGCTATTATCTATACATCATAAAGGCTTATTTCATTTTGCAAACCATTGTCTGTTTTGAACTATGCACAATCTTTGGTTTATTTCTCCAAAGTCTGAAATGCAGCAACACCCTCATTGTCTCAGCGTTTGTCTTAATCTCTATGTATGCACAATCGCAATGTCAGTTGATGTTCTCAACCAACTAATGACCTAAACTTGCATAAATACGACCTAAATTGGAATTCAAATGCATGGTTTAGCTGTGTGGAGGAAACTTGAAATGTGGGTGCCTAAGGGAAAACAGACCATTTTCAAAATGTTACCCCTAAAGTACTTTACCTTGCTGAAGTGCTTTATGTGTGAAGAATGAGACTATCAAAAGAAACAAATAGAGGCTTTAACTAAACCTATTAGATTTTGGTCGCGTCGACTAAAATCTGGAGGTTTAGTCAACTAAAACAATTCATATGACAAATACTGACTAAAACTAAACTGAAATTTTCCACCACAATTAACACAGATACATTGCCATTGTTTAAAAATAAATTTAGTGAATGACACTTGAGAACACAAATCTCAGGTTTTACCACAGTTCCAGAATTTTGTTAAAATTCTAATCTAAACATTCCACAGATCATAAATAACTGGTAGCATTACCATAAAATTTTAAACATAGCACAGCATCCGTTTTATATTTACACTAATATACAGGTCTGAAACCTTACATTCATTCACCATATATTGTTAAATGTATTTGACTTACATTTTATTTTGTCAACCATTTTTAAGGTGAGCAGCTTTAAAATAAAGTGAAAAGAAAAAAAAAATATCACATTTTTTGTTTGATTTTATCCTTCTATGATTTAACTTATCCTCACCATTCCCAACTAAGCATTCACATCATAAATCAACTAGTTTTGCCGAAGCGGCTTCAAATGGATATAGCCATCTTTGTAGTATTTACATGCTCTGTAGATACCCACATGCATGTCTGGATAATCCTTGAGCACATGGAAAAGGTAGAGAAGCACTCTAACTTTACAGAAAAACTAAACATTCCAGTCCTGTCATTTAATGCTTTTCTCTTCCAAACATGCCAAACGTGCCATCACTAACTCACAAATCACATTATTTAGTATTGAGAGGAGGATGGGCTTAACCTTTTTAAGTTTTTAATACAGTTCTGCCTGCCTTTTCTGCTGCAAGGAAATGGTGATAACCCTCTTGTTGCACTGACCCTAATCTGGAGGGAAAGTGGTCACTTTCACAAAGTGACACGGTTGCACATTTCCAGCTTCAAGGCTGCTCTTCCTGACAATTTTGTGTGCTAGCAAATACCAGAAAGCAATGTTTTGCAAACTGAACTGCAGGCACTATAGGCATTTCTGCTCATTGAGTTGGTTATAGTGCGTGGAGTAGTATTAAACCATCTTCAAGCAGTCTAGAACAACCACAGCCTGGCACTCATTAGCAGTGTGGCTAAGACAGTTTACAAGTTTTATTCTAGCTATGATAATTCATGCCAACAACAGGGGTGGTGATAGGTTGAAAGAGGACTGCCAATACTTTTTCACTATAATTTGTGAATAGGGAGCTACTCATCCCATCATCAGCAACCCAGTCTGAGGCTTCCTAAATGAATGCAAGTAAAGGAGCAGAGCCAGTGGATGTTGGATTGAAGACACAGGGGTTAAACCATTCCCGAATAGAACACTAATATGCGAGTCTGTGAGCAGGACCTCCTTGGACCATAACTTAATACATATTATGTTCTTATGTTGCATAAATGAACCCAGTGAGTTTGCCTTATCAGGCTTCCTCAGAGCATATCTGGATAGATAATTTGTTTTAGCAATGGTATAATGACCATAAATAATTCTCTCTCAGTAGAATACAACCAGGAAATGTGTTTGCTGTATGTATGCATACACGCAAGGCCACACTCAAAGGGAATTCAGCAAATAAACTGGATACTCAAGATGTGGCATTCATGTGAGTTTCTTTGTTGAGAGACATCAAGAAGTCCAGAAAGGACCTAGCTCAGCATCTGGCAGCTTCATCAGGATACCAAGTTGACCATTCTACAGTCCGAAGAAGTTTGACCAGGAATGTTTTTTGCGGAAGGGTAGCAGCCAAGGGATGACTTTCAGAATGGGAACAGGGTGAAAAGGCTAAGATATGCAAAGATTGGAATGTATACCCTTCCACAAAGACCATTCCTGATCAAGCTTCTTCTGAATGTGGAATGGTGAACTTGGCATCTCAATGAAGCTGCCAAATGTGGAGCCAGGTTCTTGCTGCACTTTCTATCTTTCAAAGAAGAAACTCAGGCACTTATCAGATTTTGGGTATCTGCAGCAAGCTAGTTATTAAAGGGACACTATAGGCACCCAGACAACTTCATCTCATTGACTAAAGGGGACATGGCACCCAGACCATATCAATGTAAAACATTGCATTTTTAGAGAAACTAGAACCAAGACTGCCTCTAGCTGCAGTCTACCAGTTTGATTCTGTGAAACAACGCTGGACGTCGTCACACTATGAATGAGAACCTCCAGCATCAGAGAAAATCCCATAGTAAGGCATTGTGGCAATGCTAACATATGGGGAAGGTCTAATGTGCCCCGTCGCATGACGGAGGAGGCGGACCGCGACACAGCCCAATATAGCAGATTTCTGGAGAAAAGAAAATGAGTATGCAACATTTCACCACAATGTTTAACTATGATCCTCTAGAACGGTTAATTTGGGAACAAGTCCAGAAACAGTGAAATAGAGAGGAGGCAGATTATATTTCTAAACATAATAGAGAATCTCTTAGTTTTAAGGGAAATGGTCTTCTGTTTAAAAGGAATATCAACATTAGAGGGGTCAAACATTAAAACCTTATTAATACAGACGATAATGTGAAGCACTTTAGGATTAAATGTAGGATACAGCCGTTTAGGATTTAATGTTAAAAGGGACACTATAGTCACCAGAACAACTACAGCTTATTGAATTTGTTCAGGTGAGTAGAATCATTACCTTCTGGCTTTTTGCTGTAAACACTGTCTTTTCAGAGACAATGCAGTGTTTACATTGCAGCCTAGTGATAACTTCACTGGCCACTCCTCAGATAGCTGTTGGAGATCCTTCCTGGGTCATGGCTGCCTTAAATGTATCAAAAATTCAGTGTCTCCTCCCTCTGCAAGTAGACCCTGAACTTTCCTCATAGAGATTCATTGATTCAATTCATCTCTATGAGGAGATGCTGATTGGCCAGAGCTGTGTTTGAACCATGCTGGCTCCTCCCCTGATCTGCCTCCTTGTCAGTCTCAGCCAATCCTATGGGGAAGTATTGTGATTGGATCAGGCTACCACTTCTGATGATGTCAACAGACTGCTTGTTTTTCTGAGTCTAACAGCATGCAGAGTTACAGCTTCAGGCTTGAATACAGTAAGAATGAATATATATATATATATATATATATATATATATATATATATATATATATATATATATACACACACATACACACACATACATATACACACACACATACACACACACACATACATACACACACACACACATACATATACACACACACATACACACACACATACACATATACACACACACATACACATATACATATACACACACACACGGGGCCCAGGGGGGCTAGATAAACACTATAGGGGGTCAGGAATACATATTTGTGTTCCTGACCCTATAGTGATCATTTAAGGTACTAATACTACCCAGAAACATGAACTAAAAGTGTTTGCAGTACACTAAGTGAGCTACAAAAACCTATTATGTTGTGGATCCTTATGTTTGGAGAGAAGGATGGTTTTATAGTCAATAATAGCAAACATTGAATATTTATCAAGATACAATTCAATAAATAGCTACATGAATTAAAGCTTTTCAAAATATATATTATTATTATTTTATTTTTTTAAATTGCTTTAGAGGCATCCAATGAATTTGTATAGTCATTTCTTTTGCCTTCAGTTATTGTTGCATTTAATACTTCTGGTTTGTTGGGGGTCTCTGGTTTTGTTTCTGTACTAATAAAACTAATTTATAAAACATTAAATTGGGATTTACAATACATTCAGGCTCAATATGAATGCTTGCATGTCTAACAGAAAAGGTTAAGGTTGTTAATCAGATAAAGTAGCTGTCCTTGTAGAATTTTATGTGATAGTCCAGGAATAACAAAGATCTAAGACTACTAAAGAGAAACTTTGTCCGTCTGTCTCCCTCCCCCAAAAAAGCCTACTTACTATGCACATAAGAATGAATCAGCACCCCCAAAACAAAAACTGCATTCCCTAAAGTGCACAAATATTTCCTTAGCCCTAAAAGCAAAAGTTTAATTAGCAGAAGAACTGACCTCCTGGCCAATGAAAACCCACCCATTTCTTCTCCAGTACTTAATTTCTTGTTACTGTTTGGCAATGTTCATTCAAATGTTTCATAGAGAAACAGAGGGCTGATCTACATTGACTAACAGCTGGGAAATAAGCCTATTTTTAAATAGTTTTTTCTTCTAATCTGCAATTGCTAACACAAGATATAGGTAGAATTTTATGTTCAATCTAATGAGTATACATTGTTTGGGGCATGACAGATGCCCTTTAAGGATTCCTATTAAAAATTAAGCAAAAAAAATAAAATAAAAAACACACTACAAAACTAATTATAGCCATTCTTTACAGCTCAATTAGTTCACCTGCAGTTTAAGTATTTGCTTCATGTATCCATTAAAATTGTGACATGCTCTATAAAGCTATTGGACTAAAATTCTTTGCGAACCAAAGGATGAGGTTGGACTTATAAAGGCACATAGACCTCCTACTTTCGGAGTGAGGGAATGGAGTGACTGATGTTACTCCATTCAGACACCGGCATGATGACAATATAAACATCCTTGCACCCTGGAGATTTGCCCGGCAGGCTGAAAAAAAAAAAAAAACACAAATAAAATAGGTTTCTAAAGTGATTGGTTTTTTTTTTTAAAGAAAGGCTGCTACTAGCCTTAAAGCCAGGTATTCTTCTATACACTGAATCTCAATTTCTATGTGTTGCCATCACTTTGCTCTACTGTGGGATTCTTTTGGACTGTATGATTCAGGTGAAAGGTTAAACCTGAAATGGGACTTTGCTTAAAAGACCACTATAGGCACCCAGACCACTTTAGCTCAATGTCCATCTAGGGTTAACCCTGCAGCTGTAAACATAGTAGTTTCAGAGAAACTGCTATGTTTACAATAGGGTTAATCCAGCCTCTAGTGGCTGTCTCATCGACAGCCGCAAGAGGCTCTTCTCACGGAAAATCCCAGTGAGAAGACGCGGACGTCCATAGGAAAGCATTGAGAAATGCTTTCCTATGGACTTATTAAATGTGTGTGCGGCTCTTGCCGTGCATGCGCATTCAAAGCTGACGTTGGAAAAGTGTCTGTATTATTGCAACTTACATTGCCATAATACAGACAAGGTCCGCCGGGCTCATTACAGGGCTGGCAGGGAGCTGTAACCTACCTTTCTTGCAGCTCCTGTCAGCTCCCTTCTCTCTCCTCCTGTCCGGTCAGCTCCCCCTGTAAGTCTTGCGAGAGCAGTGTGGTCAGCTCCGCGCGGCAGTGGAGCCGACAGGAGAGCTGACCAGACGAGACAGAAGGGAGCTGACAGGAGCGGCAGGAAAGGTAAGTAAACGCTTCCTGCCAGCCCCCTCGTACACAGTGCACACCACTGGACCACCAGGGAATGAGAGCCCCCCTCCCTGGCTAGGTATTAAGCAGGGAGGGGGGACAAAAAAAAAAAAATGTAAATGATACAAAATAAAAATATAACAAAAAATAAAAATGCCCACCCCCCACCAAGGCTCTGCATCACACACTGCACTCATATACACACACACACTGTAAATAAATATTCAATTAATATAGATTTTTGGGGGATCTCATTTTATTTAGAAATTTACCAGTAGCTGCTGCATTTCCCACCCTAGTCTTATACTAGAGTCAATACGTTTTCCCAGTTTTTTGGGGTACAATTTAGGGGTCTCGACTTATATTAGGGTCGACTTATACTCGAGTATACGGTTATCAAAGTTTCAAAAACACAATTAGAAATTGGTGGACAAGAAATCTTTTTAAAATCACTTTAGAAACAAAACCTGCAAAGCTTTAAAACTGCTTGTATTCTGATAAAAGGAACGGTCATATACGATACACTTTTGCTGAGCACTCCCACTGAGAGGATCAGGATTGGCAGACTTCCTAGTCTGGATAGAGCTCATTGCAAGAAGCTGCAAACCATGGGGATTTGTACAACTATCGAAAGTTCAAAACAGAGAATCTGGCTTTATTTGCATATAAAGCATTATATATTATCAGAAGTGGAGGTCACCACAAATCTGAAGTATAATGCGCAGCCTGTCTAGCCTGTAAATTCCATATGGCTGTCTTTCCTGTCAGGAAAAAAATAATAATACTTTTCACTGCCGTAAGTGAGAAACACATTTCCCGTTAAAGAACTTCAGCAGATTAGAAGAACGATCTTACACTCACACTCTGAAACCTACAAGACACTTAACTCCTGGTGGAAAGGTAGCAATTGTAAACTGGATAAAGTTCAAGTCACTTACAAGCAAAATACTAAGTGAAGCAATCTATTTTGTGAGTTAATTAATATACCTAAGCAAAGTTGTGGGTTGATTAGGATTGGTTGACAGATTTCAGCCACTTCCAACCTTGGCACTGATCCAGGTTGGGCCTGTGTACATTGCTTTTTTCCTCCTGGCTAACACGCTGTACACATGTACATTAATAAGGGCAACAAGGACAGTGGCATTAGGAATACAGATATGCATCCCTAATGTTATAGTGTACCTCCAACCTTTTTTGTATTAATATAATTATGCTTTAAGTTTTCCTCAAAAGTAAGTCATATTTTTAGAAGTATATTTTAAGATGAGCACCCTTATCATACAATCTTTTTTAGAGCAACAGTAAAGGCAAAATGCTCCTCACCTAGCATCTATGATAGCCCTGAAAGCTAAGCACAAGGGACAGATTGGAGACCATGCATAGTGTTTGACAAACTGTTACGGTTAAAGGGAAACTCCACTGACGAACTCCCTCCACCTCAAAAAAAATAATATTTTTTTAAAAAAATTAAAGAAATTGAATGGATACAACCCCAATAAAAGCATATATTTAATTATACTGTTTTCCACTGGGGGTATATCTAAAAACAGCTGGCAAAAGCTGCAGACTAGTCTGCAGCCTTTCAAAGACCTTCCATTCTAATCCCACCCAGACTTTGTGACTCCAATCTTTGAGTTGGAATATTTAGTGAAATTTCAGTCTTTATTTGGGAGGTTGTTTCGGGGTGGGGGGGAGGGCGTTTAGTAGAGCCACTTTAAAGCAGCACTGTCACCTCCCCCTGCAAAATAAGTATTTCAGAAAAAAAATCTGAAATACTCAGACTGTGTAGGAAATTAATTGAAATATTACTCCAGTCAAAAGATATATGGAGAAAGTAGGGACCATTGTCTCCGTATTTTTCCTACGCCTTACACTTCTAGAGACTAAGCAAAGTTACCAAGTCTAGATGTGTTAATCCCCTAGCCACCACAAGTGATGGCTGCAGGGAGTAGGCCGCGTCTATGGAGGATCTCGCAGGACCCCCATAGATAATAATGCTTATGCTCCAGGGGCATAAGAGGGCCAGCAGGAAAAAGATAGCGCCAACTAGCGACTTGTTCAGGTGAGTTAAAAACTCACATTTGCCTGCCATCCACCTCCTGCGGCAATATCACTGCCGAAGTCTTTGAAAAATATTCAAAGTCGCCAGGTAGTGATAGTGCCGCTTTAAGGTGGAACTGTGTATCTGACAAACATTTTAGCTGCAAATCTCTGAATGTGTTAGACAGCTAGTGTAATGTAATGTAACATTAACTGAAATCTGAAACAGATGTGACAACACTACTACACTCCTGCCATCATTTATAGAGTAAACACATCAAGAGACAATCACAACTGCTACATACCACCTTTAGTTAAGACTTGGTGACAATTTACCAGCTACAGACCACTGGTTGAGTACTGAGGGATGCTTCTCTCTACAGAATAATGGCAAGATATTAAAGTTTCAATGATTTTACAATAAATCTAACAGCTATACCCGCTGAGATTTAGAATCACTATTAAAGCATTTTGTTTTTGCTCAAGGGCACTATTCTGCACAGAACAAACTCAACATTGACATATGTAAATCTTCAAAAGAGCAGTGTTCTTTAGTTGTGTAATAAAATGTCAAAGTGCAAGTTATGCTTTTTTTTTTTTTTTTTTATAAGTGCATCCATTAAAACCTAAAGAGAACCATAATTATACAATGTTCCAAAGCAGACAAGCTAAACCAGCAATACATCACTAGTACATCGACACCACACCATAAACCCTGAAAAGTGTCTGACAAAAACAAACAAATACAATTTCACAAGAGTTAGGGAGGACTGTTGTATACAAATCATGCTGATGACAGAATCACCTTTTGGCTTGCATACACAAATCAAGCAGATTACTTATATATTTTATAGTACACACAAATACAGGGTTCTATTCATAATGTGCAAAAGATGCCAAACCAAATGAAGCAAAAACGATTCAATACATTACTGGGTCATTCGGACTGCCAAGTCGGTATATGGTTCATACTGTTTAACAATCACATTTTGCTCTAGTGGCACAGAATGAGCCTGAATTCAGTCTTGCTGATATCTGGACTCAAATACTTAAAGTCCTGCATACTCAAAAGAATCGAAAATTATTTTTGGACTTAATTACAATTAAATATTAATGGCATGCATTTCTTTTATACGGGTGGGGTGGAAGGGGGATATCCATTGATAGTGCACAGTTATATATTATTGGTAATATAAAGTGGATAATATTATTGGAAAGATGGAGGAACACTATAAATAATGAAGAGAATTTGAATGTCAAAACACAATTTGTATGGCTAACGAAGGTAGCTATTTAAGAAATTAAGGCTTTGTATAAATAGCCTGGAGAAATATTTTGCTTGTGAGAAGATCCCTAGGGGACTTCATAAAAACACCACACACCCAACTATTCTACATGGAGATTTTAGTCGGAGTGGAATTCACATTTTACAGTTTGTTCTTTGAACCTGAAGCAGACCATGTTAAAATACTACAGACTCAAATTGAGAGAATATTAACAGATTAAACGGATCAGGATTACCTTGGAGGAGTTCAAGGACTCAACCCACTACTTTGAGTTGAAGAAATAAATAAATAAACCTTTGAGTAAAACGTAAGTTAGGGGAACGCCCCCCAGCTAATGCAGATCATTATTACATTTCTTAGGGACAAACAGTACTATATAAAGTATATTGCTGGCATGTATACTGGAAACTGCTAGTTAAAAAAATAAAAAATAAATAAAAAGGGAGCTATTCAATACCTAGCAAATCTATTTTCAAAGGAACCGTCTAGTATTAGGAATACAGATCTGTATTCCCAACGCTATGGTGCCCTAGTCCCTTATTAAAGTCTTTGCCTGTGTGTAAATGTGTTAAAAAAATAATTTAACTTCCTTTTTTTAGTGCAGAGACTCCATATGTGCTGCTGCCCCCTCTGCCTCACATGGCATCACTACTTTCTTCTGATTGTCCGATGCTCTTCATAGAAAAGCTTGGAGGACAAGATGCGCGCGTGATGTGCGCATCCAATCAAATGCTTACCTATGAACTGCATATGACTTTCGGCATCTTCATGGAAGTTAAAAGTCACATAATGGAGTTTTCACTCAGTAGCAAAGGAAGAGCTTCTAGTGGCATTCAGTAGGGGTGTGTTTGAAGAGACACGCCAGGCAGCCAGACCACTTCAGCTCATTGAAGTGGTCTTGGTACAGTGTCCCTATTGCATTTAGTGCTGCAATGTTAAACATTGTTTACATTGCAGCACTAAGTCTGCCTCCAGTAGCTGTCTAGTAGACAGCCATTGGAGGCACATCCAACATCGTAACATACCTTTGGTCCGGTATCTTTATATAGGAAAGATAGGGAAGGCAAGAAAGGGGGAGGGGTGGCCTTGTATGTGAAGGATAGCATAAAATCTAGCCTAATAAAAGTTAGTGAGGCAAACAGAGTCCGTTTGGGCTACGTTAGAATTTGGTAATCACACAGTAACTCGTGTAGGTGTGATTTATAGGCCCCCAGGACAAATTGAAGAGTTAGATAATCTACTAGTTGAGGAAATAGCTAAAATGACAATGAAGGGGGAAGTTATCATCATGGGTGACTTTAATCTTCCTGATGTAAATTGGAAAACAAAATTAGCTACTTGTGCCAGGAGCACACATATTCTAAACTCCCTACTGGGATTGTCTCTAAAACAAGTTGTTGAGGAGCCAACTCGTAAAGAGGCCATACTAGATTTAGTGTTAACAAATGGAGATTTGGTATCAGATATTACTGTAGGTGAAAGTTTAGGATCCAGTGATCATCAGTCAGTGTGGTTTAATATAAGAACAGTGACTGAGTCACACCACACAAAAACAAAAGTTTTAGACTTTAGAAAAACAGACTTTTCTAAAATTAGAATATGGGTAGAGGAGTCATTATCAGACTGGAGCAATTTAAATGGAGTCCAAGAGAAATGGGATTATTTAAAAGTTGCACTATTGAAGGCAACAGAAAATTGCATTAGGCTTGTCAGTAAAAGCAAAAAATTCAAGAAACCACTGTGGTACTCCGCAGATGTGGCCAAAATAGTTAAAAACAAAAAGTTAGCATTTAGGAATTATAACAAAAAACCCAGAGTGAGGAAGACAAAATGATCTATAAGATTAGGCAGAAAGAGGCTAAGCAAGTTATAAGAGCTTCCAAATCACACACAGAAGAGAAAATAGCACAGTCAGTAAAAAAAGGGGGATAAAACATTTTTAGATACATAAATGAGAAAAGAAAAGTAAAACAAGGATTAGTTAGATTAAAAACAAAAGAAGGAAGGTATGTAGAAGAGGATAAAGGTCAGGCTGACTGCCTCAATGAATATTTTTGTTCTGTATTTACAGAAGAAAATGAAGGAAAGGGACCTCAGTTGAGAAAAAGGATAAATGAGTCATTTATTACACGTGAGTTTACAGAGGAAGAGGTTCTATTTCAACTGTCAAAAGTAAAGACCAAAAAGTCAATGGGACCTGATGGAATACACCCAAAGCTATTAAAAGAGCTTAGTGGTGTACTATCAAAACCATTAACAGATTTATTTAACCAATCATTGTTAACAGGAGTAGTCCCAGAAGGTAACTAAAATTATAGATCAGGGTGGTGCAGTAGACATTGCTTACCTAGATTTCAGTAAGGCTTTTGACACTGTTGCACATAGAAGGCTTATCAATAAACTGAAATCTTTAAGTTTGGATTCCAATATTGTTGAATGGGTAAGGCAGTGGCTGAGTGACAGGCAACAGAGGGTTGTAGTTAATGGAATATATTCGAAGCTTGGACTTGTCACCAGTGGGGTACCTCAGGGATCTGTACTTGGACCCATTCTCTTTAATATTTTTATTAGTGATATTGCAGAAGGTCTTGATGGTAAGGTATGTCTTTTTGCTGATGATACTAAGATATGTAACAGGGTTGATGTTCCAGGAGGGATAAGCCAAATCAAATGATTTAGGTAAACTAGAAAAATGGTCAGAATTGTGGCAACTGACATTTAATGTGGATAAGTGCAAGATAATGCATCTTGGACGTAAAAACCCAAGGGCAGAGTACAGAATATTTGATAGAGTCCTAACCTCAACATATGAGGAAAGGGATTTAGGGGTGATTATTTCTGATGACTTAAAGGTAGGCAGACAATGTAATAGAGCAGCAGGAAATGCTAGCAGAATGCTTGGTTGTATAGGGAGAGGTATTAGCAGTAGAAAGAGGTAAGTGCTCATGCCATTGTACAGAACACTGGTGAGACCTCACTTGGAGTATTGTACACAGTACTGGAGACCGTATCTTCAGAAGGATATTGATACCTTAGAGAGGGTTCAGAGAAGGGCTACTAAACTGGTTCATGGATTGCGGGATAAAACTTACCAGGAAAGGTTAAAGGATCTTAACATGTATAGCTTGGAGGAAAGACGAGACAGGGGGGATATGATAGAAACATTTAAATATATAAAGGGAATCAACACAGTAAAGGAGGAGACTATATTTAAAAGAAGAAAAACTACCACAACAAGAGGACAGTCTTAAATTAGAGGGACAAAGGTTTAAAAATAATATCAGGAAGTATTACTTTACTGAGAGGGTAGTGGATGCATGGAATAGCCTTCCAGCTGAAGTGGTAGAGGTTAACACAGTAAAGGAGTTTAAGCATGCGTGGGATAGGCATAAGGCTATCCTAACTATAAGATAAGACTAGGGACTAATGAAAGTATTTAGAAAATTGGGCAGACTAGATGGGCCAAATGGTTCTTATCTGCCGTCACATTCTATGTTTCTATCTGAGTCAATGCTTTCCTATGGTGAGGTCTAATGTGCGCGGTAGCCACGAGCCAGCGACATCGGTGCTGGGATAAAGTAAGTAAAGGCTTTTTATGCCACACTGCGACAATCATTGTACAATAGAGATGCATGAAATCAATGCATCTCTATGAGGAGCATTGACGGTCTGTGCAGCACTGACACAGGAAGCACCTCTTTGGCCATCTGAGTGATTGCCACTAGAGGTGTAACTAGCCAGCAATGTAAACACTGCCTTGTATAAAATAAAAAAAAGTGACTATGAGAAACTCTGAAGCTTTCAGGGAGAGAAGAGGATCAGAGGTATTAAATCCACCCCCCCCCCCCTTTTTTTAATTTAAAAAGAGAAATTATAGGCTAGGATCACAAAGTTGTATTCCTAGCAGTATAGTCCCTCTTGCTCGCCCACCTCAACAGTGTAGATACCATTCTGTCACTTATCGCCTCCGCTCTTCCTCCCCCGAGGTCAGGGACCTAATGCACAGCGAGCCCTGCACTCACATTAGGACAACCCCATAAGTAAAGAATTGTATCAATGCTTTCCTATTTAGCTTACGCTAGATGTTCTCGTGCAAAGCGTGAGGAATTCCAGCATTAGAAAGACAAGCAAAAGTCTCCTAACGAAGCAAAAAGCAATGGTAGAGTGCAATCATTAAGATAAGGATGGAAAAAAGGTAGGAAAGAAACATTACACGGGCGCCTTAACAAATGTGATCAGTTTATCTGGAAACAGAAACTTGCACCTGCAGAACGGACAGCCTTTGCCAGACAACCTAAAAATGTACCAGTCATGCGAGGTACAACTTATGAACTAATCTCTATGATTTAAAGAACATGAAATTCTCTATAAAATTGTGTTAAAGGAACAGTATAGGGACAGGAACACAAACATGTATTCCTGACCCTAAAGTGCTAAACCCATCATTTAGGTGGCCTTACCCCTCACTTAGCCCCCTTAAAAGCAATTAAAAACACCATATTTCGAGCTACACGCGGATCTGCTGGCACTGTTTTGGCCTATCAGCACCTCTTCATAGAGATGCATTGAATTAACACATCTCTCTGAGGAAAATTCAGCGTCCCCATGCAGTGAGTGGAGACGCTGAACGACAATGCTGCCGACTGTGCAGCATTGGCCCAGGAAGCACCTCCAGTGGCCATCTGAGGAGAGGCCACTTGGAGGTGTCCCTAGGGGCAATGTAAACACTGCATTTTCTCTGAAAAAGCAGTGTTTGCATTAAAATGCCTGAAGGCAAGGATTATACTCACCAGAAACACTACATTACGCTGTAATGCTGGTGACTGTAGTGTCCCTTTAAAGGTTTGCTAGCAAGTGTAAAGTTTGGGAATAGCCCACTGAAAAATAGGTCTCTCTCAACGCTCAGCCAGTTACCGACTGCCAACGATTTGACAGACAATTGAGAGCAAATAAGACCTCCCACAGGTGGCCCTCCTGCTCTTCCGAGCAAAGCATACATGCAGTGGTTTCTATGGTAACACCGCAGCACAAACTGCTAGCACTGGTGTGGGAAGGACTACAGTAGAGGGTAATTGATACCACTGTTTATATGCTGGGACCAAAGCCAGCATGACACAGGAGGTTCAATTTGCATTATGTTGCATCAACGTAATTTACAGAAGTTAGAATTGTTGAGAATTCAGAGTGAATTCCAAACCAAAGTAAACAAACCTGAAGGATAGCTGGCTTGGAAAGTTTCTCAAAATCTGCTAATTTGGCCTGAAATTAAAACTTACTGACTCACTTTATTTAATAACCCTGCCTGTATGGGGTTCAGAAGTGAAAAGTACTTTTTCAGTTTACACCAAATGCATCTGACAAAATATTGCCGATTTGGTTGAGTTGACTGAATTCTAACCAGAATCAGCATTAGTTAAAGGAACACTACAGGGTCAGGAACACAATCATGTATTCCTGACCCTATAATGTAAAAACTACCATCTAGCTCTCCCTTGCCTCCCTAAATATAGTAAAATCTTACTTGTATTCAAGTCTGCAGCTGCTGGCTCTGCCCCGACATCAGAAGTGGTTGTCTCACACAGATTACTACACTGTGGCAGGATTTACATTCACTTCTACGCAAAAACCTAGGTATCGAGATACCAATGAAATCAAAATGCTTTATATTGCACATCTTCCCTGATACCCTTCCTGAAGATAAGATCTACATAATGATCCACTGCTTAATGGCAACCAAAAGAGCAATTGCCCACAGGTGGAAGACCGTACAGGCGCCCACTTTGCCAGAGATCTTAGGCAGAATAGATTCAACATATACATATGAACGCATGGCAAGCCGACTAAATGATAGACAAAGCAAACATGCGATGAGGTGGCATAGATGGGTGACTATAGGTTTGGCGAGACATAACAAGGGTCATAAGATATCTAAGACAACACCAAAGGCTACCTAGAATATTATAAAAGAATATCTAGTGCAATACAAGACAACAAGATGTCACAAGTTATCAATGCTGTCCCCCTCCCCCCCCTTCCTACCCAGTTAGGACAAGAGGTACCAAGGCTAGCGTCAAGGATATGAACAGGTTAAAAAAAAAAAAGAAGTGGTTGTCTCGGCCAATCACAATGCTTCCCCAACGGATTGGCTGAGACCTTCAAGGAGGCAGATCAGGAGCAGAGCAAGCACAAGTCAAACTGCATTGGCCAATCAGCATCTCCTCATAGAGATTAATTGAATCATTGCACCTCTATAAGGAAAGTTCAGTGTCTGTATGCAGAGTGTGGAGAAACTGAATGGCAGTCCTGCCCACTTTGCAGCACTGCCCCCAGGAAGCACCTGTAGCATCTGAGGAGTGGCCAGTGGGAGTTATCACTAGGCTGTAATGTAGACACTGCATTTTCTCAGAAAAGCAAGTGTTATATTACAAAAATCCTGAAGGGAATGATTCTACTCGCCAGAACAAATGCAATAAGCTTTAGTCGTTCTGGTGACTATAATGTCCCTTTAAGAGACTAGCCAAATCACTTCGGCACCCAGCCATTTTCACAAAATTTTGCCCTTCCAGATAAAAATCTGTGTTTAGTTATAGACCCGACAAATACATTTTAACTACTAGCAACACGTGAATGCCACCTACAAAGCGTCCAACAGAAATGGACGCAAGAGTCTGCACATGCAGCATAACACAATAAGAACTGCTGCGTAAAGAAATATAGTCAGAAATGACATTAATGTACTTTGAAATATTATTCATTTTGTTTTACTGAACAAAATAAATGTGACAAAAACTGAAACCAATTTAAAACTAGGTCTTAATTTGTATTAAAAGAATAGGCCTCTGTATGGAGCAGACTTCGTCCAACAGCATCTGCTCTTGGTTTTGATGAATGGTGGTAGCATGCAGAATGGATAATTTTCTCCTGGTGAGAGTGTTAAACAGGAGAGACGATTATAAAACCAGTGTTCATTTGCCATTGAAAACGTGTGCATTTTAAAAATGGGCATTTGGTGTTGGCCAACGTGTCACAATGAAGTATTGCATAATAAGCCTGCATTTTTTAGTCAATGCCATTCAGGTTATGACTAAATAATGCAAAACTTGACTAATTTTTCCTGCATGTTCCTCTTATACACTACATGACAGTTCTTGGCATATAGATTGGTGTGATTTCTCAAAGTTATTTTCCCCATTATATTCGTTTTAGCCTCTTCTGCTATCAGCTAAATATCATTGTTACATAGCTGAAAAGAGACTTGTGTCCATCAAGTTCAGCCTCTCTCACAAATGTTGTTGCGGTTGATCCAAAAGAAGGCAAAAAACCTGGTCTGAAGCACTTCCAAGTTTGCCACAAACTTGGAAAAAATTCCTTCTTGACCCCAAAATAGCAGTCAGATGTCTCCTTGGATCAAGCAGCTATTACCCCACTAATTAGAAATTATATCCCTGTATGTTATGTTTTTGTAAGTATTTATCCAATTTCAGTTTAAATATCTGTATGGACTCTGACAAAACCATCTCTTCAGGCAGAGAATTCCATATCCTTATTGTTCTTACTGTAAAAAAACCTTTTCTTTGCCTTAGATTAAATCTCCTTTCTTCCAGCCTAAATGTGTGACCTCGTGTCCTATGTATAGCCCTGTTTATGAATAGATTTCCACACAATGGTTTGTACTGGCCCCGAATATATTTGTATAAAGCCATCATATCCCCTCCCAGGCGCCGTTTTTCCCAAACTAAACAGATTTAATTTTTTTTAACCTTTCTTCATAACTAAAATGCTTCATTCCTTTTATCAATTTTGTAGCGCGTCTCTGGACCCTCTCCAGTGCCATGATATCCTTCTTTAGAACAGGCGCCCAAAATTGCACAGCATATTCAAGGTGTGGTCTTACCAGCGATTTATAAAGAGGCAAAATTATATTTTCATCCCGAGAATTTATGCCCCTATTTATACATGACAAAATCTTACTGGCCTTAGCAACTGCAGATTGACATTGCATATTGCTGCCTAATTTGTTGTCTATAACAATTCCAAATCCTTCTCGTGTGTGGTTATCCCTAATTCACTACCATTTAGTGTGTAAGTTGCTTGTGCATTCTTAACCCCGAAGTGCATAACTTTGCATTTCTCTACATTAAATTTAATCTGCCATTTTAGTGCCCAGTCCCCCAATCTATCCAAATCTCTCTGCAGCAAAGCAATATCCTGCTCACATTTTATTACTTTACAAAGTGTTGTCTCATCTGCAAACACTGATACATGGCTTTTAATGCCTATTTCAAGATCATTTATAAATATGTTAAATAGAAGTGGTCCCAAAACAGAACCCTGAGGGACACCACTTACCACTTTTGTCCAGCCTGAAAATTTACCATTAATTACAACTCGTTGTACTCTATCCTTAAGCCAATGTTCTACCCAAGAACAAGAATATTGATCTAGACCAATTTCTTTTAGTTTGAAGACTAACCTATTGTGAGGAACAGTATCAAGGAGTGCAAATGGATCTTTATCCTAGATTAAGGAATTAATAATAATACTATGTGTACAAACATGTTCGTTCCTTGTATGTAAAATCAAAAATAAATCAGAGGACATTTTGTTTCAAAACTTGTGAGCATTGGTGTACTGTATTTTGGTGAGGAATCAGGAAGACCGTCCTCGACTCCCAACTTAACAAGGGCAGTTCTTAAATCATCTGGAGCCTAATATTCTGCAAACATATACTTATCTACATCCAAGTTGTGATGCCCTCACTCCTTCACTAAAGTTATGCTCGACTACATTACATATTTAGGATAACCACTGCATGTAAAAGGTTTCATACCATAATGGGTTGATATCTGCAGTTCTCATTAATAATGCTAAACAAAGAACCTGTACTTTATTTTTCTTTACAAACTTTCAGGCCTTAATAAAAAAAGAGAACAATTCTCTATTAAAATTCACTATATCACAGTAAACAAACACATTTGCATTTAGATCTAGCTAAAAGTTATTCAAATAAGCCTATGCAGTTACTGCAGTGCTTTGAGGAAAAATCTAACATAGCATCATAGCACAATACAGTATACCAAAGTGACATAACATCAAAGAAGGATGGATATGACTTGGACACAAAAAAGCAACTACACAAAGAAGCACAAATGTGAAGGCAATAACATCTCTAAATATTCACCAGTGATTACTAAAGCATGTTTCACTTTTGAGATATACTGCTAAAGGATCACAAGCCATTTTCTAATCATAGCGAGATATTTAAGAAGAAAACGTCCGAGTGCAAACGTTACACATCTCAATTTTACTTATGACTTCCAACCACTTCACCGCAGTCTTGATCAAATGAAGCTGTGCAAGGATTGAATAAAAATGCAGGATATGCATTTTTATTTTAAACAATTACTTATCTTTGACAGCTTGCAATATGTTCATGCCTGACTTTACACTTAGGAACATGCTCAAAAGACTGAAGATACAAATGGTGAACACCAATATGACCATAGGAAGTATCTCCATATTACATCACTGAAATGTTTCATTGACTCTAGAAGCAACAATCAATATTTACCACTATCACTTGTGGTGATACTATCACATGAGGTGAAAACCAGAAAAAGAGTTCTCACTAAATGAACCATGGCCTAGCCTAATGAATCTAGAAGGTTTGCAGCTTAAATTAACTGCAAAATTAAAGCTCAGATGTTTGCCAAAAAAAGGCCATTTCCAAAAGATAATTACACTACAATCCCCATGTTTCTTAGCAACATGAATGACAGAAAATGATGCTCGTCAACAGCTGGAGATCTTCCATGAAGCCATCTAAACTGTAAGTCACTCTACAATGCCAAAATTAAAAAACTTATTTTTCATGGCTTTGGAAACTTTCTTCCCTAGCCCTGTTTGTTACAAAATGAAAATATAGAATAGAATGACAATTTGACCCACCGTAGCACACAAGTCAATACACACATGGATTAAAAAGGTCAAATCATTCAATTTTGGGTCTTTTCAAAATAAGTCATAAAATTCTGCCTTCTATCCATACAAAAAAAAAAAATAACAAATCAGTGCAAGGGTATATGAGTGTAGAAACATTTACGGAACCATAAACAAATGGCAAAAAAAAAAAACCTCGAGCAGCTAACGTCTTAATTTAGTATTAATGGGGATAAAATTTAAATTTTCCCCTTTCCCGTGATTTTTTTTAAGGAGATGCATATCTATTTGCAAAAACATTTCTTTTAAAAATCAATCATGTATTAAATACAAATTAAGCAATTTCTTCATGTCACACCTCCAGTAGATTATGTGTGTGGGGGGTGGATAACCTGTGGATGATCGATATGCTATGTATTGGGGGGGAGATTACCATTATGTAGGGGGGTAACCAGTGTGGGGAGGAAGATCAGTATGTTATGTATGGAAGGATTGGGGGGAACCAGTGGATGAGGTCTGGGGGTATGATCACCAGTATATTATGTGGGGGGTACCACCAAATTGTTTATATGGGGGGGGGATCCATGGTATTTACAGACCCCCCCCCCTTACCCAGTGAATAAAATGAATGATAACCAGTATATTATGTAGGGGGTATTACCAAATTGTTTATATGGGGGGGGATCCATGGTATTTACAGACCCCCCCACCCCTTACCCAGTGAATAAAATGAATGGCTGAGCTAATAATGAGGCCATAATCCCATTCCCAGTGATATATAAATAATACAGCCTGGCTCTATCAGTGCAATGTCCCCCCCCAGTATGGCGGCCTGGCCCCCCACTCCGAGCCAGACAATGCCCGGGGCCGGCTATGCGGGGATTATTCGGGGGATATTCGGGGAATATTCGGTCAGGATGGGATGGAGCGGGGCTGCTGAGCTGATCCCGCCAAGTTTCAGGCCCAGCCGCCCACACCCCCCCCCCTCTCCTCCAGCATGCAGCCAGGGCCGGGCGGGCAGCGGGTGAGAGGCCGCCATGCGAGCCGTGCCGGGGGGGAGAGAGGGCAGCGCGGCGGACAGATAACGTGACTCAATGACCTGTTTGTCGCATCCTGAGGTAAAAGCTGCTCCTGGCTGGCAATCAATGGAGAGGCGCCGTCACCACCGCCGCCAAATAAGCCACTCCCACAAACCCACTCTCCAGAGACACGCCCCCTCCTCCGGCTGGGGGCCGGACACGCCCCTCGATCCTCAGCAGCCCGCGGGAAATTTCCCGGACGCTGATTGGCTGAAGCGACCGGTGCTTTTCAAATGGAAGCCTGTTTGGAATGCGGCGCAGTCAGGGGGAATAGGCTGGCAACAGAGCAGCCGCTAACGGTCACCCTGTGACGTCACGCAACCCCCTCTTCGTCGGCGCGCGCCGAACATTCCAACCCCCCCCCCTCCACCATCATCACCCGCAGAGAGGCCGAACCGCAGGCGGGAGTGACGTCATCGAGACCGCCATCATTTGCCCGACCCGCTTAAAACCACATGCCATTATAATCCCATTTTCCTGTGTGTCAGTGATTCAGTCACTGGGCTGTTGTAATGTGTACATAGTAATAAATGGCTATTGGCAGGAAATGGTGCTGTGTGGTATTATTATTATTATTTTATTTTAATTGTTTAATAAAAGGCTGATATTGGGAAATCTAGAGAGGAAATGTTACCTTCAATCATGTTACATAAAGCTGTCTCTAATGAGCTTTTCAAACATTTATTCAATGATGCTCATAACCGCCAACAGTCCCGAGTTTGGCCGAACAGTCACGTCTGGTCGTTCGTCCTGACTCTCGTCTCTAGTATCATCATAACTAGCAACAACATGCATGTCCCCTGTATGGAGGATAATACACGTAACACTAGACGTGCTCGCACGGTACGCGTCTGGCCAGGGTGGCCCGTGGTCATTCTAACACGCACCCCTTATATTTCGACTAGTATCTGCCAACTGCCCTGACGCTAGGGACTATTTTGTTTCAACAATTTTCCCCAAAATATCTTACAATTTTATATATGTATAGATAGTACCAACATAGTCTGCAGCGCTGTACAATAGGAAACAAGACGCACATTTAATTTAAGAAAATTAATGACATACAGGAACAGTAGGTGATAAGGGCCCGGCTCAAACAAGCTTACAATCTCAAATGTTCTGCTTGAGACATATTCCATTTGAAAATTCTTCCTATAAAAATAGTTGTTATTGGGGGGGAAGGTCGGCCAGGGCCAGAAAACGGTAAGATAGCAGGCCAAGAAGGGGTTTGTGAAGGTATCCGTCATTTTCCACGTTCACTTATTGGCATCAATCAGCAGAAAATGAACGCACAAATGGCAGGGCAGGTTTAGGAGCAAGCTAACGTTTAATTTGTTTATTTTATTAAAAAAATTTATACAAATATGTGTTGTGCATACTTAAAAGAACACTATAGCCACCAAGACGACTGTGTCATGTTAACCCTGCAATGATGTAAAACAGTGCAGGGTTTTTTAATAAAATAATTTAGTGTATAAGCATTACATAATGTACAAACAAGTTAATGAAGTTTGGAAGAAACAACAAAAAAAACAAAAACTCATGGGACAGGGCCTGACAGTCAAGACTGTATGTGCTTTCTTGTAGCCCCAACTTTCCAAATTTAAAGCTATGGCTAAATCACATATATGCGACTCAGAACTCATCTTGTACGGGCTACAGACTGATATAATTGCCTGTATTGTAATCCGCTTGAATTGTGTCGGTCTGACTAGCACTCACTGAGTCTGCCATCAGGCACTGACGCCTACAGCGTCAGCTGGGGCCCGGACTGGGCCTTCGCGAAACCACGAGGGTCCACTGTCTGCTGAGAGATGATAGTTATGGCGCCTATGATGCTGAAAAGGAGGTCGATGCTGCGAATGGGCATTATTATTATTATGTTATTATTTATATAGCGCCAACAAATTCTGCAGCGCTTTACAGTGGGTGGACGAACAGACATGTCGTTGTAACCAGAAAAGTTGGACACACAGGAACAGAGGGGTTGAGGGCCTTGCTCAATGAGCTTACATGCTAGAGGAAGTGTGGTAAAATTACACAAAAAAGTAAGGATAGTATTAGACTAATGACAGGTGCAAGAGAGGAATCGGTCGGGAGCTTTTATGAAGTAGTGGGTTTTTAATGGTTTAGCGTAAGCCCGGTCCCGCAGCTATTCGCCTCTTTCCTAGACCTCAGTCGCACGCTCGGAAGACTGACACTCCCTATGGCAGTGAAAAGTCAGAGAGATCACAAGCTCCGACCCTGAATAAAGTCGGCGTTGGGACCTGCTAGCATTCCATTCTGGAGTGTGGGGAAGTCTGGGGCTGGTGGGGGGCTAATAAGTGGGACTCACTTAATACAGCACTCTGCAGTGGCTATACTGTCCGATGGGCATAAGCTGAGTTACCATTATTACTAGTCCTATTGCTACTATATTTACCTTGCTTTTTATTTTATACTCTTTTTTTTTTTGTCAATTCTGTTTTTGTGTCCTAATTGCTTACCTGTACTGGTTAAGCCTGAGCGAACAGTAGTATTAAAGGACCACTATAGTGCCAGGAAAACATACTCGTTTTCCGGGACCCCCTCCCGCCCGGCTCGGGAAAGGGGTAAAAACTTACCTTTTTCCAGCGCTGGGCGGGGAGCTCTCTGCCTCCTCTCCTCCTCCGATCCTCCTCCTGGGCTGAATGCGCATGCGCACAATGCTTTCCTATGGACGCTGGCGTGCTCTCACTGTGAAAATCACAGTGATAAGCACGCAAGCGCCTCTAGTGGCTGTCAATGAGACAGCCACTAGAGGATTAGGGGGAAGGCTTAACCCATTCATAAACATAGCAGTTTCTCTGAAACTGCTATGTTTATTAAAAAATGGGTTAACCCTAGCTGGACCAGGCACCCAGACCACTTCATTAAGCTGAAGTGGTCTGGGTGCCTAGAGTGGTCCTTTAACTCCCTGCTATGTTTATGTCTGGAAAGCCTTATTGTTTTGTAAACTTATACTCTGATTTATGCAGTTTATTGTGACATACTATGTTATAAATAACTGTCTTCCTTCATTGTTCATATATAGATCATATGTCAATACTAACTCGAGTGTTTACTACTGCACATCAAAAATAAAGAATGTTAAAAGAAAAAAAAAAAAACTCTTCCAATTCTGTCTGGATTTCAGAAAACTATCATTTAAATAAATACTTGACCTGGATTTTGACCAGGGCCATAATGTACATTTACAGGTTCTAAACAACTCTCAAAACACATATCCTTGCTTTGCAATTATTTAACGACTAGGTAGTAATTGCTAAAATGGCTTTCGCTTTCATTAGTGATTACCACCAATTCCCTACAAAATGTAACGTTTAATGACTGGCAATTAGCCTGTTTGTTTTAGTAAAGGACCAGGCCCTAAATCAGATGAAGTCCAAGGAAGATTTATTGAAATACAGAAAGCAAAGTTTTCGCTCAAATGAGTCTTGTAGAAGCTGTTTTGACATCTATGGAAATTAATACGAGGTGTAAATAACCAACTACTCTTATCTAACTAAAAATTATACCTGCTGGATCGGAGTATAAAGAGAAAAAGACTGCAAGCTCTCGTTAAACAATATACATTATGTAATTAGTTTTCTAATAAATATCTATAATAGTTGGCAAGTCAGGTATGGAAACACCAAGCATTACTGGCCCAGTGTCTTCTCCCATGTGATGTGAAAGTCTCTACACTTTAAAGGCCTATGCTATTTCCTTCGTGAACAATAATTTAGGCCTCAATTTAATGTTGTTGGGTAAGCTTTTCAAATGACGTAATATTTTTGGATAACACGTCAAAAAAAAAATATTAAAAATATATCAAAACATATAAAAATAGTAAAATATTTTTTAAAATGTTAAATCATTTTAAAACTGTATCCGTAATATTAAATCATTTGAAATGCTTATCCTACAATATTGAATTGAGGCCTCGGTTCCAAAGTGCAATTAATGAATAGAGAAACAGCAGGTATCTCAGTAACTCTCTTACATCACGTGGGCAAGAACAGTGTGAAACCATTTGGTTGGTACACAGCCCAACAGCCATCAGTTTGCCAATTTGTCTGGTACGCAACCAAACGGTTGCTGGCTAATATTTATTTACGGGGTCAGTTTTGGAGATCTCCTGATCTTTACAATTGGACTTTGGCCCAAGACCATTGTGCGTCCCACTGGGCATTTGCCACCTACTGTCAGCGTATTACACTGACTGCAAATACAAAAATATATTCATTATTTTATAATTGTTGTTGGTGTTTAATTTTTTTTAAATTACCACTCCTATTTCAAACATTTTACCAAACCAACCATCAGGGCAATAGGAATGATGTTTTACAGCTTAACTGTGTGTGCTTTGCTATTCTTTATGATTCTCATATATTTTATTATCTGAGATTCTACAAGTACCGTAACACTTGCTGTGAAAGGCCCATAAAGTAATTTGTCATTGTTGGGCCACTGGTGGCTTCTCCCCTGCTGGCTGTATAAGGATGGGAAAAATACTATTTTCTAGGGATGTGCATGGGAAAAATATTCAGTTTGGTTCGGCATTCTGAAATTCGGCACTTCGGTTCGGCACTTTGGGACTTCGGGACTTGGGGTGAAGGTAGGGTTAGGGGTAGGGTAAGGTTAGGGGTAGGTTTAGGATAGGGTTAGGGGTAGGGTTAAAGTTGGTCTAGGAGTAGGGTTAGGGTAGGGTTAGGGTTGGTTTAGGGGTAGGGTTAGAGGTTGGGAAGGATTAAGGTTCGTGTTAGGGTAGGGGTAGGGTTAAGAGTAGTGTTGGGGTAGGGGTAGGGTTAGAGGTAGGGTTAGTTTAGGGTTAGGGTTGGTTTAGGAGTAGGGTTAGGGGAGGGTTAGGGGATGGCTGGTGGTAGGGTTAGGGGTAAGGTTAAGTTAGTAGCAGGGTGAGGAGTAGGGTTATGTTGGGTTAGGGGTAAGGTTAGGGTTATGGTAGGAGTAGGGTTAGGAGTACAGTTAGGGTTATGGTAGGGTTAGGGGTAGGGTTAGGGTGATCCTACGCCAACCCTACCCCTAACTCTACTCCAACCACTAACCCTACCCCAACCCCTAGCCCTACTCCAACCCTCTCCTGTTTTGCCACTTTTCAGAAATCCGAAGCACTTCGGAAATTCGGCACTTTAGCAATTTGGTTCGGTTCGGCATTCCGAAATTCAGCACTTTGGAAATTCAGCACTTCGGCAATTCGGTTCGTTCGGCATTCGGAAATTTGGCAATTCGGCACTTCAGACATTTGGAATCAACAGAATGTCTGAATTTTTGAAATTTGTCCGAATTTGCATTCGGAATGAAATGAATTGCACATGTCTACTATTTTCCGCTTTTCTGCCAAGCAACCCTTTTAGATCCAGCATAGAGAGTTGGTCTTAGGCCTTCAGAGTCCTGGGCAAACCATTGAAATGACTCCCTCCAGAGTGTCCATCTTCCCCCATTATTGATTATCATCATGTAATATTATTAGTAGGTCATAAGTGGCTTAATTACTGTTAAAAATAAATTATGAGAAGAGGCGGAGCCAGTGCCTGTACGAGCTAAACGCACATCGAGACAGCTCCAACCCACTGAACCGGGCTAATAACAGTTCCAGACCCCGCTATTCAGCACCAGCTTGACACACAAAGCTATGGGGAAAAAGTCAAAGAAACACTGAGCGAAACCGGCCTCGGGCTCCCGCGATATCGGCGATTGTCTCCACACAACCCCGCGGTCAGACACAGCCAAGATGGCGCCGGCTGAAGCCTACGCACCAACATCGTCGGATGATGACAGTGCAACCGCCGACTTCTTCCCTCCATCCTGGCCACGCTCAGGGCCACAAACAACTGATGAGCTGGCAGAGTCTGCACCATCGAAGCAGACATCAGGGCATTAATGGCTGAAATTAAAACTACATTTAATGCGGCCATGGCCCCAATCCGGGTGGCGGTAAGTAAACTCACAGACAAAGTGCAAGCTGTGGAGGAAGGCAGGGCACCAAACTGGCACTTCAAAAACAGTGTGCAGACCAACAGGCACAGACAGCAACAATGGAAGACAGAGCCAGGGTCCGCAATCTAAGAATCCAGGGGTACCGGAAATGGTTGCAGGTGCAGAACTTCCCCACTACTGCCGGAGGCTCATCGCCACACTGCTAATGCCAAAACAGGCAAAACAAGTGGTGGTAGACTCCTGTTTCCGCCTTAACAAGGCTTCCAGCGCTGCCCACAAAGCACCCAGAGACGTCCAGCTGAAACTGACCCAGGACTCCAACCGCTGACTAGCCCTGTGTTTAGGTTTTATCCCTCCCCCACCCCACATCACCTTTCATACAACATGCAAAGGTCTAAAGCTTATTACCTTTCCATTTTAAGTGCACCCATGCACACACGGTCCACATCCTAGGCCTTCCACTCAAGCAACAGCCTTTCAAGCGGCGTACTACTGTTTACGAAGGCTAGTAAGCCAACTACCCATCCCACAAGGCGTCTTAGAGAAGCCCATGGCTCACAGCTTTAAAATGACAAGAGCGATGAGGCGCTACAAGACCTAATGCCAGACCCCTTCATAGAAGTAGACAGCCCTAACGCACACTGCCCAAAAAGGAAATCCTAGCCACAATTATTTAAAAATGAGTGGAGTAATGCTATGAGACATTGAGTTCCTCGCTATTGTGCCATGCTTGTTATTGTATGTTTCATGTGTCTTGTTATCTTTTAGCGATCACAAAAATAAAGAATACAAAAAAAAAAACAATTATGAGGAAAATGTGCAATGAGTAGATATCTGCTTGGGGTAAACAAAGGTAAATCAATTATTGGTTATATTATGCTACAAACGACCTAGTATTGATATTGATTAGGA